CTACATTAGCAATGGGGGCTTTGCACTGTGATGCAGCACTGACCGGAGGTTTCCTGCCAATGGTTAATGTAGCTAAAACCACATCACTCCTGCAAGCACAGGGTCACATCTCAATGGAGTTGACTGCATTCTTCCCAGGTACATAAACGGAGTTCCCTGCAGTGTGCTGGGGGGGCGAAGGGGACCTTTCTGATGAGACCAGGACAATAGAGGTTCTTTATGATCACCGAGGAGGGATTTTTCAAAAGCGCCTAACTCTGCTCCCGCTGGAAGCACTGGTAAAGCTCTCATTGATGTCAATGGGAACAGAGTTACGCCAATGCCGAGCACTTTGGAAAATCTCACCCTGCGGATCCTACAGCACTTCTAACCCAAGCCGAGGTTTGCCCTGGTGTCGCCAGCCACAAAAGCCCCAACCCTGACTTGTGCAACATGCACTGGTTGGAGGAGATGTAGACCTGGCTGCATTTTGGGGATGCTTTATGCAGCGAGTTTGTCAAGCATTTTGACCGGGGACCCAGGCACAGACCTGATTCCTAGTGACGAAAGAGTTAAATCCTGCATAGCCTTCCCCTCCCATTGCTCAGGGGGAGAGCTAGAAGAGAGGCTGCTGGGATGGCACAGAAGGGTGGCAAAAACTGGCTTACTCCTATTTCCTAATGGAGCTGGGCTTGACTTCTGCTTACTAATAATATCCCTTGTGGAAAAGTCCTTAGTGACTACCCCTGTGTCTCCTTTCTGCTGTGTCCTGCCCCCAGCTGATCAGCACTGGGGGTTCCCTTGGCAGAGAAGGTGCTTTATTGATATAAATAGATTAGAAAACATCTCCAGCCGGGCTGAGAGTGCAGCACTATGGTTGAGTGCTGGTCCTGGCTGGGGTGGTGTCTGTAGCAAGAGCAGGCCAGTCTCCTTAGAGACCAGTGGAGGGAAAAGGGCCAAGAGTCTGTGCATAGAAACGTCTGTGTGTAAATCAGCATGTATGTGCGAGCCTGACTCCCTAGCCACTCCTGAAAGTACTGGCTGAAGCCTTTAAATCAGTAGTTCTCAACCAGGGGTCCCCTAGGGGGCCTCGCGTAGGTTTTTTTTGGGGGGGCGTCCAAGGAGGACCAGCATTAGACTTGCTGGGGCCCAGGGCAGAAAGCCAAAGCCCACCGCATGGAGCTGAAGCCCGGGGCCCTGAGCCTCGCCTCCCAGGGCTGTAGCTGAAGCCTGAGCAATGTAGCTTTGTAGGGGCCCCTGTGGCGTGGGGGTCCCAGGCAATTGCCCTGCTTGCTACCCCCTAACGCCGGCTCTGGCTTTTATATGCAGCAAACCAGTTATTGTGGCACAGGTGGGCCGTGGAGTTTTTATAGCATATGGGGGGGGGGGGGGGCGGGGGCTCCGAAAGGAAAAGGTTGAGAACCGCTGCTCTAAACCACTTCTCTGAAGCTAATCGTCCTCTAAGCTCATTTTAGTTACACTGTGCCAGAAGCAGCCCCTTACCCAGGAGCACGGCAGGCAGGGGTTGATCGGAATCTATGCCCTGCAGGTGGCTCTGGAAGATCGCCCCTGGCTGACATTAGTAGGTCCCTTAGCCTACTTGTGGCCCCAGCCACTAGAGGGCAGCCTTTGTTACCTACTCGCAAAAGCCGGCAGGTAACAAAGTGAGCACAGACAGCATGGAAGTAGGTTCTCTGTGCACCCCTTTCCTCCTGAGAGAGAGGGAGCCGCTCCTGGGCACAGCCCAAAGCTGGGGCTCTGCTGAAAAGAAGCAGTCGCGAGTTGAACCTGCTCCCAACAGGGAGGGAGGTGAACAAGCAAAGGGTCTGTGACCCAGGGGCCTGCATTGCCCTCAGACCCCTGGCTAATGTGGATTTTACGTGCCCTAGGCAGCCACCATCCCTGGGACGAGCTGTGGCTACAAACCAGTTTACTTTCCAAGTAAGTAAAAATGCCCTGGGAAGGGAATGAACTCCTGGGCTTTGATTTCTCAGGCCCTGCCACCTCCCTTCGGTGTTTCCAGCAGAACTGGAAACGCCTGCACGCGGCTGGGACCTCTTTAGGAGTTTGGGCTTGATTCCCTTTTACTCTGTCCTCCTCCCAGTGTTTTTCAGAATGGAAAGATGGCTACATGCATGGTGACACTTCCCTTGCATGAATCCCCTCGCCTGGCTAGTTCTGCTCTTCGACTACCCCTCAGTAGGGGGCCTGAGAGCGGAACAATCCTGCTCGGTTGAAACAGATGGTTATAATAAAAGGAAAAAGAGCCAGGTCAGGTGTGTCTGGAATTGCTCTCCTGATGGGCTCCAGCTGGGTTAGGAAGTAAAAGGTTGCTCCGTAGCAATAGATAAGGTAATTACAGGGAATTAGCCTCCCAAGCATTTTCGGAAGGTGATTGATAGAAAACAACCCAACGAAATACCAGGCAGCCTCTTAAGGCACCGGACCAGCCAGCTGCCCCACATGCAGCAGGTTCAGACACAAGCGTTTCTGTGACTAGGTCTTCTAGAGTAACAAAATAAAATTGGGTGGAGTCCGTTGTCACTGGGTCACCTTCAAATTCCTCCAGTGTCCATCTGGGAAGCGTGACCGCTGCAATGCATCAGATGTTCACCTGCAGGTGTGGTTACAGCCTCCTGCAGTTCATCTAGTCCATATGCCCCAGCTCATTCTCCTGGCCCTGCTAACGGAAGAGGAGACCAACCGCCCAGCTGCTGCATCCCTGTGCAGGAGGGCAACCCCTCTTGCTGTTGCTTTGCAGACAATATTCTGTTGTGAGAAGTGGGTAGATGAAGGCAGGTTGGAGTCGGTTTGTGGGTGGAGCGGTAAATTCGACAGAAGCACCCAGCTGACAGCTGGGTGGCTGACTTGGGGGCGATACTGAGTGGAAAGAACAAAGGAATAGTTCCCACCTGGAAGCGTCTGTCCACGAGGCTGCCATGCCATTTCGCTGCAGCTGGGACCTTTATGAAGCCCTGCCTGTGAACATTAATGCTGGCAAAAACAACAAGGCGTCTGTGCCACCAGACTCCTTGTTGTTTTTGTAGATACAGACTAACACGGCTACCCCCTGATAATTAACGCTGGCGTTGTCCCAGGGCTCCCATTTGTTTCTCTAAAGACTCTTTTTCCAAGATTGACGTTACCATAGAACTCTCCCTTCTTCTTTTCTTCCGTGTTTCCTTGGTACGATATGCTGCTTCAGGAACTGGTGACAGGGAAATTAAACATCTCCTCTAATAAACCAAAAGGATGGGTGGGGAGAAGGGCTCCCTGCTGCAGCCTGCTACGCTGAGGTCTTGTCTACATACACAGTTGCATGGGTTGAACTTGTGTTGTGATTTGAAAACGGTTTAGTTAAACCTGCACAAAAAGCTGTGTGGACACTCTTACTTCGGTTTAAATCGGGGTTATTTTGGTTTAGTTTAAATAGATTAGGGACAGGATTAAGCTAAAATGAAACCCGCTACTTTTAAACCAAAATGAGTGTGCACTGAGGGGTTTGCACCAGTTTCATTGAGTGGCTGCAGGTTTGTGTGTAGACAAGGCCTATGATTCTGATCTGACATTGCTCTGTTACTCGGATGCCACTCCGTGCGAGTCTGTTGGGTTGCACTGATAGAACTCGGATCAGAATTTGGCCCCGGGAATGAGAAAATGGAGAGAGGCTTCCATGAGCCTGGCTGCAAAGCACAGAGAGAGGCACTGAATGCACTGCTTGGGGCTCTCTCCTCCCTGCCTTGCCTTTTCCCCTACTGGCCTTAGCAAATGATTGACCCCTGAATCCCCTTTCTTAAGGAACGGACTGAGCAACAGCTAGGAGTCCTTGTGGCACCTTAGAGACTAACAAATTGGACTCCTCGTTGTTTTTGCTGATACAGACTAACCCGGCTACCACTCTGAAACCTGAGCAACAGCTGAGTGTCTTATTTAGGTGGCCCAGATAAGATCCGGAAGAGCTCAGTGGCTTATCTGTAAGGGGAGCCAAAAATCTTGCCCACAGGGTCCTTCACTTTCCACACCCCCACCCCCTGATTATTTGTTCCCTGGCTTTAAATAATCCATAACTTCACAGACAAGGAATGCATTTCCCACCCCACCCCTTGCTCTACATTTCTCTGTGTTTGCATTACCATTTGCAAGCTATTCACTGTGGGCTGCAGCTTGGAGGCTGGTGGGGTGGCTTTCTCCTGCACCCCCCTTCCCAGGCCAGGCACGTCTAAGTCATCCTATGGGCCTTTCTAGTTGTGAGGCTGTGTCTGCCATTTGTGCTGAGAATCCAGCCGGCCTCCTCAAGCCGCACCAGAGATCTGCCCTGCTCTGTGTTTTCAGGGGAAAGCGCCTGGTGTGCTTGGAGTTGCCTCACCGCTGCTCCCTTTACATCTCAGCGAACATCCAGCTGTTCTCTCCTCCTGTACATCTTTCCGTCTTGGCCTGGTTTCCCCACATCCATTCAGCTGCTTGCCCCGTGTCCTCCTCTGACCCCCTGTAGCATTCAGCCTGCGACTGCTGGCTTGAGAGGGGAGTGTTTGAGTGGTGGGGGGGAGAGGAACAGGCTAGTATTACAGTGAATAATGTGGGCTTTAGGACCTGCTTCCAATCGCCCCTTCCTCCAGCTCCCACCCACCGCCTCACCAGGGGAGTTGCTCAGAAAGTGCTTTTCTTCTCCCTTGCAGAAGTTGAACTTTGGAGGCTTTTCCTTCATGCAGCTGTTGGTGGCCGCACTTCTTCCAAGGGCTGGTCTTGTCTTGCCCCTCCCCAAGGAGGGCACCTTCTAGCAAAGGGCCCTTAGCCCAGCAGCAGTGGCAGCTGGTTGATTTGTTTCAGGGCCTGTCTGGGAGCAGCCAGGAATGAATGGGGAGCTGTGTCTGCAGCTGGGGGGGTCTCCTCTGCCCCTCTAGAAGTAGCTAAGGAAAAGACAGTCTGATTTCTCTGCGTGCGATCGTTCTGGCCCTGGGGGGAGGAGAGTTGTGGGGAGATTCTCAGCTCTTTTGGGGGAGTGGGGGAGGACAAACTGGAGAAAGAGCATTTTGCACGAAGGAAGCCGAGGAAGGAATCTCGCAAAGGGTTGGGGGGCCATGTCTCCAGGCAGGAGCAGGAGCAGAGGGGTTGCCTGTCTCTGTGCGGTGGAAGACTCCCAAGCCATGCATCACAGAGCAGGGCTCCTTCTGGGGCTTTGGCTGCTACTGGCCTCTGGCCTTGGAGAGCCCGTCCCTGGTTCTGGAGGGGTCACCTTGGCCTTTGTCTTTGATGTCACGGGCTCCATGTACGACGACCTGGTGCAGGTGATGGATGGAGCATCCCGGATCTTGGAGCGGACACTCAGCAGGAGCACAAAAGCCATTAGCAACTATGCGCTGATCCCCTTTCATGACCCAGGTAAGGCGGTTCCGGTTCACGCTAATCCTGTTGAGAACAATGCATTGCGCTGACCCAGGACCCATGGTTCTGGTCCAGGCAAAGTGCTGCATTGCATTCAGCCAGAATCAATTATTCTGGTCCAATATGAAAAATGCTACGAAATGTGGGACCCATTTGCACAGGACATTGCATTGCACTAATTTAGGGCCATTGGTTCCAGTCATACTGAACCCATTTCACTCTGGGGACTGGGTTCTGGTCCCGTAAAAGGCCTGGTTCCCTTAACCCTGGCTCAGTACGAAAACAAGCAGAGCTGCATTTAGTAAGGATCAAAGTCCCCCACCCTTTCAAGGCAACTTTGTCCTGCCCTGTTGTCCCCCTTCTGATCCTCAGCTTGTCAGCCTTGTTAGGCACAGGGAAAGCTGGGAGGTAAACACTCCAAACACAGCCAGAGCAGGGTTATGCTAATATGGCTAGAATCATTGGTACCTGACTCGCTGGCTAGAAAATATCGGTTTAAATTTGAAAAGCATCAGTCTGACCCAGACAGCCAGGGCCTAAGATGGAAGCTGCCAATTTCCTGAAGTAATTCTAACAAGCCTCCCCAAATCCTGGGGGATTCCTGCCGCAGCTGATTCTCCTCACGTTACCATCCCATTTCGATTGCTTTAGCCTCAGGACCTTGCTTAATTCATGGCCATGCAGCTTGAACTGCAATTTCCTCCAGTCCCATAACTGGAGCAGGGTTGGGCCAGCTCCGTACTTGGCTGGAAGACCTCAGAGAGGCTGGGTGCTGCAGGACAGGAAGGGGGGTATTGGTGATGCAGTAGGTGGCTCTCCGAGGAAGTGTTTGCACTGCCAAAAGTGTGTCAGCTAACACAGGTTAAAATAACAGTGAAGACAAGGCTACTTGGCTTTTATCTTGGGCTAGTAGCAGAGGTGAAAGTAAGCCGGTACGCTGTGCCGGATTGGACCGGCTTCCCCAGGCTGGCGATTTAAAGGACCCGGGCCCCCCTGCAGCAGCCGGAGCCCCGGGCCCTTTAAATCGCCGCCTGAGCCCCACTGCCGGAGCTCCGGGGGTGATTTAAAGGGCCCAGAGCTCCCAGCTGCCGCAGCCAGAGTCCTGGGGCCTTTAAATCTTGATTTAAAGGGCCCAGGTATTTAAAGGCCCCGCCTCTTCCGGTTGAGGCCACGCCCTCTGCTCAGGACTCTGGCACACCGGTAAATCCTTAAGTTACTTTCACCCCTGGCTAGCAGCTTGAATTCGACCCCAGGCTGCCTTGTAGGCTTGAACTCTAGCTTCTCCAGCCAGCACAGAACCAGCGAGATGGTAAGGGCCCTATAGTACTGCAAGTGCTATGTTTTGGCTGTGAAGTGAACCTTGATCCTTGTGGGCATTAATGAGGGCAGGTCACTTTTCACAAGGATTAATTATGGTGTTAATTCTGAGGACCCTGGCCACATTCTAATTTGGTTAATTACATCCTGCTTCCCTAAAAATCCTCTTTTGCATTTTCTGCTGGCTGATACACTTCACATCATGTCCCAAACTACTGTTGCTGTATGCTGTTACAGTTACTGTGATCCACCCCAGAGTTGGCTGAATTTTAGTGGTTGGGTGAAGAGATGCCGTAGAGCAGTTTGAGGTCTTCTATCTGAAGAACACTACTGGGCTAATTGTTTATTTGAACTGTGATAATAAACAAGGACACAATGCTCTGAAGTTAAATAAAGATGAAAGTTGCTCCTCTTACTGGTTCTTGCTTTTATACACATCCATGAGGTGCTAACCATTCATACCAAATAAGAACAAGCTCTCTGGCAAAAATTCATACAGAAAATAGCAATTATGAAGAAAGGAACATTTGAATTAAAAATACTGAAGACGGCAGGAGAAGCGATCAGAGGCACGAACTGGATTTTTAGAATGAACCGACATCTATCTGTTGTGTACATTCCTTAAAATAGAAACAGGGCCCCTCTTCACAGCCTTGCATCCACTTGGTCTGTGGGGATGCATCTGCCTTTTGTAACAGAGAGAACAGCTGGCTTGTCCATTAAATCCAGGCAGCTCGTGTTTCTGCACTGGTTACCGTTGGAGACGGCGCCCCAAGGAACTCTAGACCAGGTGATTTGAGTGGACTCCATTTAATATGGTCCTGTGTATGGAATGTCTCAGGGTACCGGACGTGACTCTTCCTTGGGGATGGACCCAGATAAGTCAATTGACTCGTGGCTCATCTAAATGGGGATACTTAGGGACTTGGCAAGTTTCCGTTCCTTCATTCTCTGTCCCACGCTGCTCCACACCCACATCATCTGCTCTGCAAGTGCTGTGCATTGTTGCTGTCACACCACAGCCAAGGTGCTGCCCTCACAGTAATAACTACCCAGCAGGGCTCGGTCTTGTAGTCTAGGCCGGACGAAGCTGCGTGTTAGCCACGTCCCTGAGCCAGGCTACAGTCCAAGGCTGTAGCCTAGTCTGGTAACCTAGTTACAGTGCTGATCGGCCTTGTCTATGCTGCAAGGCCAACCATCTTTTAAAGCCTGGAGGGATTCTGGGGCTGCACCTGTGTCCTCTGGTATGGTAGCGGTTACAGTGTAGACTGGACCTAGAGGTGCCCTCCTTGGGCTTTGTAAGGGTGATTACCTCTCATTGCCGTCACAAAGGGCACCTGTAAAGCAGAGGGTCTCTGTCAACCCGGGAAAGAGCTGAAATAGCTTGGAAGGTGCGGGAGGATGGGGCATGGTGGGTGGGGCGGGGGGAAGTCCTCAGTTCCTGTGGTACCCCTATCATGCTGTAGCTGTTTATGTTTGCATGGAAACAGATGGGGTTACCTCTTGCCAGGGACTCGTCTGGCTGCATGGTCCCTTGTCAGGCCAGGCATCTGGTTTGCGGTAACTAGAGCACCCTGGCTCGGTAAATTGGCCGTCTCTCCTGTTAAGCTGAAGGAAAAGCCTTCCGGTCTCTGTGGGAGTCAGTCAGAGCGTTGACATTATTTCAGAGGCCTCCGAGCCTGTCTCATGTCAGAGAAATGGTCAGTTCATTGGTACTGAGCCAGAGTTCGGTGTGTTGATGACTCTTTGCACCTATATGTGGCATCATTCATCTGAGGGTCTCTTCCATTAAAACTCCCAGCCCTCCTATGAGGCAGGTAGGTGCTCTTAACCCCCAGAGAGCGGTAGGGAAACTGAGGCGCGATAGACCTGTGGAAGTGCATTGTGTTAACTAACTTGTCTTAGCTAACTTGATGCAAAACGTGATTTTTGCCTTTAGCGAGGACAAGGGGCAGTCATGTTTTAATAACGTGTTAGGAGCTGGTGGTGGTGAACTCTAGGGCGGAGTCGAGTTTAGTGTTGCATTAGTTAAAACGTGTCAGTGTGATGCGTTTTCTCATTGTAGACAAGGCTGCGGTGACATGCCCCGGGTCACAGCCAGGAAGTAGAACCCGGGAGCTTGGGCATCCACCTGCCCTGCTCTAGCCACTAGCAGAATAGTAGGCTTTAAAGGTGCCCCCCATCTCCTCCAAAGCTGCAAGGCCCAGAGGGGAGGAGTGTTAACAGTGTAAAGGCATCGCACACATGGGGAGATGCCTGCTGCACCAATGAGGGTATGTCTACACTGCACTTAAAAACCCGTGGCTGGGCCTGTGCCAGCTGACTCGGGCTGCGAGGCTGTCTAATTGCAATGAAGACATCCGGGCTCGGGCTGGAGCCCAGGCTATAGGACCCTGTGAAGTGGGAGAGTCCCAGAGCTCCACCGGAGCTGCATGGGCCAGCTGCGGGTGTCTCCTTGCAGTGTAGACATACCCTAAGTGTGATGGAATCTGCTCCTGTGGCGTGAGCCAGCAACTCCTGAATTCCAACCCGCTGTCAACAACGGGTATGTCTACACTGCCGTCGCGGGGTATGATACACCCGAGCCAGCTTTAACTTAGTTAGCTCTGGTACCAGAGCAGCGAAGCTGCAGCGGCAGCACGGGGCCTTCAGCGCTGGCTTGGTGCCTGAGTGCCTGGCTTGGTCCCGTTTGCAAGACTAAGCCATATGGGGGTGTAACAAAGTCCTGTTACCTAAATAGCCTGTAATCTAGAAAGTGTCCCATTACAGGGCTGCTCTTTTGGGACGCCGGAGGGGAGATCACCTCTCAATGCCACACGGGATGGTGGCCACCGTGGAAAAGCACGGACTAGCCGAGCCATCATCAACCAGCCCAGTAAAGGAGACCCAGCGTTCTTCCAATGGCAAGGGAGTGTTCTTTGAAAGAAAGCTATAGTTGCTGATGCAGGTTTCTGGGGACAGGCAGGAACTAACATAGGCCTTTTGGTATTTGCGGTGTTGTTGTAGCTGTGTTGGGCCCAGGATACTAGAGAGACAAGGTGGGTGAAGAAGAGCTCTGTGTAGCTTGGAAGTTTGTCTCTTTCACCAACAGAGGTTCGTTCAGTAAAAGATATTACCTCCCCCACCTTGTCTCTCTCATAGGCCTAGTGGGGCTGATATAGGGAAACTTAATATGGGAGAAAGAGAGAAGGAAGATTGCAGACTTGTGCCCAGAGAGGAGAAAGTGCTGATATCTGCTGTCTTGATATCTTTGTCAGAGGTTGGACCAGCGACCGTCACAGCAGATCCCGAGGAGTTCCAGCGAGAGCTCAGAGGTCTCTACGTGCAGGTACAGTTGTCCGCCTCATCTTAAAATCTGTAGCGTTGTTGGCTAGTGGCCTATGATAACTGGTATTTGAAACCTGAGTGTGGCCAGTTTGGAAACCCAGCTTGTTTGGTGGGAGTGTAACCCTTCGCGGTTGGCAAAGAAGCCCCAGATGCCAAGGAGTGTCACTCCTAAGCCGAGCTGCCATGGAATCCGTGCCAGAGGAAAGAATTCGGCTTTGTCATTACATTTAAAAGTAACTAGGAGCATCCTCCAGCAGAACTGGCTAGATCCTCCCTGCCACGTGCGGACTGGGTGCAGCAAGGAATTCTGGTGGCACTTGTCACTTTTAAGGGAGATACATTTCTAGGCCCAGGGCAGGGAAAGAGAAGGGCTAATGCTGGTGCTGCTGGGGACAAGTTCAACTCCTAGCACAGATGTAGAGCAGCCTCAGGGTGTGCCCAGCTGCCCCTTATTGGAGAATAGCTGAGGTGTGGGAATGTCCTGGCGATGCCCCCTGGCGTGCTCCCAACGCGCATGCTGTGCCTGAGGCTCCGGAGGGGTGGGGGAGAGCACAGAGCAGCTCTGCGCTGGTCGGGAGAGACCCTTGGGAAGAGGTGGGGGGGCCTGGTATGGTCAGTGCCCCAGCAAGATGCCGGGGGTGCTCTGCTGCTGCAGGTACCATCTTTGGATGGGACTTGGACCTGAGGCCTTGTCCGCCCCTGGTTATTCTAGATCCCTGGGAGCTCTTTGCAAGAGCAGGGGTCCTGCCTAGGGTCCGACTTGGGGAGCTACTGGAGTTGTTCCCGACATGATTTTTCTCCCTCCCACATAAAGTTTAGCTGAAAACAATTTTTGTTTATTTGTTTTTCATTGAATATTGTCCCCAGAAATGTTCAGGTTTTTATTGCAACCCCCCAAACTAAAAACGTTCAGGTTTGGATTGAAAAACCGACACCAATAAATATCAGCGGGGCAGCCGTGTCAGTCTGTATCCACAAAAAGCAACGAGGAGTCTGGTGGCACCTTAAAGACTAACACATTTATTTGGGCCTAAGCTTACGTGGGTAAAAAACCCCACTTCTTCAGATGCAATACATTGAACATTTCTGACAGAAATGGAAAGTTATACACCCACTGCATTCCACTGCAGAGATGGCTGCATTTTGGCGACAGAGGAAGTGACTCATGCGTAGATAGTCATAACCTTGAGTGATGCATTTACCTCTGTGCTCTGAGAGCAGGACGTGTGCGTGTCTCGCTGCAAAGAGCTTTAGGGTCCTTCGAGCTGCAGAGGGCTATGTAAATGTAAGGTATTCTGCATTATTATTGTGTAAGTAATAACCGGCTGCCTGGCATGGCTTGGTTACAGCTGAGTGGTCTATTGAACTCCCCTCTCTATGGTCTATGTCAGCTGGAGGCTCGTAGGCCCCTAAATGAGCATCTCTTCCCAGCCCCATAGGGAAGCTGGCAGTTAGATTCGGTTTTCCTCTGTGTGTGAGATGAAACTGTTACACCGGAGGGAAGGCTGGGAAGCCCTGGGACAATGGGAGGTTGGATGACTCTGTTGCTGAGCTGCCTTGGGGCCCACCGGGAGCTGGCATCTCTAGTCGCCATGTGTTTGCACTGCACATGCTTTGCGTGAAGGGTCCATTTGTGAATGATTCGTAGGGGTTGCAAGCAGGTTACAGGCAGGAGTAGTGTGTGTTATCCGAGGTCACCAGCACATCAGTCGAAGGTGTTAAAGATGGTTACAAGCAACCTGTTGGTCTCTGTGATGGTCTATAATTAAGTGTGATTACAACATCTAGTCATCATTTATTAACCCTTTATAAACTACTCACAAGTGGAATTTTGGTGTCTGAAAAAGGCACGAATCCGTTGGGATTCCCTCGCGTTTCTGAAGTGCGGGGTGAGACACTGAGTGGGGCTCCTGCCTTTAGCTTCATTCCAGGTGTGTAGCCAGGTGGAGCTGCTGTTTGCACCTGTGATGCATACCCGTGCTCAAGCACCGCCAGTGCAAATGGCACTGTGCCTGTCCGCACTAGGGGTTGCCCTGGCTCAGGATACATGCCCAGGGCAAAGCAGGCATTGCTCACTGGACTCTTGGAAGATGAGGCAGTGATCATGATGGGGCACGTGGTCTCAGCAAGTTTTCCCCTCCCAAGTGGAAATGGCGTCCCACCCCAGGTTGATTCCTGCAGCCCTCACTTCGGGTTTCCTAATGGGCTCTTTGGCTACAGGGCGGAGGGGATTGCCCGGAGATGAGCGTCGGAGCCATCCAGCTGGCTGTGGAGGTCTCGCACCCGGGATCGTTCATCTACGTGTTCTCGGATGCCCGGGCCAAAGACTACAAGCGCAAGCAGGAGTTGCTGCAGCTCCTGCAGCACAAACAGTCCCAGGTGAGAGTCCGGCTACTGGCTTGCAGCTGCGTTCCCAGGAGATGTCCCTTCTCTGTGACCCAGGAGTCACTGAACAGCCACTCCCTGAGCCCACAAGGTGATGAAGAGCTGCGCAAAGGAAGCCTTTTGCAAAGCACAACAGTACCCAACTGTATTGGTCCTACAAAACCTATAAACAGTGCCATGTATTCTTTATCTCCGTCTGCTGGTACGTTTTCTATTGGCTAACTCTTGACATATATATATAGACATGGAGCACTCTCGTAACCATTGTTCACATTGTAGTTGGCACATGCCAACCTGCTGCCAGTGGGGGAGGGGGGAGGATGGTTAGCATCTCCCCAGGTTGGACAGTCTCTTCTGACTTGGTTTGTTGTCGTGCATTGCTCTGTGGCAGGTTGTGTTCGTGCTAACGGGGGATTGCGGGGACAGAAGCCACCCTGGGTATCGAGTGTACGAAGAAATTGCTGCTACCAGCTCTGGACAGATATTCCATCTGGATAAACAACAGGTGAAGGAGGTGAGTGGAAAAGACCTGAATTTTGTTACTTGTGAGCATCTCGAATGAACTCGCGCAGAAAAATGATAAAAGACAAAAACACCTTGTCACCTGTAGGTGAACACTTTTCACAGAGCGATCACTCCCTATCTGGCCTCTCAGTCCTCATCCGCAAAGGAAACCTGCCCAATGTCTTCAAAAGATAAGCCTGGGAGCTTAAATTCATAACTTTGTTAGATACTAAAAATCATGGATTGAACAGAGACACGTGATTTATGGCTCATTACAACAATCTATAACCCACCTAACCCACCCGCCAGCCTTTTTTTTCCCTTTTCTCCCTTTGACTGGAGGGGTATTAATGGCCCACTTCACCTTGAATGGTCCCTTGAAATATGTGTTAACTTCTTATGCTAAACAATCTGTTCCACCTTGTATTTAGCTGTGACGTTCTGAGTACCTTTCCCAGACCTGAAGAAGAGCTCTATGTAGCTTAAAAGCTTGTCTGTCTTACCAACCAGGGCCGGCTCCAGCATTTCTGCCGCCCCAAGCCAAAAAAAAAAAAAAAGCCGCGATCGGTGGCGGCAGTTCAGCGGCAGGTCCTTCGCTCCCAGAGAGAGTGAGGGATCTGCCGCCCCCGAATTGCCGCAGGTGCCGCACCAAGCACCTGCTTGTTAAGCTGGTGCCTGCCCTGTCACCAACAGAAACTGGTCCAATAAAAGCTATCACCTCCTCCACCTTGTCTCTCTAGTATCCTGGGACCAGCATGGCTACAACAACCCTGCCTACGAGAATGGAAGACTTGGATTGTTTAATAATAATATATGGAGATATACCTATCTCATAGAGCTGGAAGGGACCCTGAAAGGTCATCAAGTCCAGCCCCCTGCCTTCACTAGCAGAACCAAGTACTGATTTTTGCCCCAGATCCCTAAGTGGCCCCCTCAAGGATTGAACTCACAACCCTGGGTTTAAGCAGGCCAATGCTCAAACCACTGAGCTATCCCTCCCTCACAGTCTCCTTTTCACAGTGTCCTTTATGATTTGGGTGGCTGGGATGGGGCGATGAGATTATGAGGATCAGAGGCCTCTCTCCTTCGCTGGCTTGATGCTGTCAATCCCTTTTAGTTCAGGTGGACTCATCAAGTTAGCAATGCAAGTCTTTACTGTAGTCACATTAAAGGCTTAGATCAATGTGCCAAGGCTTGTTATCCCTTAGGGACTTCATGGAGGTTTGAGCATCCAGAAGCAAAGCCTCTGTGCCCGTCTAATCCCCTGTCCCCGCTCCAGGGGACTGGAGAAGATGGTTGTCTCAGGGCTAAAGCAGGAGTCTGGGAGTCAGTAGACCTGGGATCTGTTTCTGGTTGCCTTGGAGGCTAGCTGCGTGATCCTGGGTGAGGTGCTTCACTTCTTTGGGCCTCCATTGCCCTGTCTGTAGCATGGAGATGATACCTCCCCCAGGTTGTGGAGGAGTAAGGCCAAGACTTTAAAACCAGGACCTCAGTGGGAGCTGTTGGGTGCTCCACACCTTTGAAAATCAGGCAGGTCCCTAACGATGGAGCCTGACTTTAGACTCCTGCCTTTGACGGTCTTGACCCAGCAAGTGCTTGGAGAGCAGGAGCCGAGCGTTTGTCTAACTATTAACAACAGTTTTGGAGCGGTGAGCTCTCCTCCTGCCTCCCTTCCCCTCCTCTTCCCGGCTGCTGGCTGTTGCACAGTCTACTGACGAGTATTCCCGTGGGCAAGGTGCAGGTTAATCACTTGTCTGCTCCGAGCGGCTGAGTGGGAGCCATCTGGCAATAATAATTACGCCAGATTCTTTAATTCCTCTAACATCAGCAAGTGAGTGTGTTTGCTTTGGAACGGGAAAGGCTCAGCCCTCGCTGTGGTCTCCTTTTCCCTGCACCCCGCCTCCCTCGCTGCTCCAGCACCTGCAAAACAGTGTGTTCGGGATAAACAGTTACGGCTGGAGACTCAGACTGGTTTCCTTGGTCCCGTTATCTGGAGCCAGTAAATGCCGTTGTATCTTGCATTCATGTATGAGGTGTGACATGCTCTCTGTGGTACTCAGGTGGGTCCCTGTTACCAAAGTAATGGTACCCCAGTACCTGCGCATCCCGCAGCCTGTAGTGTGTTTATCGTCACCATCCCCCTGTGAGGCAGGGCAGGACTATTGGCCCCATTGTACAGGTGCAAACCGCAGCACAGAGACTAGTCTCTTGCCCAAGGTCACACACAAGCCTATGACAGAGACTGGAGTTGAATCCAGGTCTTCTGAGTGCCAGGAGCTGGGACTTCAATCACCCGAAGTCCTGCACTATCCTTCTGGCTAGGGGCAGGCTGGGGTCAGCACCGGTAGCCAGTCAGGGGTTTCCTGTTGCCAGCTGAGCTCTGCTCTGGAGATGGAGGGGCTCCCTCAGCCTGCTTCTTCCCTTGGGCGAGGGGAGGAACCAGAGCTGGATTTCTGTGTCCATATCTAACCTCCCCCGCGCCCTGTCACTTCTCTGTGCGCAGGGCCCACAGGGAGCAGGGGCTGGGCTCCGGCACTCGATCCCCTGCAGGACTTTCACAAGCAGGTTGTTTTTCTGTTTTACGGGAACAAAGGAAACGGTGCAAGGAGTGAAACCGAAGGGGAAAGGGAGGGGCAGGTGTGAGCAAGGGGCGGAGGGGCAGGTGTGAGCAAGCGGGGAAGGAGCAAAGAACGTGCTAGGGAACTTGGCTCTGTCCTGTGCTGCCTGCTCTGGCTGTCCCATCTCCCCTGCTCAGCCCCACCCTGCGGTGTCCCAGGAGCTCCCCACGTCGCGTATACTGGGTTCTGTCCAGATGTGTTTGTCTCGGCCCTAGGCATGGTGGAGGTTCTGATACAGATCTGTGCCCTTCCTAGCCTGCTTTCCTCCCTGTGGAGAGCTTGCGATGTGCACCTCTGGGCACCGTGATGGCTGGGGTGTGTGCGGTGCCCATTAAAGGGTCTGCCGGCTTTCCCATGGGGCTGGAGGAGCCAGGCTTCGCCCTCCGGTTGAGTTGTTGCTCAGGATCTTGATGGTGAATCTCGAGAAGGCTCGGTCCCTCCTGCTCGTGTAGCTGAGCTAATCTGTATACATACCGTGTGTATTCCCCCTGCCTAGTTTGTGCCTGGACTCTTACCACTCCTGCACCTTCGGGGGAGAGGTAACCAGTGGCAACAGCCCTGACAGCAGACCCCCCTCCCAATATCTCAAGGTCTGTGCATCCCGGCACACCGGGGAGCATCCTGGGTTTATGGCAGGGTGGCCTGTCATAGGAGGGGACCGCATTTCGCATTTGAGGCGCCTTCCATTCCTATGTTCCTGCGCCACATCACCCTCTCTGCCCCGTAGGTGCTGAAATGGGTGGAAGAGGCTATCCAGGCCTCCAAAGTCCACCTGCTGTCCACAGACCACGAGCGGGGGGGAGAGCACACCTGGCTGGTTCCCTTTGACCCCAGTCTGAAGGAAGTCACCATCTCCGTGAGCGGCCCCGCTCCAGAGATCGAAATCAGGGATCCGGCAGGTATGTACAAGGGCATCGTCAGCAAGCAGGTCCCAACCTTGGGCAGGGGGAGGGTGGTTCCGGCTATAGGGAGAGCCCAGTGAACAGCCTATGCCGGCTGCGGGTCCACTGGCTCAAGCGGCAGAGAGCTGGGGGGTTAGAGCTAAAACGGCCCTGAGTTCAGTTCCCTTTGGGGACCCAACCAGGGGCTCGTTTGATGAGTGAATGGGAGACGGAGACCAGGGAATAACCAAGCTGAGCTGTGCTGGCGGAGACTAGCCACAGGGCAAAAATCTGTTCAGCGAAAAGTAATGGGAGCTTGATGAGGTCTTTGCAGATCAAGTGTCTCTCTTCCCCTCTGCCATGTTAAATTCATACTTAAATTTTATAAGAGCTGCTTTTCCCCTATCCCTTCCGGGCTTTTCTTCCCAGCTGTCAGTTGACAACGGCCGATTGACAGTAACTGCTCCTCAGCCACTGAAATTACCCCACGTGGCTGGCTTTCCCATAGCTTCGTCAACGCAAGGTGTAAGCAAACGGCCTGCAGAGAGCGCTGAGGACATGAGGGAGACTAGGAGGCTGAGGTTTAAAGAGGAGTGATGGGGGGCTCGGAGCTGGAAAGAGAGCGGTGCAGATAGGCAGCATGGGTGAACGAGTGACCCTCCCAACTGTCTGGGTCCCATGGAAGGGACTGAGAGGCTGTGAATACTGAGGGTTTAGCATGAGCAGAGGGAAATGTGGGCAGCTCAGAGACAGGACTTCCGCCTTCCTCTGTCCTGGGCAGGCCGCAATGGGCAGATCCGTCGGGCCTGGCTTGTTGGATTGGATGTAGCGGGGATGGGCTGTCCCTCCTGGGGACAGGTGAGCGGGAAGCAGGAGGCGCTAACCCAAGGATTCTGCTTGCCGGTGCAGGGAAGATCCTTCAGAAAGGCCGGGGCCTGGAGGAACACCTCAACATCCCGAATTCCGCCAGGGTGCTGACCGTCAAGCCCCACCGGCCGGGCGTGTGGTCAGTCAAGGTAGGATGGAAGCGAAAGGAATTGCCGGGCCAGGGGCCTATCTAGGCCAGTATCCTAGAGCAGGCAAACCCCTTTGCCTGAGAGGTTCTTCCACGTGCCCATCCTGCTTACGCCGTGCCGTGCCAAGAGACGTGGAGAAATGTATAGAATGCAACTGCAGTGTCTCATCCCCAGCTTGCTCCCCACGGTCTATCCCCTCTCTGGGGTGGAGACGCTCCAGCTGCCTCGTTAACTGGTTCCAGCCTGTGCACTCTTCCCTATAGCACCCAAGTGTTGCCTCCCTAGTCCCCTGCCCCCTCTGGGAGCTGGGTCCCTTATGATAACTTTGGCCTTGATGCAGGAAGGGAGGCTGACCCAGGGGCTGAGTTTTCCCCTTCCTCCACCAGCTCCATTCTGGAAGGCAATGGGCTGGCCACCGGGAATACTTTGTGGGGTTCTAAGGAAAGCCAAGTGCCCTGAATAAATAGGGGCATGGGACTTCTCAGGAAGGTGTCAATTGGTTAAGGGCACTTCGAAGTCAACTCTGAAAGTCCCAGGGCCAGCTTCTCTACTGGTGTTGGGGTGAAACTCCGTCGAAGTAATGGAAATGCTCCCATTGGCAACAGAGAATTTGGCCTCACTGAGCATAAAGATTCCTCCCATGGTTCCACTCGTTCTGTCACTCCAATCCTGTTGTGGCTCTCCAGGGCTGCAGAAGGAAGTGTGTGCCTGCCCAGAATGCAGGCTACTAAAAAGGTCTGTCTGCGGCTTACTGCAGCCTCTCCCTTCTCCCCTACCCCCGGATCCTGCGTGGTGGGCGGCTTCAGGAGTCAGAGCTACCCCCTTTCTACGCGTGCTGATGTGACGTCTCTGCTTGCTGTGTGTCTGGCTTTCAGATCCAGAGCAGTGGCCGCCACTCGGTGAGAATCACGGGCGTCAGCGCCATCGATTTCCGAGCCAGCTTTTCCCCTCAACCTACGTTCGACCTAAACCACCCCAGAGAGCGGCCTGTGCATGGTACCTCCTGCTCTTCCCAGGGCGCGCGTGCGTGTGTGTGGAGGGGGCAGTGTTGTCCGTAAGACACGGAGTGGTAGAGAGCTAAGGGAGCCGCAGATAAGTGGGCTCCCGCTGCTCTGCTGGGCTCAGGGAGCCAGCTGCGATGTCCATGTTTGCTGAAGCTTCCAGTGGCCTTCAGAGCAGCTCCGAGTGGAGCTTGTTGCAGCAATCTAACCTGGAGCCGGCAGGCGTTATTGTTTATATGGCGGCGGTGCCTAGGGGTCCCAAACATAGAGCAGGGTCTCATTGTGCTAGGTGCTGTACAGACATAGAACAAATGCAGTCCCTGCCCCAAGGAGCCTGCAGTCGGAGTATAAGATGAGGCTATGGACAGGCAGGGGAGCCCAAGGTAACAATGAGATGAGCATGGAGAGCAGTGATCCCAGCCGCCGAGTCGCTGAGTGCCATGAATAATAGGGGTGATGTCTGCAGCAGAGAGGAACGGTCCCAGTGCTTTACAATGCCTGACCTGGATGCATTCTCATTCCTTGCCTTCCCCCGCTGCTTTCTCCTGTCTCTGCAGGGCTTCCTATCTCTGTGCTGATTAACTGCACTGGCTTGGAGCCTCCGGGGCACCTGAAGGGCGTGGAGCTGTATGACAGCTCTGGCCAGCCCCTTGTCTCCCTGCCGACGCGGCCTTTGTCCAATGGCTCCTCCAGCCAGCTCTGGGTGGGACCCCAATTCCAGGCACCCAAGGGAAGCTTCTTGCTGAAAGTGACTGGGGAAGACCCAGACGGGCACCCATTGCAGCGTGTGTCGGGAGTCGCCTACACCAGTGTGGTCCCAGGTGAGCGACTCTGTTTTGTACGATCCCAGCTGGAAGGGGTTTGGAGCTGTTGGCTTGATGCCTTTTTGTAGCTCTTAGAGTAGCATTGGGAATAGGCCAACCAGCTTTTATTCCTCTGACAAGCAGATACCTGAAATCACCCAGGAAAGGGCTGGGGGTAGGTGTAATGTCCCAGGTTCTGAATGGACACGTGGAGGGGCATTTCTCTAATACTCCCTCCCTGGTAGAACCCCACCTATCTTGAGGGGTTTCATCTGTCCAACTTCCTTCCATGAGCACAAAACCTAGCCCTCTTCGGGGAGAAGGGTTTGTAGCTGCCTGCTCTGTTTTGAGGAGGCATAGCCAGTTACATGTTTAGTATAAATGTACAGGCAAGGTTAGGTGGAAGCTTGTCGTATTTGGCTCAAGGAGTGAAGCTGCTATTTGAAAGCATGGGTGAAGCAAGTATTGCAGTGATACGTATGATATAAATGCCCAGAGAGGGAGGAGTAGCCAGTGTCATAATAGACTATGGAATCGCAGCCTTTCACAGACAGGAGATATTTATTAAACCCAAACAGCTGCAATTAGAACCATGAACAAACGGGTTTCTCCACAGCTTTGAGATCCAGCTTAGTCTCCATTGTTTACCAGAACCACGCCCTCTCTACTACTCTATAGAGCACACAGAGATCTAGTGTCTGCAGAATATTTGAAAAATAAACAATACAGAAAATTTGAGGCGTCAGTTATTGGTCATTGGGGGTAACATACAGAGTATAGGGGGGATGTTAGTGTTTTCGGGTTGGGCAGCACACATAATATATACAGACTGCAATGTCCCCAATGGGGGGGTGTGTGTAACCGGTGGGCGGGATCAGGATACAGCTGACGAGCGGTGAGGGTCTATCACCCATACAGAAAGTAGAGACAGTCATGGGTATAAGTAAGTGGGCTGGGTAATGGGGATGGGGTGACCCTCACGTGGTGGGATTCAGTTAGGTTCGGTGGGTTCAGGGCTCAGGGGTTAAAGTAAACATACCATTACAGCAGGATCTGTGCCTTACCGAATGAGGCCCTCACTTTAGCTGTTATAGTGAGTTATTAGGACAAAGCCAGTCAGGGGCTGCTCATTCTTTAAAGGAAACACCGTTCCATTTCAGCACAGGGGTCCAGTTTTTTTTTTTTCATAGTTATTTTTTTTCCCTCTCCCCAATCAAATTTTCAGTGTTCTGTTTCTGAGAATTATGGAGTCTGTCTCTCTCTCTCTTTGCACCCCATGCCTGTTCCCACTGCCCAGGTCTACCCAAAGTGAACATGCCCAGTAAAATCCAGGCTTATCACAATCAGTCACTGCTGATCAGCTGCTCTGCCCAGAGCGAGATCCCCTTCCGACTGAAGCTCAGCCGTGGTGGGGAGATGCTTGGAAAGGATCAACTTTTCGCGTAAGTCTCAGGCTCTACTGCAGTAAGTCAGTTACTTGGTAAATTTCCCCAAGCCCACATTAGTCACATACAAATATAGGTAGCTCTAGCCAGGATATTAATTACAAGGGCTAGCAATCCTCATGCTCCAGGTCACAAACCGATGTCCAGCTTGGGGGACAGGAAGGTATTTGCTCCATGGCATAATATTACACCGTGTGTTCTTGCGTGTTCTTCTGACATACCTTCAATAGCTGAGATTGGAGATAGATTCCCCCTAGGATGGACCGTTGGCTCTATCCTGGCTTGACAGTCACTGTATTACTCTTCGTTATCTATCTCCATAGAGTGGAGCTGGCTTGCTTTCGAGGGGGCGGGAGGCGGGTGGTACTGCTGACTTCCACCGTCCAATGTGGACACTTGGAGTTACTGGAATGCTGCTGCCTTTGAGATTGTGGTGGTGAAGTCCATGTATTCGCAGTAGGGTGAAGAATACAGGTTGCTCAGGGGACCAAGTGGGAAATTTCCCTCTCAATTGGAATTCCCACTGAGGCCCTGAAGACCTAATGGCCTGCTTCCTCCCTGCTTTCGCTGCAGCCGGGCTGACTCAGACAGCGGCTTCTCTTGGTACTCCGTGACATAGCACAGAGAGGTTGAGAAGTGGCAGTGCCCAGGAGTGGGTTTTCAGTGTGCTAGCAGTGGGTTCCTCATTCCTTCTGCAGCAAAATGCAAGATAAAGGTCTTTACACATGAGCCTCCAGCCTGCATGCAGGCTAAGGAGACACACTTGGGGTGCAGGGGTAAAAGGAACGGAGTGTGAATTGTGATCTCAGGGAGAGCAGTGGAGAGAACTAGCGCAGAGTGGTGGCCCCTGTGCCATGTAACCCAGCTCTAAGCAGCAGGGAGATAAACCCCCAAGCACCCTGTCTATGCTAGTGCCCCTGTCACCGCTGCACAGGGGGAGAGATTTTAGGAAAAATCCCAGTGTTGGCCCAGTTGTTAAAACCGGCTGAGGATTTGCTTTCGGCCAATCTGCCCCCTTGACGGTGCCTCCAGTGAGGCTCTCCACAATTAAGGCGCCGTAAATGGCGAGTGGCTTGTGAAAATCTCAGCCAGTGCCGAAAGAGGAGAGCGGGGTGTCTTCCTCCCCGGTCTCATGGGGGTTCTTCGCTTTGTTTCCCCAGGGATTCTGGGACCAGCAGCTGGGAGATCCCCGTGGTTTCCGGAAGCGATGAAGGTTTTTACGAGTGCACAGCCGTTAGCACAGCCGGGGCAGCGCGAGCTCGCGGCTACCTCTCTGTCACAGGTCAGTCCTGGGGAGGGCAAAGGGCTCTCGGGCAGGTGACAGCCTCAGCCCAGGCTCCCACAGAGCATGCAAGGAGGACTCTGCCCCTGGGCTTTGCTTCCAATATTGAATGGTCAAGTTCAGCCCTTCAGTGTTAGAGACCTCGGAATGGTAGAGTTTGGGACGGACTCCAGTGGGGTAGATGGGGGCTCAGCAGCCTGGATGATTGGACCCCGCTGTTTGCTTCCTCCCATGCAGAGCCGCCTCCGTACCTGGTGCCCCCCGGGAACATCACTGCATTGCCGGGAGAAGGAGTGATCATGTCTTGCCCAGTGTCAGGAGACGTTGCTTATAATCTGACCTGGAGCCGGGATGGGAAGGTGCTGCAGCCGGACGAGGGATGGGTGAGGGTCCTGCGGAACCTCTCGCTGGAGATTGTCAGCGTTCAGTTGGATGACGGTGGCCGGTACGAATGCACTGCAAGCAACGGCCATGGGACAGCTAATGCTTCCTTCTGGCTCTTTGTTCAGGGTAAGCAGTCTCTGAGCCCTATCTCGAGACGATTCCCTGTCATTGGCTGGGACTGAAATCCCTTAGAGTCTGAGCTGAAGGGGGGGAATGGACCTGTTGCTTCTCCAGGGCATGCCACAGAAGAGCAGGAATCGCAGTCAGATCCAAGAGTCTTACAGGGCCTGTTTGAAAGGGTCTGTGTGATCCTGTATGGGTTTATCTGAGCAGGAGCAGTGCAGGAGGCAGCATCCCCAGTGCTTTGTGAAAGTCACTCCTCACTGATATCAGAGCTGGCTTGATGGATCGGCAAAGCAAGCATCTCTTTCAGTCTCTGCTCTCCTGGGACCCCTGCTTCCTCTGCAAGCTCCCCAAGCCATAGATCGGCCTACTGGCAGGACTGCAGGCTGGGAACTTGCTGCTTTATTTAACTGCATCCTAAGAGAGATGGGGGGAATATTCCCACTGACTGAACAGGACATAAGGGAGGGGTGGAGCATGGCTGCACCCCCTACTGCGCTGAGTAACCCAGTTAACCCTATAATGACCGCTTCACTACACTGCTCCCCTCATTCAGTTGTGGGGCTGGAGGGAGCAGCTACATATGGCCCGTAGCCCCGCCAATGGCAAGGCTGGATCTGAGGAACATCGCCATTCCAAAAGCCCAGTTTCACTGCTCTCAGCCACTGTTCCGTTACCGCCTTCCACTAGCTCTGTGCTCCCCTTCTACGGCAGGAGGGGGAGAGCTGGGAACTGGGCCTCTGGAGCTGGGAGCAGGTGACTGGTGTCTGACATGTTGTGTTTCTCTGTGTGTAGAGGCGCCTCGAGTAAGGGTTGCCACAAGCTCGCAGTCGTTCACCAGGGGTGGGAAGGTGAGGCTCAACTGCACGGCGCTGGGCCACCCTGCGCCCCGAATCTCCTGGAAACGATGGGACCGTGCCCTGGAAAAGGACGGCAGGTAACGTTACCAAATCAGAGCCTCGGCCGCTTTGCTCCTGGGCTTCGATGCAGAGCAGCCTGACACTCATGAGGCTGGGGGGAAGGGGGAGAGGAAAGGGGGCACCTTTTCCACCGCGTGCAAACCAAAATGTATTGGGTACAAGGCTTTTATTGCTGTTTCCAGACCTCCTGCTGGTGGCAGCTGGCTTGGTCAGACCAAAGCTTCTAGCCAGGTTACAAAACGTAGCTGCAGCCCAGGCTACGCTACAAATCCGCCTCATGCTACTAAAGGGGCTGGGGGCAGCGGTGGTGTGGCCAGCTTCCACGATAGGGGGTTGATGCTCTAGTGCTTAGTCTAGGCCGGGCCTTGACATCATGAAATGGAGGAGTTTGTCTCTTGGTGACTGTTGCAATGCTGGAGGGGCAGGGCTGCACCCCCTTACCATCTGCTCCTGGGCTAAAGAGGGATCTCCACTCTCGGAGGAGTTTGCTGAGTCATGTTTGTTCTCTTCATCCTGCTCTCTGTGTCGTGCTGCTGCTTTTGGGGGTGGATATTAAACGAGTCCCCCCAGGCAACCAGAGAAGGATTTCTGGTAGTTCATGTGCCTGGAGAGGGCTGATAAAGGGAAAAGGGGGAAACTGCAAGAAATTATATGAACTGCACATCAGAGATTAGAAGGATTCTGTCTAGTTAAAATTAATATATTTAAAAAAAACATGCTTCCTTATCTCTGCTGCTAATAACACTTGAGGTTGCGGTGGCTGTGAAAGCGTGTTAAAATCAAACGGACTTTTCACGCTCTGTAGCACTTTTTTGCAGCGGGGGAGAGGAACAATGGAAATAAACTTACTTTTGACCTTTATTTATTGTCAGTTTCTGATAAATTTCACTTTCAGGCTCACCCCACTAGTGCCACATTGCAAATATTTAGGCTACAAACACTGTACTGGCCATTTTTTTTTGGTGTGTTTTTTTTCTTAAATTGCAGAAAACCAAAACAAGTAAAAAACTTTCTGATTTTTTTTTTCTTATTCATGGAAACGTTCGCTTTAGCTGTTAGGCCTCGTTTCTGCTGTAGCTGATCCATCTGGTACTTTTTTTTTCTTAAGGGCCAAACTTGACTTGTGAATTCCCCTTTTAACTTTTTATTTGGGAAAAGTGCTAGGAGATTTTTTAGGGCAAGTCGTGCTCTATTTTCTTCTTTTTCTGAGCTTTGTTTTTATGGTGACCTTTCCCCCCGCTCTTTTCTTTCTTGATCCAGGTTTTTTATAGATGCTCAGGGCACCCTGATAATCAAGGAGGCTGTCCCTGAGGATGCTGGGAATTATAGCTGCTTTGCTGCCAGTCGGATTGGATGGGATGAGCAGACAGTAATCCTACAGTACACAGGTACCAGCTCCTGTAGCTTGTCCTAATGCAGAATTTCCATTGGGAAGACTCCGTTGACTTTGGATCACTTACCCAGGAGTGGTGTTATTAATATTGTTTGTATTGTGGTAGTGCGCAGGAGGTCCATTCGTGGACAGGACCCTTCTGTGCCAGGCGCTGTACAAACCCATAAGAGAAGGCACTAGAGAATAGGGCCTCTGCAGAGGACTGTGCTAAGACCACTGGCCTTGGGATCACTTTGCTACAGACAGATGCTTGCAATACTCCTCTGGGGCCTGATCCATTGAAGCCAATGAGCTTTGGATCGTGGCCGTCGTCAACAAAGTCCCAAGGGAGGCCTGCAATGGTGGGTTCCCTTACCTGGGGTTACTCACTCTCCCAGGGGCTTGTTGGAAGAACTGGAGGGTCTTACTGAACATTAAAGTCGTCACCTTCAGGAGCAATGCGGTGTGAGCAGAGAGCTGCCCAGCAAAACGCTGATGATGTTTTCTGGTTTCACAGTCTAGTTAAGATGAACCTTTCTGTTGTGTCTTATAGTTCCCTCGTCCCTGTCCTCTCTCCTCCTCTGTGCTGTTCTCATTCCTTGATTCTGTGTGTAGACGGGACACAGCTGGTTTGAATGCCTGGTGTTTTCCTTAGGTGGATGCATGGTCAGACTCTTGAACTTTGTGTCAAATCCCTTGTTAAAGAGGTTATGCTCCATCCTCATCATCAGGCTGTCTGTTCGGAACCTCCCTCTGATTTATAACACACCTAGTTACCTTCCATGTTACCTTCATTCTCACTTCAGCCCTTGTGTTGGCTCAAGAAACTGGGGCCCTGAGGATGATCAATAACAGCGTGTTACAATAATAACTCAACACTACTGCTCCCTCCGCAGCATTTCCCAAGCACCCCACTTTTTCCTGGGATATTTCTAAGCAAATCATTTTCCCAGGAAAATTTCAGCACACATCTTTATCTGTTACAGAAAGATAAGACCAGAAATGCAAGTTTCCAGAACACCTCCCTAATAACAATCCTGAAGCACCATTCTGGCTGGCCCAGTGTCTCACTAGCTAGGAAATACCGACCAAGAAACAGATTACAACATCAGGATGTAACACTGCAAAAAAACGAAAGAAATAGTATTTTTCAATTCACCTAATACAAGTACTGTAGTGCAATCTCTTTGTCATGAAAGTTGAACTTATAGATGTAGAATTATGTACAAAAAATAACTGCATTCAAAAACAAAACAATGTAAAACTTTAGAGCCTACGAGTCTACTCAGTCCTACTTCTTGTTCAGCCAATTGATAAGACAAACACTTCTGTTTACATTTACGAGAGATACTGCTGAAATACAATGTCACCTGAAAGTGAGAACAGGCATTTGCATGGCACTTTTGTAGATAGCGTTGCAAGGTATTTTACATGCCAGATATGCTAAACATTCATATGCGCCTTCATGCTCTGGCCACCATTCCAGAGGACATGCTTCCATGCTGAAGACGCTCATTTAAAAAAATAATGCATTAATTAAATTTGTGACTGAACTCCTTGGGGGAGAATTGTATGTCTCCTGTTCTGTTTTACCCGCATTCTGCCATATATTTCAAATTATAGCAGTCTCGGATGACTGCCCAGCACATGTTCATTTTAAAACACTCTCACAGCAGATTTGACAAAACGTAAAGAAGGTACCAATGTGAGATTTCTAAAAATAGCTACAGCACTTGACCCCAGGTTTAAGAATCTGAAGTGCCATTCAAAATCTGAGAGGGACGAGATGTGGAGCATGCATTCAGAAGTCTTAAAAGAGCAACACTCCAATGTGGAAACAAAAGAACCCGAACCACCAAAAAAGAAAATCAATCTTCCGCGGGTGGCATCTGACTCAGATGATGAAAATGAACATGCGTCAGTCCGCACTGCTTTGGATTGTTATCGAGGAGAACCTGTCATCAGCATGGACTAATGTCCCCTGCAATGGGGATTGAAGCATGAAGGGACATATGAATCTTTAGCGCATCTGACATGTAAATATCTTGCAACGCCGGCTACAACAGTGCCATGCGAATGCCTGGTCTCACTTTCAGGTGACATTGTAAACAAGAAGTGGGCAGCATTATCTCCTGCAAATTGTAACCAAACTTGTTTGTCTGAGCAATTGGCTGAACAAGAAGTAGGACTGAGTGGACTTGTAGGCTCTAAAGTTTTACATTGTTTTGTTTTTGAGTGTAGTTATGTAGCAAAAAAAATCTACATTTGTAAGTTACACTTTCACGATAAGGAGATTGTATTACAGTACTTGTATGAGGTGAATTGAAAAATACTATTTCTTTTGTTTATCATTTTTACAGTACAAATATTTGTAATAAAAATAATAATATAAAGTGAGCAATGTACACTTTGTATTCTGTGTTGTAATAGAAATCAATATTTGAAAATATAGAAAATATAGAAAATATCCAAAATATTTAATACATTTCAATTGGTAGCCTATTGTTTAACAGTGTGATTAGTCACGATTAATTTTTTGTGAGTTAACTGCGATTAATTAACAGCCCTAATAATAATCCTTCCTTTCTCCCATCTTTTGTCTTGCCTATTTAGACTATAGGCTTTCTGGGAAAGGGGCTGCCTCTCATCATGTGTTGTACAGCGCCTGGCACAATGGGGCCTTGATTGGGCCCTGGGCACTGCTGTAACATTAATAATGCATGTTTGTGTGACCTTCAAGATCTTGCCTTCAAACCCACCTGTGAAGTGGCTAGCATGCCATGGGCACCCTGTAAATAGTGTCTGGCAAAATGAATCGGTGGCATAAACCAGAGCTGGGGCAGCTTGGGAGAATCATATGTTAAACAGACGGGCAAGGGAAAAGACAGATTCATTGTAGCCTCAAGAATGAGTTCTCATTGTTAGGTGAGGACCCTCAGCAAGTCTATCGGTGCGTGGTATCCTCTGCTTATGTGAGACTGTGGGAGCTGCGGTCTGTTGCCAAGCACTGCAGTGCATCTCTGCAGAACAGTTTGCCATAGGCATTTGCCCTTGGAGAGCTGGGTGGGTGTGGGGGCTCCCAAGCTGGTGCTTCATCCCCATAGATGTCCCTCCCCCGGGGCCGCGGTGTTTCTGGGGTATCTCGTGCATACTCGTGAAGTGCTTTCCAGGGTGGAATAAATTTGGAGCCTTTTTGTGTGTGTCTTGGATACAGAATCTCCCCACGTCGCTGCGGTGAGTCCTGTTGTGCAAGCCCTGCTGGGAGAAGATGCGATGCTGGAGTGCCACGTTTCCGGGGTACCCCCTCCCCAGATCATATGGTACAAAGGTAGGGCTGGAATTGACTCAAGTGAGCTATGCAACAGTTTGGGGGGGCTAGGGGCATATTAACTACCCCCCTACTCTTAACACAGACAGATTGCGCCTCCCAGTCCGTTATCCCTTTCCTGCAGATGGACTCCACTTCACAGCCTCACCTGGCTAGCCGTCTTCTCGCTCCTGAGACCCCAAACCTCTCTCCACCCTGCCAGCCAGCAGCAATCCATTCTGCACTGCATTGCACCTGCTGCTTGGACTGTTCTGTGTTTGGGATGCCCTGTCTTAGCCTGCCCTGGCATTGAATACAGGAAATCCCCTGGGCAGGAGGCAGAACCTTCCTGAGATATTTCCAGCTCCATTTTGCAGGCTCAAGTTCTGTATCCAAACAAACTAACTCTCCATCCCTTTGAAGATTTGCCCATTGATGGCAAGAGAAGGCAGGAAGGGGCTTTGAGGTGCTAAGGCAGTGAGGAATAAAGGTTTGACGTTCAGTATCTTTCCTTGTCCAGGGGAACAGGAAGTGGCATCTTCTCCTCCCGGTGCCCATCGGGCGGTCCTGCAGCTCCAGGCAGTGCAGGAGGAGGATTCAGGAGAGTACATCTGCGAGGCCATCAGTGAGGCGGGGGTCTCCTTTGATGGCATCCTGCTGGAAGTTGGCTGTAAGTCTTGACTTATAAAGCTTTGGGGTCCTTCAGATTATTAAAGAAAAACCAGCTAACAGTGGCAAATGACCTGCTCCGCTGGGATGTACGCAGTGTAGTTGTAGCCATGTTGGTCGCAGGATATTAGAGAGACCACGTGGGTGAGGTAGTATCTTTTATTGGCCCAATAGAAGTTGGTGTAATAAAAGATAGATATTACCTCACCCACCTGGTCTCTCTATACCCCTTTGAGAGAATTCATGGGAGTTTAGACTGGAATGACCCAGTTCTGCACTCTGAGCTATTCACTGATACCTCCACTCTCTGCCCTGTTACAGGTGAGTCTCTCTCTCCGCTCCCGTCAGTTTATAGCAGCCAGCCTAGTTCTGGATTTCATCCTGCCCTTGAGCTCTGCACCCACACTGAAGTCTATGGGGCTTTCCAGGGCATAAGTGAGGACAGGATTTAGTTCTGGATGTTCTACACAACCAAGATCCCTTCACTCACTGCACCGCTGGAATGCAGCCCTTTCTAGGGTGGAAACGCGGCAACCAGCACTGTGCTATCTGGCAGGAGTTCTAGCTATAGGGGGCGAAGAGTCTAACCATGAAACTATAGGGGGATTTCTACTGATGCATGACACCTCGGGGCAGGAATTGAAGAAGAAGGCTGCGTCCATTTGAAGTTGCAGGGTGGATTTGGGCAGGTAAAGTAAATGCTCAAGCTGTGAGTGGGCCAGGATGTGGGACACCTCTGGCGTCATGCAGGGTGTAAAGGGATCGTGTCCTCGTATGCCCAGGGACTGCACTTCACATCTCTAACAAACAGAGTTGTTTTATTGCAGTAGCACTGGGAGGCCCCGTTGTGCCAGGCCCTGTACAGACTCCTAGTGAGAGGAGCTCCCTGCCCTGGAGAGCGCTCAGTCTAACGAGAGGCAAGGCAGACAGCAGAGTAACACAGAGAGGTGAAATGGCTTCCCTAAGGTCGTACAGCAGGTCCGTGACAGAGCTAGGACTAGAACCACTCCAGTGCCGTAGCCAGAAGACTTCACTGCCTCTCATGCGAGAGAGAAGAGCGCCACCTACTGAGTCACCAGCATCATGTCCTAGAGCGTGTATGCTCCTTTTCGGGCGCCCATCTAAGTACTGTACAGGTTTGACTATATGTAGCTAGAGAGAGGAAACAGCGAGAGGTGCTATAGACCCAGTCTCTACTAAGTTGCAGCCTGGAACTGTGGGACCACTGTGCCTCCTTAACTCGCCAGCCTGGACTGTCTCTCACAAAGCTATGCTAGTGACAAGCAGCAAACCCCTCCAAGCACTGTGATCACTCAGCCACCAGCACATGGAGCTCCACACCCAGCTAAATGGCATGAATGCTCCCAGAGCTGCTCATGAATCATACAGAGAGAGGCACCAGCCAACCACCCCAGCCCCTGGCCTTGCACCCCAGAAATATACCATCTTACACTGCTCAAGACTCCCTTAGACAGTGCGAGTTCATTAATTAGTTCACCACTTCTTCAAAGGAAAGAGGACATGCCCCAGCCTTTGTCATCTGAGCTGAGATTCCCCACACACTGCAACCAAAACCACTCTGTTCTAGGTAAAATATAAAACAGATTTATTAACTACGGAAAGAGAGATTGTAAGTGATTATAAGTAGCAGGCATCAAGATCAAAGTTGGGTGCCTAAGAAATAAAAATAGAAACGCCATCTAAACTCTAACAAACTGAACAGGATCTAAAGCAGTCTTTCACCCTCATAGATGTTACAGGCAGCTCACAGTTCTCAATACACAGACTGAACTGCCTGTCAGCCTGGGACTAATCTCCCCAGTTCAAAGGCTTTGTCTTCCAGATGATCTTCCAGGTATTGAGATGGGGGAGGAGAGAGGCCAAGCGATGATGTCACTGTTCCTCTTTTATACTTTCTTGTAGCTGCTAGAAAGATCCTTGCTGTGAGGGTTAGGCTGCCCTCCTTGGGGAGGCGCTTTCTCTGTGGAGTCTCTGGGATAGTGGATTCTTCTTGATGGGCCATCGACGCCTGTCTGGCCAGTGATCGTTTCTCCTCTGTCCCTACTGAAAGGCAAGCTGTGTGCATCTCCCAGCCTCCCAATGAATTTCAGTAACACAGATAGCAACACTTCATAACGTCACATGCAATCATAGGCGCCGACTTCCCCACTTTCCCGTGGGTACTCGACCCCCCCCGCTGCCCCCGGCCCCGCCCCCACTCCACCCCCTTCCCCAAAGTCCCTACCCCAACTCCATCCCCTCCATGCCCCTATTCTAACTCCTTCCCCAAATTCCCGCCCCGGCCCTGCCTCTTCCCTGCCTCCTCCCGTGAGCGCGCCATGTTCCCGCTCCTCCCTCTCCCTCCTGGAGCGTGCTAACGCTGCCAAACAGCTGTTTGGTGGTGGCTGGGCGGGAAGTGCTGGGAGGTAGACGGGGGAGCGGGGACGCAGTGCGCTCAGGGGAGGAGGAGGAGGTGGGGCAGGGGGTGAGGGGAGCTTGGCTTCCAGTGGGTGCAGAGCACCCACTAATTTTTCCCCATGGGTGCTCCAGCCCCCGAGCACCCACGGAGTCAGCGCCTATGCATGCATTGATAGTACATACAATTCAACAGGATAATGAGGTTCAACAGATCAAAAGCTTTTAAAATACCTCACAAGGAATGCATTGTACAAAACATATCATAATCAGAGAACTGGAAGGGACCTTGAGAGGTCATCTAGTCCAGTCTCCTGCACTCATGGCAGGACTAATTATCTAGTCCATTCCTGACAGATGTTTGTCTAACCTGCTCTTAAAAATCTCCAATGATGGAGATCCCACAACCTCCCTAGGCAATTTATTCCAGTGCTTAACCACCCTGACAGTTAGGAAGTTTTCCCTAATGTCCAACCTAAACCGCCCTTGCTGCAGTTTAAGCCCATTGCTTCTTGTCCTAGCCTCAGAGGTTAAGAAAAACATTTTTTCTTCCTCCTCCTTGTAACAACCTTTTACATACTTGAAAACTGTTGTCATGTCTCCTCTCAGTCTTCTCTTCTCCAGACTAAACAAACCCAATTTTTTCAATCTTCCCTCATACGTCATGTTTTCTAGACCTTTAATCTAGAATTTTTGTTGCTCTTCTCTGGACTCTCTCCAATTTATCCACATCTTTCCTGAAATGTGGTGTCCAGAACTGGACACCATACTCCAGTTGAGGCCTAATCAGCACAGAGTAGAGCGGAAGAATTACTTCTTGTGTCTTTCTTACAACACTCCTGCTAATACAGCCCAGAATGATGTTCACTTTTTTTGCAACACTGTTACACTATTGACTTATATTTAGCTTGTGGTCCACTATGACCCCCACAGCCCTTTCCTCAGTTCTCCTTCCTAGGCCGTCATTTCCCATTTTGTGTGCAACCGATTGTTTCTTCCTAAGTGGAGTATTTTGCATTTGTCCTTATTGAATTTCATCCTATTTACTTCAGACCATTTCTCCAGTTTGTCCAGATCATTTTGAATTTTAATCCTATCCTCCAAAGCACTTGCAACCCCTCCCAGTTTGGTATCATCTGCAAACTTAATCTGTCATGATCATATGACAGTGGTGAAAGTGGGGGTTCCAGGGTGCTACTTTGAGGTACAGAGTGTCATACTTCTATAGGAGACCCATTACTGCCGATGATTCTGTCATTCTCCTCTTCACTCTGAACGCAGGGGGGCTGGAGGCTTGAAAGAACATGGTATGAAAGTGCTGTGGTTACGCAGAAAGGGAGGCATGTGTCTCTGGCTGTGGTCAGAGTAGGTGAAATTGAAAATGTTTCATGGTCAAAAATGTGTAGCGCAAAAGCGTGAAAGGGGCGGATTCACAGGCGACGGCATGGCTCCAGAAAGGGGAAAGACAGCCTGGTGAGCGCTACCCAGAGGACAGCTTACTGATTAGCTCTGATCTGGAATGGGGAAGGTGTTAGTCCAGAAGGGTAGGGCCTGCTTCTGAAGTGTAGCTGGGTCTGCCTCCAGGGGGTCGAGAGATCCTGCTGACACAAATAAGCCACCACTGAAATTCACTCCCAGTTCTCTCCAACCCTTGCAATGGATGCAGGTAAATCTCTCTTCCCCCATTTAGCTGTATCCGGCACTGGTTTTCTTGACTTCTGCTGCAGTGCCATTGTGCGTTGCTCTCACCGAACAGGGAGGTCTCAGCCCAGCACCCTGCCTGGAGATAGGAGTTCTGTGTCTTTCTGTGGAGCTCTAGGACCTTCCCTGCCCTACAGCACCATGCCACGTACACTGTATTCTTCTGGGCTGGCTCCAGCCGTCCTACACCACTCTCTGCAGCCAAGCACAGGACTGCTAAATATGGTTTTGTGTCCCCACACCTGCAAACTGCCCCTCATGCCAGCAGTGCCACTGAGGCCAATGTCTGTGTGGAGTTTATGGGACTGAGCCCTACACCATGGTGAGCAGAATTGTACTGGAGCATCTGCCCTGGGTTCAGCGTGGGGAGGGGAGGCAGAGAAGGCGCCCTGCCCGGTGGAGCAGAGGAGACAGGCTGGTTACTACCTCTGGGCGTGAGAGCAGCACCAGCTTTGTGGCAGTCCTTGGTGGTGGGTTCACGCAGACCCGCTCAGGCTCAGAGACTCTCGTTTAGGGGCCAAGCCAAGATGAAACCTTGGGACTTCTCAGCTGCAAACTCTGTGCTCGTCCCTTCTGCCCCCAGCTTGCTGGACAGAGCAGGTGGGGCCCGACTAGCATGAATGGGGTGACTGACTGAACCCCTCCTCAGGGGGAGCTCCTCACTGCGCGTACGGTGGTGTGGGCTGAGCTGGCTCCAGGCCACCTGGCTTTTCTCAGGGGGATGCCGAGCCTGAGCTGTTTTGAAACAAGATGACCCTCTGCACAGCCTGTTCCCCTAGGTCAAGTGCAGACCAGCTGTGTTTCCCGCTGGTACAGACTGCAGAGCAGTTGCCAGCAGCGGAGGGGGATTTCCTCAGGCAGCAGGTCCCAGCCAACACCCCCCACGCACCCGGCCCTGGGGTCCAATTGCTCTGCTGTCGGCACGCTGGCTCGGGCTGCTGAAACGCAGCTGGCTCTCTACCGTTCTCCCAGTGCAGCCGGGGCGGGTGGGAGCTAGAGAACGAGGGAGAAGCACCGGGAGGCGTAGCCGAAGCCAGCAAAGGCAGATTTGAGCGCTAAGGCGTGAAAGCAGCTTCCCCAGCCTGGTGGCTGTGTCACTGTCTGGGCAGCAGTGGGGAGTGCCAGCTCCTGGCTCTTACGAGAGGACACGGTGCCACCTCCATGGGAGAGGAGGCTCAGTGCCTCGCCAGGCAGGTACGGCGCTTCTGTTTACTAGTCGGGGAGCCTCCTCTCCCCTGCTTCAGCGTGACCCGGCTCAGTCCTACACCCCTTGGATCCGAGCAGGGTGGTGTCACCACACAATGGGGCACAGAGCAGTTTGTGCTTCCTAGTGGTGGGCAGGGGCTCTCCTGGGAATCCGTGGGGAGGGAGAGGGTCGGAAAGCCCCCACCCTCTGTGTTCTTGGACCCGCTGCTTGACTGGGAGGGTGACTCTCACTCCTGTTGTTTTGATACTTTCAGGAGGAATTTCCCAATTCTGTCCCCGCGAGAGCTCTGGGAAATCTCGGAGGAGTCTCCTCCCACTCACCACCCATTCTTTGTTCTTCCTTGAACGCTCTTCAGCCATGAGGTCTTGGACTGCGACCTCCCTCCATCACAGCTGAGGCCTGGATGGGGGCCACTCTGGATCCTGTTATTAATGCTCTTAGATCAGCCAGTGGGATCCTGGCCAGCTACTCCCTAACCCCAGAGACTTAAGCCATGGCTTTGCTATGACTATAGCCCAGTCAGACCTGGTTACAACATGGTTGTCTCCTGAGCCCATTACAGCACGGGTAAAGTGTGTAGTGAGAACGGGACCTGACTGGGTCCAGTCTTGGCTCTGGTCTAGCTCTAGTGCAGGTGAGCTCTGTCTCCGCAGCCTGCCGGCCTGGCCCCTGCCGGCCTGGGGAGGGAAAGAGGGGGACTTGAGAGGGAAGAATTTGCCAGTTAGACTCCCCGCATGTTGACGGTGAAAAAAGCCGCCTCCCACTCTTTGGGGCACACTAAGAATTGAGGATGCGAGTAGTCTAGCAGCTGCTGTTGTGGTTTGGAGAAGACAGGATGTGTTTGGGGATTTTCAGAAATCTTTGTGTGTTTGCGCGGACACCCAAGAACAGAACAAAGACATGATGCAGCTAGGCATTGCTTAGCGAGGAGCCGCAGCCAAAAGGACATGAGACAAGGAGTCAACCTCCTCTTCTGAACAGGCTGGCCCCTGCTAGCTTTTCCGATGTGGCAGGGGCTCGAAGCCAAGGGTACGGTGGGGTATGGGCCTCCTTCAGACACTCTCCTGACCCAGCTGCTGCTTCCCACATGCTAATATAATCAAGAGCAAAGCTCCTGGCAGGGCCATGGAGTGAGCCCAGGTTTCCCCAGGCCGGAAGAAGGAAGGGGAAGGGACAGGGGCCGTCTGCCTGGCTTCTGGTGCTGGGGGGAAGTTGGTGGGCCTGCACTGGTGTCAGAAAGGCAGCCAGCTCTGGTGTGTGTGTGTTGTGTACACTGTCCTGACTGCAGGCTCCCCCACTCAGCGCTCGGTTTCTGTATCTGGCTCCGTCCTGCATGGTGCTAGCAAGGCAGCTGCTAGACTCATTATAAAGGGAGGCAGTGGGGTGAATTCTGTAACGTTAACCAGCGCGGGAATTGCCCAGACCAGGTGTTGAGACTGTTCTATGCTGGCGGAGAGGCCCAGGGGAACAAGAGGGCATCGCTTTCCCAGCAGCAAGCCCTGAGCGCATTGCAGCGCAGGACTCCGCTCTCGCGCTGGGCAGAAGTGGAGGTAAAGGGGAAGGGTTTGCAGTTCTTAGACATGGGCACCTGTGACAGGATGAACAAGCTCCATCTAGGGACACTCAAACCGGTGTATAGAACCCAAACACCAGCCGGCTAAAGTGCCCATCTGAGTGACTGCCTCAGGCGGCCAGCCTGGAAACCGGGCCTGCAGGGAGAGACGGAGGCGAACAGTGAGCGATGGGTCTCTGGGTGGCCTTTGAAGAGCATCTATGTCCTCATAGAACCTAGCCCTGTGTCTACTGGGGGGAGACCCCAATGACTCCAAAGGACTTTAGATCAGGCCCCTGATGCCCCAGATTAACTTTGGGGCAGCCTTTTTTTTCTCTCTCTTGGGCTGACTGGTGCAAGCTGCTTGGTTCTCGTGCTGTCTTAGTTACCCTGCGACCTGCTGTATCTAGCTCGGTATCTGGGAGGTGAACTTGTGGGGAAATGAACGGTCCCTTTCCCTCAAACTATCCCTCGTCCCCCCACAGTCCCGTCCCAGTAAAGTGATGAGCGAAGGGCTGAGAAACTGAGAGAGTGGTGCCGATACGGGAGGGTCTCCCCGCGGGGGTGATGGGAGCTTGTCACTTGGGCCATCTGTGAGCTGGGCAAACCAGTGAGAAATACCCCTGAGGCACAGCGCCGCGTGGGGCCTTGCGGGGTGGATTCAGTGACCAACCGGGTCTTTTCCCCTCTGGCTTCTGCGATTTGCTCCCCCCTCCGTTTGTCTCAAGCTGTTTAGATATTCTTAGCTGAGCTCCGAGCTAGATCTTCTAGCTCCCATCATGAGTGGGCACCGCGGTGTGATATGCTGCAGCTAGATGCCTCCCTCCACGTTAATGGAAATGGACAATCTGAAAACAGCCGATGTGTCCGGGGCTCTTAATTGTTTTTTAAATGGCAGCTAGTAAGAGCCACGTGGAATTGCATCATGCTCCTTGGGGATTTCAATTCTTGATTTATTTTATGAGAAAAATGAAGCCCCGGAGAAGGAAGATCACATTTGTCAGAGTGTCCCTGGCCAAGTTCCTGCCCCTTTTCATGCCCACCATGAATGCAAAACCATCTTACAAGTTAAAACACAACCTGCATCTGGCAACTAATAGGTCTGAAGGGGCTGGCACCGGTTAAATCACTGGCTTTCAAATCCTGGCAGGTAGGTCCCAGGGTGACCAGGAGTTTAGTACTGCCAACCCCTGGCAATGGAGATGGAGAAGATCCATGCTGTCTATAGATAGGACCGTTCATGTCTATAGTTATCTCCATCTCAATAGAGATCCTCAGCATGTAAAGCAGCAGAGAGGGACATACTGACCTAGAACTGAAAGACAAGAGGGTGAAGTACCCAAGTCCCAGATACTTTCTCTCCTGTCCACCATGACTGAGTTGGACCCGGTCGTGTCATTGTGTTAATCAGTAAGATGATCAGATGTTAGAGACAACAGGACTTATTAGGTCATCCTGTCCATATGCCAAGCACTGGGCCTTCTACCTTTTGACTCGAGTCTGTCGCACACCCTAGTGCATCTTGGTGTTGTGAGTCCTGCTGGTTGTACGCTCATGTGAAATACATTATAGCTAAACCTGTATTTAAATTTCTACGTCTGTTGGAAACTTTTTTTAATGTCAATAACTTATTTAAAATGGAATGGGGTACAGATTGTCTTCAGGGGCTGGGGTGTGGAATGGATATGATCCAAAAAGGAAACTTCCAGCACAGAGAAGATCTACCTAGGTGCCCTTTAGAATGAAACTGATTGTCCCATTTAGAGATTATGCTAAATTGGTGTCAGGACTGGATCTGAAACTCTTCTCTGCTTTCTCTTTCAGCTGCCCCTCGGTTTGCAGAACGCCTGCAGGATGTGTCTGTGGAGATGGGGAAGAGCATCAGTCTGGCATGTCGCGTTGAGGGACATCCTCCTCCACTGATTTCGTGGTCCAGACAGGACGGCAAAGCTGTCACTGCCCAGCCTGGTCTGCTCAGCAATTCCAGCCTTCTGGAGTCTGGTGAACTCTTTATGGAAAGTAAGAGAACCGGGACCATTTGTACACACATGTACAGGTGTATGCCTAGGCACGAGCACTTAGTGCACATCTGGGTGCGTGCACATGTGTTGCATGCACATCTGGATGTGTGTACACACTGCACACATGACTGGGTGTGCGGAGTATTTCTGTGTATTATCTGCCAAAAGATGTGTGTACTCTTCTCTTTGTGCAGTGTTGCAGGTGTGTTGTCACCTTGTGTATACACATAAGCGTTTTGGGAGGGAATTGGACTTATGCCCTTGCTTTGTTGTATGAAGAAGTTGATGGGTTTGGCATATTCCTTGTGTTTGCATCCTTTGGTAACTGCACTCCGAGGTGTGTATGCTTTCACAACTGGCTTTGCACGGGCTTGTTGCCTCTTACTTTTGCTAACCAGTGGCCCTGCTTCTCCACTGCCTTGCACATTGTTTGCAAAGGGAGTGTGAGGCGCTACCGTTCTGACGTGGTAGCATGGTACACCCTGTCCCAGGGCTAACGTCTCCACCCTTTGGCCCACCACAAGCAGGCTGGATGCTTTCCAGGTTTATAAGCATCCGTGTGTTATTTATTAGGTCCCCTCCACCAATTCATCAGTACAGCCTCGTGCGGCGACATACGAGTGGACATGAACTTGATCATCCTCATTTGCTCATCAGCCTCCTGCCTAATTAAGCCATTGGGCACCGATCTCCCAGTGAAATCCACTCTTGAGGGGAGGAATAGCTAATACCCTCGTGACTAGAGTGCTGGGTCAGACCTCCAGCACGCTGTCACACGCCCACTTCCCACTCACCTTGGACAGGTGTATGTGACAATGCTAGGCAGTGCGGGATTGTTTTTGAGGCGGCCCCACGGTTTGCTGGTGTGGGCTCTTCCCCCTACCAGAGCTCAGAGACCTGGCTGAGCCCCTCTGTATTGCCTTGCTCAGACCTTTCCTCTCCCTCTGCCCCAGGTGTGTCACTGGATGACCAAGCCGTCTATGTCTGCGAAGCACAGAATGTATTTGGGAAGATCCAGGCTGAGGCCAAGCTCACAGTCACCGGACATGGTTTACAGTCTTTCTTTTTGACATGTTTGTTATTAGCCTCGTGCCATTGCTAAAGCAAATGAAAGCCTGGGGCGCAGACGCTGACTGTCCCTATGTCTGTGTCTGTAATGATGATAACAAGAACAGGAATACTTGTGGCACCTTAGAGACTAACAAATTTGTTTGAGCATAAGCTTTCGTGGGCTACAGCCCACTTCATCGGATGCATAGAATGGAACATATAGTGAGGATAGATAGATAGATGTGTGTATGTGTATATATATATATATACATACAGAAAACATGAAAAGGTGGGAGTTCCCCTACCAACTCTAAGAGGCTAATTAATTAAGATGAGCTATTAACAGCAGGAGAAAAAAACTTTTGTAGTGATAATCAAGATGACTCATTTCAGACAGTTGACAAGAGGTGTGAGGATACTTAACATGTGGAAATAGATTCAATTTGTGTAATGACCCAGCCACTCCCGGTCTCTATTCAAGCCCAAGTTAATGTAGCCCACGAAAGCTTATGCTCAAATAAATGTGTTAGTCTCTAAGGTGCCACAAGTACTCCTGTTCTTTTTGCGGATACAGACTAACACGGCTGCTCCTCTGAAACCTGTAATGATGGGGCTGACTCTTGTTCCACACCGGTCGCTCCTTTGGAATATGCAGCTTGGGAATTCCAGTGCCCACTGCCTGGGGCTAAATGTAATGCCCTTTGATGTTTAGGTTCATGATACTGTATCTAGAGATGAACCTTTACCCAAATCACGCAGCCAGCCCCCCTGCACTCTTGGGCAAGGTGGATAGGTTTAGGCTGAACCAAATTCCCAGATCTGATCTTTGGGGGGAAATGAGATCCAGAGAGACATACTGATAGAGACATCCAGATAGAGACGTTGTGGCTCTGGTCCATTTCTAGCGGTAATGTGTTGCAAAGAGCTCCCTCTGCATACGTGGATGTCATCAGCAGGGATTGAACTGCGACCTTCACAGCACCACGAATACAGGGCTCTGCCACTTGAGCTAAAGGAGTAACTCCTTTTGCTGTAAATAACTGGGCTGTTAGTCACTCGGGCCAGTCACTAGACGGGGACATGATCACACATGAAGCCAGTGTATTTGTACCCGCGTAGTAGTATTAGATCTGATAGACTGTAGGATGCAGCCGCTAGCGGTGCAACCATTCACAATTGAGATGTCCGTAGAATAGCTTAGGGGATGACCCAACGGGTTTATACACACGCAGATCCAAAGTTCCCCCCAGCAGAGGGCAGTGAGGAACCTGCATGAGGACAGAATAGATGCACTAACCTATGGCCAAACCCTGGTGTGAGTCCCAGCCCCTGCAGCTGTTCTGGCATGTCGATCCAGCCAGCACGGTGACCCTCGTGCAGTGGTGTGACCAAGAACTGTTTTGCTTTCAGAGGCTGGACAAGGCTCAGATTAATGATGTTTCATCCTGGCGGCTAATTTATAAAACACACCAAGAAGCAGAACTGTTGTCCTGGCTTCTTAAAGCCAGCTTGTCCCCACTTAATGTCGCCTTTTCCTTCTCCAGTTGCCCCAGCGATAGCTGTCAGGGCCCCTGTGATCCGTGCCCATGAGGGTCAGCCCGTCTCACTGCCATGCATAATCCTGGCTGGGAAGCCTCTTCCAGACCGACGATGGCTAAAGGACGGGCAGCCGGTGAGGTCTTGGTCCTCTGTCTGTTTAATTTGCTGCCCTGGGGGGCAAGGGGGCGGAGAGTGGTGAGTCATGCACAGGTCAGCAGAGTCCTTGCGCTGCTGGAGCCCGGGAGATAAATCTGATTGTTATTGATAGCAGCACGGCATTTGTTGTGCTGCGTCATGTCATTGTGATGGTGTTAGTCAGCGGGATGATGGTACAATCAAAGTAAGAGACAGAAAAGGCTTCGGAGAATAGCCCGGACAGCCCCCAGATGTTACCACTCGGACCCCTTCCCTTGGGAGACCATCATACAGATCTCGCTGTCAGGAAGCTTTGCCCTGATATTCAACCTAAATTTTTCTCTTTCTTAATTTCCCCCTTTACTACGAGTTATGTCCCTCCAGGTTGCACTAAATAACTCCTCTTCCTCCACAGTTACCCCCTTCAGAGACTGGGGGGCTGTTGTAATATCTCCCCTGTGTCATCACGGAGCCAGTCTCCACCTACGGAGCCCCCGGTGATAGTCTCTCTTCTCTGAGCTCCTCCAGGGGCCAGATCCTTGGTGGTGCAAACTGCCATAGCTCTATTGAAGTCAATGGAGCGATGCCAGTTTATACTAGCTGGGGATCTGACCTTAGACATTTTCCAAAGGCAGAGGGACAAGCATGTGATGCTCGTTGAACTGACCATCAATCCTGACTCATGGTTTCTCTCCGTTCCCAGGTCACGCTGGGCAGCCGCCATTCCATACGCACAGATGGAAGTTTCCATATAGACCAGGCCTTCCAGGAGGATGCTGGGAAATACACCTGCGTGGTCACTAACGCCATTGGCTCTCGCAGGCAGAACGTGACTCTTGCCATCCATGGTGAGCGGTTTAGATCCGGGCTTTGCACGTTGCTCGTCTGCTTGCTGGCTTTGCACACTGTCGTGTTACAGTGCGAGGAGGCAGCTGCCGCGGTGGGTGTTGAGTGCGCACCTCCTCTGCCAGCTTCCTACAAAGCACCTACGAAACCACGGTGCCTTTTGGAAGAGACACGGCTCTTGCCACGGAGCGAAAGCAGCAACGATGCTATCTCCAGGCCAGAAAAACGTGCGCTGTTGGAGCCGGTTTCCTTAGCAAGCGTCAGTCCCCAGGGCAGCATGTTGTTGACAAAAGAATTTAGGAAAATTCTTATTATCTGGCAGCTCTGGGACATCTGACTGGCCTGCACAAGTGCAATTTGATTCTGGACAAGTAGACTTCAGCTGCGTACTAAAACTCCTGGGGGTGCTGACTGAAAGGCACAGACATGGGGGGACACATGGTGGGGGCTTCTGAGATGGGTGGAGCTGCCTAGGGGGCAGTGACTTTAAGGCTGGAATTCTCAGAAGGGCCTAGCACTCCCAATTGGGGCTAGATTTTTTTCAAAAGGGCTCATCTCCCATTTGGTCACGTCTGGCCAGGAGAGCTGAGCTGTTTTCAGAAGCTGGCCCTCAACTAAATCGCCAGCTTTTCCGAAGGGCTTGGCAGGGCCTTTTCAAAAGGACCTGGGCTCCCTTGAAAACCAGGCCATTGGGGTCGCCGAGCACGCTTGCAGATCTGGCCCTTAATTAGATGGCTGAGTGGGAGCTGAGATCTCTTGCAGCTGTGGGTGCCGAGCACTTGGAAATCAAGCCCTGAGCGCTGGCCCTGCCTCGCTGTTCTCAGTAGTAAGCAGTAAGGAGGACGCTTCTCTCGCTTACAGTTCCGCCCAGCATTCAGCCTGGTCCTGCCCTCTATAGCACCAACGAGGGAGTGGCGGTCACCCTGCCGTGTAATGCCAGTGGAGTTCCCTTCCCCACTGTTACCTGGACAAAGGTAGGGTGGAGGCTCTAATGCTTGGTCAGGGTGGGAGGGGGGGGCAGAAAGATGACTCTTTCTTGGCAGTATATTGGCAAAGGCTGGCTGCTGCAGGGGTGTGTTCGAACACATGTCACCAGCTCACTGCCCGGGGCAGACCGGGACTGGCCCGTGTCAGGTTGTGGTGAACCCTGAGGTCCCCACTGAGTGCTGAGTTGTGGCTAACACAGAGCCGTTTCCCAGTGCAGACAGGGCCAGAGAGATTGGCCTTAAGGCTGCCCCGTGTATCCGGAGTGGGGAGAGTGCTTAGATCCCAGAGCATCCAGGAGTTGTGGAGATGGATGCTCCTGAGGGAATCCAGCGGGAGAAGGGTTAAAAGCACCAGCCGAGCACCTCTCGCCCATGTTTCCCCCCCCACACTCAGTTAATTCCGGAGCCCCTGCTGTTTGTTCTTTTCCTTTAAAGGAACTGGAGCCCCTTTCCTCCCGGAGCCCCCACTACCACATCCCCAGCGACGGGAGCCTCCTGATCCCCCTGCCCTCTGCTGGAGATTCGGGTGTCTACGTCTGCACGGCCACCAACCTGGGGGGCTCCGCCAGCCGGGAAATCCAGCTCTCTGTCAACAGTGAGTCCGCTTGTCCGCTTGCTTGGGGAAGACCCAGCCAAGGACACGGCCTGTTAAAATGGCCCCCTCTACCAGCGAGCCTTGGGCTGACAGCAGAAGGGAGCTCAGCACCCTCCAGGTGCATTAATAGGAGCCTCGGGACTCGCCGAGCCTGTTCCCGGCTCTCTCGCCCTTCCCAAGCCCTCTCCGCCCCGATAGAAAGACAGACGCTCCCCTCTTCCAGTGAACATTTCCTTCCCTTCCCTGTTTGCGACTGAGCCTCCAGCTCTCTCGTCAATAAGCCCTGCCTAGCCCATGGGAGCGTCAGTGCTGCCCAGAGCTCGTACTGCCCCGTGCAGGGGGGTTCTAGGGAACGTGCAGAGGCAGCGTGGTGCAGTGGCTAGGGCACTGCTCTAGGAAGCGGAAGACCTGGATTGTATTCCCAGCTCTGCAGCTGACTTGTCTGTATGGCCTTGGGCAAGTCGCTTCACTTCTCTGTGCCTCCTTCTCCCCACTCCGCCCTTTGCCTGCGAGCGTCAGCTGTTTGGGGCAGGGGTTGCCTCTGATTGCTAGTACCCTGGGGCACTGGTCTTGGGTAGGGCAGTAATACAGCGGGCATTTGTCCCAAGCGGCTATGGATGTGCATAGTGCAGGACTGCAGTGAAGCAGCCCCATGGAAGCCCATCTCCCGGCACCTTTCCCGGGCGCTAAATTCACTGAGTCGGGAAAGGCCTTTAAAACCCGAGAGCTCTTCAGCCCGGACGCCGGCCTCACTTTCCTCTCTTTGTCCCGCCGACCTAGCTAAGCCCAGGATTAGCAGGAACAGCTCACGTGAGTCAACCGGGCCAATAAGAATCTTCGCCGTGGTTGGGCAGGAAACGACGCTGCCCTGTGAAGTTCAGGGATCACCCTCCCCACTGGTCGTATGGACCCAGGAAACCCGGCCACTGCCTCTCACCACAGCAAGGTAAGGAACTGGCTAGAAGGCGTAAAGCTGGGAGAGCCCAATGGGCTCATTGTTAGGAGTTCTCCGAGCTTTATTTATTTCCTTCTTCAGCTCTTGGGACTCTTCGTACACAGAATAGATTTGCAGCTACGGGCCAAACTAACCCCTGCTGTTGTTTCACCAGCTTCAGCGGAGTTATGGTGGGAGACTGCAGTAGAACGGCCCCTTTCTGCAAGTCTGTCGAATGCATGTGACGCCCGCTCGGCCCCGGAAACGATCTGATGTGGCTGAGCAGTCTGACGTGTTTCATGGGAAGGGGACGTTGTCTAGTGGTTAGAGCTGGGGAAGTGGAAGGCAGGAGATCCAGGTTCCATTCCTTGCTTTTACTGTTGGCTCAGCCTGCGGCCTTGGCACATTGCCTCAGTTTCCCTGCCTGGAACAGGGGGGCAGGGGTCCTCTGGTGCACAAAGATGTGCAGTTGGCATTGTTTAATTCATAGTAATGGAGCGTTTGACATCCGCGGGAGATGGTGAAAGCCTTGCACGTACTGTGGTTTAAGTCCCATAACTCCCCAGCCAACGCCATGATCCCTGGTACCATTCATGGTAGTGCTCAGGGACTGGGTCCAGTGGCTGGTCCCAGCCGATGGAGCAGGGACCCAGAGCTGGCGTGTCTCCCCAGCTCAATGTCGTTGCAGCAGGAATGCTTTCCTTGCTGGTTGCTGGGAGTGGCAATTAGTCTGTGCCTGGCTGGAGAAATCTGTGACCCCACAGATTCAGACGCCTCAGGATGATATCAGCCGTTGGCACAGCCCCGAAAGGAACCAGAGCGAGTTCTTGGATTCATCCCTAGCAGCCCTTTCTCTGAACATCTGTCTGGATGGAACATCTGCTTTCAACCCGTGTTAAGCTGAAGTGCACACGCCCCTGGAAATGTATGGGGCTTAAGTTGCACATTGGCTTGTGGTGGGGGAGAGGGCTGCTTTTCGTGCCCTGCTCTCCCGTCCCCGTCCTTCAGCACATCTGGCTTTTTGTGCATTCTTGGCTGGTGTGGTCATGGTTACTTCTTAAGGTAGCGCAGCAAGGGAGTGATGTTAGCAAAGCAAAAAAAAAGCCAAGCAAGTTTTTGGAATAAGGCCAGACCCGGAAAGGTTGAGTGATGTGATCTGAATGTGCTTAACTCCACCTCGGCTAAAGAGGGGATCGGTGCCAAGTGCCTGTTGAAATGTATTTGATTGAGGGTCACTGGTGAACTCGAGACAGATCTACTGCACAGCTAATCCCTGCGAAATGTGTTTTATGGCTCTGAGCTGGGATTTAATTGATATACAATCATCCTCTGGCCAAATGGCAGTGAAAAGCCTCCTTCACACACGCCATGTGTCACTCCAGCTCCTGCTCGTTCAGTGGTGGGCTCTGTACAAAACGCAGAGGAGGAGGTGTTCTCTGAAGACAAAAGACACCGACTCCAAAGGCACTGGGTTACCTGCAAAGTACTTCAATCTTAGGGCCCAATCGGGGGAGCTGAGCACCAGACCGGAGCTCCCCCTGGCTCCCATGAGAGGTTGAGGGTGCTCAGCACACGAGAGGATTGTTATTGCCCAAGCTAATGCATCCCCTGCTCACGTGAAGAGCCTTTGCTTGTGCATGGATCTGGCCCTAAGCCTTGGTAGCCTCTGAAAGCAAACCCAGTGAATGCTTCAGAGGAGGGGGCTCCCCGTGCTAGCAAAAGTGCAAGGGCTGCGCTGTCCTGGTACCGGGATCTCGCATGGAACATACAAGAGAGTCCTGACCTGGGCATGGCCCTTGCTTTAAACCTTGAATAACTGATGCTCTTGTGCCATCCATGAGCCCTGCGTGTCTGCTGCGCTGGAGATTGCCCGGGGTCTGGTTCTGCGAGTACAAGGTGAGCTGAGGCACTAAAACGACAGGATGGAAATATCTGGGCCTTAAAGTGAAAAATAGACAACTTTTGTTTTCCTCCCAGCAACAGCTTGGGGCCCAATTCAGGTCTGATCTAAGTGGGCTCAGCTCCATTGAAATCAGCGGAGTATAATCCTGGCTCCAGTGTGGAGCAGGGCCTTTCATTTAAGGGGAAAAAAATCTGATTGAGGCTGGCTAGCTACAGGGAATCCTGGAGGATGGGGAGGCCCCAGCAACAGCCTGGGGATCAAAGGAGAAGTCACAGAGTGATGTGCAGAGAGGAGAGAAGGCTGCAGAGTAACTGGCCACCCACAGTCTCCTCGATTTATCGGAGGTGCTTTTAGAAACCTCCATGAGCCCCTCGTGATCTTCAGTGTATTTATCCTCTCGGCACTCCTGTGCTACTATCCCCATTGGGCAGGGGGGAAACTGAGGCCCAGAGCGGGGAAGTGCCTTGCCAGAGGTCACCCAGGGAATCTGGCAGAACAGGGATTTGAACCCTAGTGCCCTAACCACTGGACCATCCTTCCTCTCCTGACTCCGTCCAGTGGCTGTCTCCGATGAGCGGTATAGCTGTTCAGTCCCCTATGGTAAACTAGTGGTGGGTCCTGGACCAAACCCTTGCATTCCAAACCCTCCCCTGCACTCCCCAACTTCTCCAGTGTCTGACCTGGATCCCGATCCCACGGTCGCAGGCCAAACCAAAGTCCTGACTCCGAACGTCATTGGGCCCATTGCTACAGACATGCAGCTGATTCCTTTTATGAACGGACATTTATCATTGCGTTTGTGTTGGGGAATCTTCGCGTCGGCCGGTGCCTTCCTCCAGGGGTAGGAGCGATGTCTGTGCGCGTGGGAGGGGATGCTGAAGTGTGGGTTAGTGTCAGAGCGAGAGACCCTGCATATGAGAAAAAAATCCAATGATGTGGACTTCAATGAGGAAACTTCCTACCAAACTCTCCTCTCGCCAGCTTGTGGTCTTGGGAGCTGTCAGCTTGACTGGTTATTCCGGGGCTGGAATAGTCACGTACCACTCACCCTGAAATGTTTCCCTGGTGGTCAGGCATCTGGAGGACTGCCACCACCACACATATTTCATTCTGAGTCCTGCATGAGTGGGTGGGCTGACCTCCCATCTCTCTCTCCCACCTCTCCCTGGCTCAAAACACTGGGTAGTATCTTGAGTCTTGGGAAGTGATCTTCCCAGGAAGGAATTCCTTGGAGTTATATTGGTGATGACTTACAGCACTTGGCCTGACCATGGTAACGTACTGAAGTAGGAGGTAAATTGCTTTTCTTTTCACTGCTCCATAGCAAACACTAATAGTTCATTGTTTTTCACCTTCCATTGTTTTTTTTCCCCATTAAGTTAATATTAATGTACTAAATTCATCCCCAACTGTATTTCCATTTACTTCAATGGAGCAATGTCCGGGATGAATTTGGTGCAAGAGCTTACACAGTGTGTCAGCTGACATTGAAATGCAGCCGCCTCTGGAGTGGAAAGTGGCAGCTGTTTCACAGTGCACAACAACGCCATGCAGCAATTGGGCTTTACATCATTTTTCTCATATGCAGAGTGCTTTGCAAAACTTGGAGTTAAGTGCAGCAGATGTGTAGGGAGAGCAGCAGTTCGGGGCCCAGTAATAGCTTTTATCTGTGGCAGGATGTGGGTTTAGAGGCAATTTCTGTTAATGCGGGTTAACTTTGGAGGGCCAAATTCATCCTTCAGTGAAGTCAATGAAGCTGACTCGGGTCACACCAAGGAGCCAAGATTTTCTACCGGAAGAGCCTATCTAGAGAGAGATTGGAACTTGCTGTCCAGCATGAGTCACTTTCCTAGGTTCAAACTGACCAAGCAAATCACGTTTAACCCTCAGAAGTAGGAACCTCTGTTAAAACTGTCTTCGCGTCCTTACTGGATGAGGGCTCCTTAAACGTCGAATCGTTGGTCCGTGGTCCTGGGGTTAATAACAGGGAACGTGACGCCCTGCCTTATAGTTTGTTAAAATTTCCCTTGATCTTTATCCCCCACCTAAACAGCCACCATTGCTGCGTGGAAGGGACCTTGATTTAACATCTCCCAGCGGAGTTTTTCCCCTCTTCATTCTTGCCTGTCTAAGTTCCTTTGTCTGCTTCCAGTCCCGTCCCGTCCCCTGCCCCCCCGTGACCCTTTCCCCTTGGCAATGCTTGCTGCCTGGGGACAGCCGCCTCTCCTCGCTCGCTGGGTTGATGGACGGGAGCACACAGCAGGGAGTCTGCGGACGTGGGCTGTGGTGATGTCACGTCTGCAGGATCCCCGACAAAAGCAGGGTCGCAGCTGGAGGGGAGCGTGTGGTCAGCTCCACTGCAGTAGCCCCCCTCAGGAATGACCGCCACGGCCACGGGCAGCTCTTTGTGAACTGTCTCCTTCTTCTACCTCGGCTTGAGCTCTCCTCCTTCGTCTGGAGGAGCTGAGCAAAGGGCCTTCGAGCCATGCATGGAAGCGTCTCATCCCCGGAGAATGTTCCCCAGTCTTTGGTCATTTGGTGCATTGTGTATCTGGACTGTGGTGTCTGTCTGGCTGTGGCAGGTTCAAGGACTCGGCCTGCACTCCTCTCTTGTGTCCCCTGCATAAGGATTCAGGGTAACTACAGCTGAGTGATGGTGGCAGGCTCGGATCAGGCTATCGCTGGGTTAGAGTGTGACTCTGGGGCAGAAGGAGCTAGGGGTGGGGCAGAGGAGAATCCTGCAGGGATGCCGTAGGAAGAGCCACGTTTGGAGGGCAAGGTTAGGCTGAGGGTGGTGATTTGGGGTTGGCCCCAGGCCGGGGGGTATATATGGCCTCTGGAGGTGGGCTGTCTTCAGCGTGGGGAGGAACTGTACATAGAGGGCTCCTCTGCTTCTCCCGGACAACTGACTCATGCGTGCGATTCCCTGTCATTATACAGGCATCTCCCGTTGATGTACAACGTCTGGCTGCTAAGAGAGCTTTAAGGAGACCCAGGCAGAGAAGGGGCCATGTGCTGTTCTCTCCGCTCTTGAGGGTTTTCCTTTAGGGTATCACCCTGGTTGGTCTGTTCTCTTCTGATCTAGGTACAGCATCCTCCCTTCAGGCTCCCTCCGATTGGCTGAGCCCAGGGTGACTGACAACGGCCTTTATACCTGCACGGCAGTGAACCCAGCTGGGAACTCCTCGCTGAGCTACCGCCTGGAAGTCCAAGGTACCTGTTCCAGCAGAGCTCTGTCTGGCATGTCCCTGGGGCGGATAAGCTGCCAGTGGAGCGCTGAGGTCATTAAGTGTGTATGCGGCGGTGGGGGGATTGCATTGGAACAGCGAGGTCACGTCCTACGTACCCCTGGCCTGCTGTGCTCTAGGGCCTGGAAATGCCCAGCAAGAGCCCTTTGCAGGGTGATGATGTTCCACTACAGGCAGCGCTTGGATCTGTCGATTTCCTCTCCCAGCTTACAAGGGAGGTGGTGCGGTGCCCATCGCCATAGCATTTGGGCATTAAGGGGAATAGGCAGCAATGTTCTGGGATGAAAGGAGGGGACTCGGTTTATGCTGGGCCAGTGATTTGGGGTCTGGGGGAGCCTCCTAGGGCGGCTTCTCTTGCTATCTATTTCACATCCCAGGAAGCGTCACTGGCACCCAGTCACTAGGTTGCCCCTTGTTATGCCCCAGGCTGGATCCTCTGCATTAGTTTGATGTGTTTGCTGTTGGGTCTTTCCCATCTGGGTATTTAGTGACCACAGCATTGCTCACACTGAATACAGGGGCCTGAGCATCCAGGTCCCCTCTGCTCAAAGAATAACATCCCTGGTCTCTAGGACTCTTGGTTGGAACAAGGAGTGAAAAAGGCTGAGCTGGGAAATCGATGGTTTCCTGGGAAGGTTTGGGTGGCAACGCTTCAGGGCCAGCTAGAACAGGCTGGGCGTGGCTTGTTGAAAGCTGTTCAGAAGCTTGTGTCCGGATGTGAGGTGCACTGGCAGCAGCACGGGGCATGTCCCAGCCACACTGCCTGCCCCGGCTGCGTCACTTGAAATTGGTCATAAGGTCGCGTGTTCAGAGAGGTTCCAGGACGTGACCAACTAATTTCCCAGTGTAAACGGACCCCAGTATCCTAAGAGGGAAACCCATCCGGGGCCAGAGCCAACACCCATTGAGACCAGCAGCAGCCTTTCCTTGTGTTGTGCTTAGCACTGGATCACTGCCCAAATCACTACTGTGTGTCAGTACATCCTCGATCCAGCAGACGGGATGTAGACTCCTGACTAGACCAGCATGGTATTGAACTTTCTACCCAGCGGGGCTACGTGAGGCTCGGACGGGACCCTGTATACAGACAGCTGCTCACACAATTATCCTGCTGCTGGCCCGGAAGCATTGCAGGCTTTTAACCTAAAGGGATGACCGTGCTACTGAGTTAGAAATGCAGGAGATGCTAAAGTCATTAAGGAGCCGACATCTGCTGTTCCAGCACTGTCCTGGCTGGGTTTACGTGTTCATTTCAACGTGGTCATCAGATTTCTTTCTCTTCCCTTGGCCTGATCAGAGTCCAGAAACAGGGCTCCCCCCAACAGTGCCCATGGTTTGAACCTACCTCACCTACATGGGGCTGATGGATAGCTCTCCTGCTCTGCCAGACAAGGTGGGAATTGGCACCACATGCCCTGTGAAGGCGTGAAGCCCTCCTGTAGTTTGATGGAGGGTCCCCTTGTCCGCTTGCGCTGGGAGAGCAGTCCAAGATGCTGCAAGCAGAGGAGGCGACGCTCTGACTTGGGTTTCTACGGACTGTTCATCCGTTTCAGTGAGGGGCTGGTTAGAGCCGGGTTTAATGCAGGCGAGGTGCCCTGTGTTACTGTCTGCTTTAAAAATAGCTCGAGGCTGAATGGTTTATGAATGTGGGTAAACACTCTGCATGTTCAGCCAAACAGCGGCACGTCTCAACTAGGGACAGGTGATCCGCACTGCTGCAGCGGCATGGACCGGGCCGAGCCGATGGCGTGGCTGTGTTTGTAAAGGAGAGGTGGTTCCGATGGGCAGATGCAACGCTAGACATGGTCTGTGGCCGCTGGGCAGCAGGGATCTAGTGCAGGAGGATGCACTGCTCTGAGCGGGTTCTAGGAATAATTTCCCACCATCTCCAAGAGCTTTGTGAACATGGACGGATGGAGCCCTGCAATCCCATTGTGAAGTGGGTCCCTGGAAACCCCACATTTTACAAAGGGGGAAACTGAGGCATGCAACAGTTAACAGCTCTTGCCCAAAGTCCCACAGCGAGACTAGAACCCTGGTCGGCTGGTTCTCCCTCTCACTAGTAAACCATACTTTACCCCTGGAATAACTGTTTTGTTGGCTGTTGTCTCTCACAAAGTGGTGAGGCCGCCTGAGTCCATGTCCATGTCCATGTGCTGATCTCGTCCATTGCCTGTAAAGCCAGCCGTAACTGTTCACCTGGCCAGGGCCCCACTTTTCATCGAGTAATGTCCTTGGGGGCCATTAGACCCAACGATTAAGGCAGGGAAGCCCTGCCCTCTCTGTTTCAGCTCAGTAGATGCCTTTGTTATGGTGAGAGAGCAAATCCACATTCTCTCTCCCCGCTCCAGTACATGTCCCCAGTCTGGAATGGCTCTGTCTTCATGGCAAAAGCTTTGCTCAAAAGGGAGCTAATTTTGCCCAGAATGTCAACTCTGAAGCGCTATCAAGCAGCCCCGTATGGAACGAAAAAATACACAGCTAGGGCTGCCACGAAGCGGGCACTGGGCTGTGACTCCTCTTCTCATGACAGAACAGTGTAGTAATGGTCAGAGCAGAGAACAAGGGCTCAGGACTCCTGGGTTCTATCCCTGGCTTTGCTACTGGATCCCCAAGAGACCTTGGGCATGTCACTTTACCTCTTCCTGCCTCAGTTTCACCCTCTGTACAATGGGGCTAATGACACTAATGTCCCGCCCCCAGAGTCTGAGATCTTTGGCTCAGAGGAGATTCCAAGAGCCATTTACGCCGCTGTCCTTCCTGTACATTCTCTTTATTTCAGTGCCTCCTCGAGTTCAGCCAGGCCCCAAGGTCCTGAAGGTGCTAGTGGGTCACACGCTGGACCTGCCATGCATGGCTCATGGCGATCCAGTCCCCAAGCTCAGATGGTCCAAGGATGGCAGCCCGCTGAGGGTGGGCGACCAGGATTTCCTGGAGGGGCCCGATGGGACGATCAACATCCTGGACGTGCGGGTCTCCGATTCGGGGCGGTACCGGTGTATTGCAGCCAGCAGCGCTGGAGAAGACACCATTGAGTTCGTGGTGGAGGTGCTGGGTGAGTGCTGAATCCCGGGTGCATGACGCGGCTCTTTCTCTTTCACGGGGCTCCCTGAGGTGATGGCTGCCGTCATGGCCAACGGCAAGGCATGAACGGGGGACCTCCACAGTTAAGGGAAGGAGTTGCTCTGGCTGGGGCTGTAACAGACTCGTGTTCTCTGGATCGGGCACAGAGCAGGACCGACAGCCGCACTGGCCAGGAAGTTACTCAGGAGCAATCTGCAGTTTGGGGTTAAAGGTGCAGGGCCTGGCCAGGGAGGAGAGTGAAGTGAGATTAAGGTTAAATGGGGCCTAGGTCCTTCCAAATTCCAAGGTTCCCTTCCTCTCCCTTGCCACGTGGGTGGAAGGTCCGCTGCTGCCACATGCCACCAGCAGGTCTTTGTGCCGTACCCTCTTCTGTGACAGAGTGAGCAAAGCGCCTGTCTCAGCCCAGCAGGGTGGGGGCGTCCTTGGAGCCCCCTCCAGAACCAGGTGCCCCAGGGATCCTGCCTTGATCCTGGTTCCCGCTCTAGCTCGTTCCAACGTGACTAACATCCATTAGTTCATACCTCTGCTCCTCTTTCCCCGAGACGAGTCTCCAAAGGGGGCAAGACATCGGGGGGCCAAACTCTCCCCTAGGGGATTAGGCCGGAGAGTCACAAACGGGACCAAATGAACCATCGGTGCAACTTCTGTCCCCTCCAGAGCCGCCCTACCTGGATGACAGTGCAGATGTCCTGCTAGAACGAGTGCTCCATGAGAACGTCACCCTGCCCTGCCCCGCCAAAGGTAAGAGACCAACTCCTTGAGCTGAGGGGGTTCTAGCGTCAGAAAGGCATCGTGGACTAGTGGTTAGAGCGCTGGCCTGGGAATCGAGATCTGGGTTCTAATCCTGACTCTGCTACTGAGTTCCTGGGGAAGCTTTGGGCAAATCACCTTCCCTCATTGTGCCTCAGTTTCCTTATGTGAAAAATATAATATTTACCCACAGTACAATTCTCTACCCACAGCCCTTTGCCTGTGTTTCAGTTCCCTGCCTGGTGTGTGTGATGTTAACGGAGACCGGGAGGGACTTCCATTCTGAACTGGGGGTCACCAGGTCCATATTTGGGGTGCAGCCATGTTCTCCAAGGTGCAGCCCCTTAGTCATTCTCAGCAATCCCCACCGTCCTGGAAACCCAACCCTACCAGGGCGACCGGCCCAGGGCCCGCTCTCTGGGCACTGCAGATGGTCAGATGACTCTTCTGAGCTCAAAGGTGGGGAGGTATCGTGATCCCCATTTACAGACGGATCTGGGCGAGTTGCCCATGTTCACCCAGCAGGTCAGTGGCAGAGCTGGGAATAGAGCCCAGGTCTCCGGAGTGCCACTCCTGTGCCCTTTACCCGCCAGCCTACGCGGCCTCTGACCTCAGATGTTCCAAGGCGTCTGACTCCCTTAGTCAGTGAATCAGCTCCTGGTTGTTCAGGGCCCTCCTGGGTGCTGGCTGTCTGTGGAAGATGCCCCTCCCCACGCTTAGAGAGGCAGGGCCTGACTCAGTATGAGAGCACACCAGGGGATGGCGAGGCGCCTGAATGGCTTGCGTTGAAGTTCATGCGGGTTCTTCATGGCACAGCTGGCCTGGTCCTCAACTCTATTCCCTGAGCTCAAAGATGGAGCCGCCGCAGGTCAATAGAGCCGGGTCAGTTCCACAGCCGGGAGTACCCAGGGAAACGCAAGCAGCAGGTTTATTCTCACTGCACCCCCATCCCACCCTGCCTTCTCCGCAGCTAGCTCTTTCCAGATCTGCCCTGAGTCGGTTTTCTCCACCCGCTCCCTGGAAAGCATGAATAACTTGCAGCCATTCGGGGGCTCATTGGGCCTGGGATCTCAGAGGAGAACTCCTGCAGTAGCTACAGCGTCCTGGCGTCTGGCTTGGGAGCGGAGGGGGCAGTGCCCTGATCTTCCGGGATGCGCAGTGTCTTGGATGCAGATCAGTGGGTGTTTGTCCCAGATGGGGCAGCCTCAGGGAACATCCCTGGTCCTGGGATAGGAAGACGGGCAGAAATTGCCCTGGCTTTTCTTTCTTTTACTCCTTCCATCCTTGCTCCTTGTCTTCCATCTCTCCTTCTGCTGGCTCAGGAGTGAGCTGGGAATCCAGACTTTCACGCCAGGCCCGGCGCTGCCCCTAACTCACCCACCGGGCAGCCTTAGCTGGAGATGGCCGAGAAGTCGCCAGTCAGAGCAGACAGGATTTATAGTAGCCAATCAGCGAGCAGGAAGGAGCAGACATTGCGGTACAACAGCCGCCCCCTGCCTGGTGTCCGTGGCACATGTGGTGGTGGAGCGCTGGCAGGTAACATGGTACCGGCTCCTTTCCCTCGTCTCCAGTGGCTTCTATAGGAGTCTGGGCTCTTCCTTGCCCAGAACATCCTGTAGGAGCAGCTGGAAAGGAGCCAGCCTTGGTGCCTGATTGGTAGCTCTGCATTGGGGGGGATGGTACCGTGCTGCATGGGAGGGGAGGTGCTACGAATCGCTCTTGCTAGGAAGATGTGGTCCATGCAGTGAGAATGTGCAACATCCCTTGTAAGTCGAGGGGCGGGGGGGTGTCCCTTGTAACCAGGGCTGCCCGGGAGGGGCGGGCAAGTGGGGCAATTTGCCCCAGGCCCCTGGCCCCAGAGGGGCCCCCACGAGAATATAGTATTCTATAATATTGCAACTTTTTTTTATGGAAGGGGCCCCCGAAATTGCTTTGCCCCCAGGTCCCCTGAATCCTCTGGGCGGCTTTGCTTGTAACTGGGTGATAACGGTGCCTCTGGCCTCAATCAGCCCAGGGTACAGTCATCACTGCATGGCCAGGGACCGCCCTGGGGGCGGCATGTCAGTCAATGCACTCTGGGTGGGGTGGGCGTGAGGGGATGCAGCCCCTGGCTGACTTTTCCCCCGGGGAGCTTGGTGCTGTTAATTTCCCCTTAGCCGAGCCTGGCACTGCAGGGGAGGGACGGAGCCGGGAAGTAAAGCTGTACCTGGAGCGCCTCCGTGTGGCTATCAGCATGCTGCACACCGACACGGATTTGAGACCATCATTCCGACAGGGCTCTGGGAGCAACTTCTCGGTGTGCGACGCATTTAACGTGTGGGGTGGGCCGGCCACCAAAGGCAGCGCTGAAAGGGGCCACCAGACAGGCACTCGGGAACTGGCCTTGAGCAGGGTATGGCAGGCAGGGTAGCCCCATCCAGGAGCTAGCTGCCGCCCGAGATAGGACTCCGACTAGACCCCTTGATCTGAGCATCGCCCTGTGTTCTAGGGGTGTGCATTGAAATCTCAATTTTGCAGGCAGCACCTATTCCTCTAACAGGTGGTACCCACCCTGCAGCTTCTACTTCCCTGAATGTTGGGGAGTGGGGCTGCGACGGGGGCATCAAGGAGTGGGGGTGAAACGGGGCATCTGCGCGAGTGGCTCTTGCCTAGAGCGAGCTGCAGCTGTCTGGCTGATCCACAGGCATGCCGAAGCCGGCCGTCCTCTGGCTAAAGAACTCTGCCGAGCTCCTGGGCAGCTTACCGGGCTCCTCGGTGCTGGACGAGGGCTCTTTGGTGATTGGCTCTGTGCTGCCCAGCGACAGCGGAGAGTACACCTGCCTGGCGACCAACGAGGCGGGCTCTGTGCAGAGGAGAACCAAGCTCGTGGTTTACGGTAAGAGGGGGCCGCGTGGATGGAGCAGATCCCGGTACTGGGAGGTTGGGGAGGGGGGTTGTCCAGTGCTTGGGTGCAGCAGATTGGGCTCAATACCCAGTCCTGGTCTGCGCTCTCTGTTGCCAGCAAGGGCAATCTCCCCTGTGGGAGCTGTGACTGAACCTGGGAGCAGAGCCTGGACTCTGGTCGGCTGTCTGGAGCTGAGCTGGTGGGGCCATATGTGGGGAGGGATGCTGGGGGAAAGTCCTAGTTTTTCTGATCTCCTGGCGTCCTGGGGAACATTGGGGTCAATTCCCTAGAGAAGGCCTCTTGCCTCCCACCCCTGTGCCATGTGGGGGGATGGGAGGAGAGGCAGAGGGGTGTCAAGGACAAATGAATTGGGAAGCTTCGGGCTTGACTTTAAAGCCTCAGCCGTGAGCCCACAATGCTGGGGCTAAAAGGGGCTTGTGGAGAGCTCCTCCTGCTCCTACAGGTGAGAAGGGAGGACACGAGCAAGGCTCCAGAGCTGGGAGATACAGAAACAAACCAGTCTCCTAACTGGGAATGTCTCACTGACTCCTACAGGTTCTCACCACATTGGACCCCGGAGGCTGCTCAGCCACTGAGCTCCCCCACGCCCTGCTTTCCCCTGCTTTCAGCTCAGCGGGATAGGATGTGGGTCAGCAAAGAGTCTCTCCCCACCCCCAGTCCCATCAGTCTGTCCTGTCCGGTTGCCAAAATGTGGCAAGGAACTTTTAGCCAGCTCCCCAGGCACTTTGGATGCCCTCGTGTTCCAGCCAAGGTCACTTCGCCCTCTTTGCTAGCTGGCTGCAGGCAGCCGTCATTTGCCACCTGGAGAATCTGTTCCTGGACATACAAGGAACGTGTGGGCAAGCCCTCTCCCACTGTGCTGGAGAGGCAGGTGGGCCCCTGGGCTGATGGACGGGTTGGTCTGTGCATGCCTGGTTTCTGTCGATACAGCCGTTGAGTGGCCAGATATGTCCAGGTTTGCTTGGTGTGTGTTCATCTGAAGGGCGTGCACTAGCCCGGTGAGTCAGCTCTGCGTTCCTCTGCTTGTTCCTCTCCCGACGTGGCTGTTCCTCTCCTTTCACAGCACCCCCTGAGCTGAGAGGTGACGGCCCCAGGAGGAACGTCTCCATCCTGGCCGGCCAGCCCCTGACTCTGGATTGTGATGTTTCTGGCATCCCAGCCCCTACAGTCACCTGGTACAAGGATGGGCAATTGGTAAGTTGCAGCAGAAGAGAGCTAGTGGACACCTTCGGCGTCAGAGGGTGCTGCTGTCCCTTGATTGGAGAATGGCAGCAGAAGTCAGGGGCTCTGATCTGGAGCTGGGTAGCAGTGGGTAAGGTGCTTCCCACCTTGTTCTAATTCTAGCTATTTCCCCACAGCTCACGGAGAGTGGCAGCCTCCATTTCCTCAGTGGAGCCCAGTCCATCAGGGTCCACGAGGTGCGGAAGGAGGATGCGGGGTCCTACACCTGCAAAGCTGTGAACAGGGTTGGTGAGGTGCAAAGACACTTCCACGTCCTTGTTCTAGGTGAGTCACGGGACTTAGCCTCCTTCTGTCTAAGGCAAAAGTATTCCTGGTCATGCCAGCGAAATCTGCTTAGGGACTGATGGGAGAGACACTAATCCCAATGTCCCAGCCCTCCCACCAGGGCTAACCAGCCAGCCTGCTGACAGTCCATCAGGGGAAGGGCTTAACTTCCTTGGCAGCCACTAATCCTCCACCTCCCCAAAGCCAACAGGGGTGCAGGCCACGGGTTGAATCCATGGGGTTGAATTCAGAGCTTGGAGTAAGCAAGTGCAACTCCATTGACTTCCTGAGAGTTGCACCCTCTTACACCAGGTCTGAGTTTGGCCAGGTGCGTTATGTTCATAAGAACATAAGAATGGCCAGACTGGATCAGACCAAAGGTCCATCTATCCCAGTGTCCTGTCTTCCGACAGTGGCCAATGCCAGGTGCCCCAGGGGGAATGAACAGATAGGTAATCATCAAATGATCCATCCCCTGTCGCTCATTCCCAGCTTCTGGCAAACAGAGGCTAGGGACACCATCCCTGCCCATCCCGGCTAATAGCCATGGATGGACCTATCCTCCACAAATTTATCTAGTTCTTTTTTGAACCCTGTTATAGTCTTGGCCTTCACAACATCCTCTGGCAAGGAGTTCCACAGGTTGACTGTGCGTTGTGTGAAGAAGTACTTCCTTTTGTTTGCTTTAAACCTGCTGCCTATTGATTTCATACGGTGGCCCCCAGTTCTTGTGTTATGAGAAGGAGTAAACGACACTTCCTGATTGACTTTCTCAGTGAGAGAGGGTGTTGAATGAATGAGGAGTTAAAGGGGAGAAGCTCTGCTGAGCCGTCGCCTCCTGAGAAGCCTGGGAGTGGCTGCACTGCAGTAAGGAAGTGCAGCAGTTTTCCACTGTCACCTGCCTTTATTTTGCTAACTCCGCCCCTGCCCCCGTAGGACGCCAGGGCATGGTTGTTCTCCTTCCTCTCTCTGGACTGCATGTGGAAGGTGAATGGGAGGAGGACGGTGAAACCGACATGCATCTTGAATGCACCTTATAAACTGTAATAAAGCTGTTAATCCCCTTACAGAGCAACAATCAAACCACCCCTCCCTGCCCCCAGGTCATCCCCTCACCGCCCATATCCTTGGCCATTGTCATTTTGGCTCTCCCAGGATCTCCTCCTTCCTTTCCTCCCCTAGTCTCACCTGTGGTGTACGGCTTGGGGTCGCCCCATGAGGTGTCGGTGCTGGCGGGCTCTGAGGTGGAGCTGGCGTGTCGGACCACGGGCGTGCCGCCTCCCCAGGTGGAGTGGATGAAGGATGGACAGTAAGTGCACAGCGGCTGTTGCAAGTCACCGGCCGGGGCTCCCTGGTGCCCAGGGACGCGGCCAGCTCGGGTCGGCTGGAGGTTGCAGAAGGCTTGGGTTTAACGGGGTTGCGAGGCGGGTAGGGAGTAAGCCCGGGCAGGCGCTAGGGACCCCACACTACATGCAAGTAGAGAATGGGCTCCAGGAGCAGAGAAAGTGCTTTCGGAAACCCGGTGCCCTTTCCAGCCACTTCCTCAGAACGTCCATTGCTGAGACCCTCCTTGGCAGTCTCAGCACGGAGGCCAAGGACAGAGCTCTTGCCTCTCCTCCCCGGGGAGGGTTCCTCCAGCTCACAGGCCCGTCACGATGGGATCCGTGCAAGCTGCGTGCCGTCCTGCAGGCCAGGCTGGCTCTCCCGCCGGGGAATAGCTCTGCCGTGGCGTCACTACGGGACACTGCAGCACACGGTGATGGTGCAGCTTCAAGGTGCGAGGGCTCTGCCCTGGGAGCTGCCGTGCTCTGGAGTTGATCTCATCCCCAGAGCCTTGTGATCAGACACCCCCTCGGAACTTGTGAGGGGTACGTCAGGGTGGAGTCGGATGTGGGGGAGTTTTTGCAACGGCTGCCCCATTTCTGTGGGCAGAGGGTCTGGGTCTCCAGGGCAGTCTATCCAGCGCCTTTCGCCAGCACCGCGTTTGCTAAACAAGGATAAAACCTCCCAGGATTCACTAGCACCGTTGCCCTAAATGCAGCAGGCTCTGCCCTCTGGCTGTTGTCTTATGCCTTGTTCTGAGTCTTCTGTATCCTCAGGCCTCTTGCCCCGATGAACTCCCAGATCCAGCTCTTGGAGCAGAGACAGGTGTTGAGGATCCAGGCCAGCCAGCTGAGGGACCAAGGGAAGTACCAGTGCCTGGCCTTCAACCAGGCTGGCCAGCAAACCAAGACTTTCCAACTGCACGTTTACAGTAAGTTCCCAAAGTGGAATTTCCTCTGTGACCTGCTTTTAGAACCGCAAACGGAAGTAGTGTGAGTGTGACAATAGGTACGTCTACACTGCAGCTTGGAGTGAGCCTCCCAGGCTGGAGAGATGGGCTTGAGCCAGTGCGCTAAAAGTAGCAGTGTGGACATGGCGGCCCAGGTGGCAGCTGGGGCTCTCAAGCCCTCCCGACCCCCAGGGTCTGAGCTGAGGTGGTTTTGGTGCGCTAGCTCAGGAGTGGGCAAACTTTTTGGCCTGAGGGCCGCATCTGGGTATGGAGATTGTATGGCAGGCCATAAATGCCTGGGGGCGTAGGGGGACTCTATGGGGTGTAGCATGGGGGGCTCTATAAGGGATGTTACCAAGGACTTATGGAGTGTAGCGCAGTGGGAGAGGAGCTCTACAGGGGTGGTACCGGGGACTCCCAGGGGCCCTACCGGCAGTGACACCAAGGCGGCCGTACCAGGGAGCTCGAGGACCGGATAAAAACGTCTAATGGGCCGGACGTTTGCCCACCCCTGCACTAGCTCGAGTCCCGCTAGCCCAGTCTGTCTACCCGGGCTGGGGGGCTGGCCCCAAGCTGCAGTGTGGACGCACCCAGAGAGAGATTATCTCCCCCAATCTCTTCCTCCATGGCCCTTGAGGCCAAGTCTAGTTAAAGTAATTGACGATCCAGTTATGCGTTGCCCCTTCGGGCTGTCTAATGGTGGTGGCAGTGGGCCACGCGCCTGTTGTCTGCAGATGCTCATTGCTCTCCATCTGTGTGCTGATCTGTACGTTCGGGGTGCGCGAGAAGCCTCTGTGGTGTTACCCAGTGGGTGACAGCTTCACCATGCCAATGCACTGCCCTTAACGTAAGTCTCCTTTACTCCCCTGTTTCCTCAATCCCTGAGCCTCCATCCTTCCCTAACTGCTTCCGGGGCCAGAAAGGAGCCCTCTCCTGCCATGTGTGTTACGGGGGCTCACCTGCTCTAGCATCAGGCATGACCATGGAGTACATAGGGGTTTGGGTACCCAGGCCACTGCTGGAGGCAGAATGCAGTGGCCCACTGGTCCAACCGAGCTGTGTGAGCGCTTCCTTGCCACGCTGCCCTGCCCCCTTCCAGCTGGTAAGAGTCCTTCTTTCATCAGACCGGCGTTACTTCTCTAGGAGTTGCTTGGCATAGTCTACTCTGAAAGGACCAGGTGTGAACGTGCCATGGCTTCCGTGTAACAGCGCCTTCCCTGCCCTTGTGGACCGCCCTGCCCCAGGAGCTGTGGAACCTCCTCTGCCCAGCCCCTCCAGTGCAGCTGCCTCGTGGCGTATTAATTCCCCCCCGCCCGTTTCACTCTCCACATTCATTTGCATTTTCAGCCCCACCCACTATCCTGGGGTCCAGCGAAAGGCTGCAAGTCGTGGGCCTGTTCAACCGCCCCGTCGGGCTGCAGTGTGAGGCTCGGGGCTCGCCGGCTCCCAGCATCACCTGGTTCAAAGACAAGCGGCCCATCGTCTCCAGCGCCCGGGCAGCCTACGCCGAGGGGGGGAGGAGCCTCCAGCTGAGCCGGGCCCAGCTGTCCGACGCAGGGCTCTACACCTGCCGGGCCACCAACGTTGCAGGGGTGGCAGAGAAGGCTGTGAGGCTGGAGGTGTATGGTAAGGCATCCCGAGGCGCGCGGCCACCCGTCTGACGTGCTCAGAGAGGCGTGAGGGGGAGAGGGACGCCATGCTCATTCTCCCCAGCAGCGTGGGCTGTACGGCAAGTGCTCCCGGCTGGCCACAAGGCAGCACTGGCTGGACGGGCCAGGGCTCTGTCAGTCGGAGGCCGATGGTTTCTGGGGCTCGCTGCCATGGCCAAGGGGAGCGGCAGGTGCCTCTCCCGTCGTGCTCACCGGCTCCGCCAACAGCTCACCCCGAGTCCTGCAGTGACACGTGTGCTGCTGTCTTCCTGGGCCTCTCCCCTCATCGATCTCTCAGACCACCTCGGGCAGGGCTTGAGCTGAGCTGTACGGTGCGTGGTCTTAGGCCCATCCGGTGCCTCTGCTTTGCCAGCGCAGAGTCCCACCCTTCCTGGATCATCCCCCCGGCCCAGACATTACCAGCATGTCTCTATTCCACGTACCCGGTGCTAATGTCTTCCCTGCCCCTGCAGTGCCACCCGATATTGAAGGCGACAGCCAAGGAGGCCAGACGGTGGAAGCAGTGGTGGGCCAGCTGTTGGCCTTGGAGTGCTCAGCCAGCGGCCAGCCCCCGCCTGCCCTCTCCTGGCTCAAAGACGGCCTCCCGCTGGCCGAAAGCAATGGGACGCAGATCCTAGGAGGCGGCACGATGCTGAGGATCGAGAGTGTCTCGGAAGGCTCAGGGGGGACCTACACCTGCTTAGCCAGTAGCCCGGCAGGGGAGAGAGCAATCCAGTATTTGGTGGTGGTTCAGGGTAAGCCGCTGGGCACTAGGAGGGATGTCAGTGATGCTGCATTGGCTACAGGGCTAGGGGAGCTGCACAGCGTGCTTAGGGGTCGGTGACCTGCTATACCGTGACAGGGCCAAGGCCAGGGGCAACGTGCACTGCCTGGTAGCCCCCCTGGGCAGGGCAGGGGGAAGGGGTGCACAGAAGAGCTTTTAATGGGTTTGCCATTTTGGGTTTGAATTTTGTCATGTGTTTCACTGCGGCCTCCTGGCTGGTCCCAGATCCCAGGGGATGCTGACTGTGCCCTCCAGGCCCCCCGGCTACTCCCGGATCCCCGGGGATACATGTTCCCCTATGTCAGGGTCCCAGTCTGGGCTGAGGGTGAGCAGGACTCCTGTTACTCTCTGCTGACTTTTCTTTTGTGCTTTCTTATTCCAATCAGCTCCTCCTCAGCTGATGATTGGCGAGGGGGAAGGTCATGTGATAGCAATTGTGAATGACTCCCTGAGGCTTCCCTGCCATGCCAGAGGCTTCCCTGCCCCCAGGGTCCAGTGAGTACAGAGATGGAGGGCGCAAGGAAACCCCTTCCTGGGGCCTGGCACGGGTCTTCCTGCGGCTTCTTCACTCTTTGAGCACTGGGCTGTAGAGCAGGCTGAGTGGCCCCAGGGCTCTCAAAGGAATGCAGGATGCGCGGCATTCGCTCGCCATATTTGGGAGTGTCCCTTTGTGGTTAATAGCATTGGGGAGCTGGTGGGAATGCCCCACGGGGGTGGGAGGAGCAAAAGCTCTGAGCCGTTACCCCTGGAATTTTCCTTCTATTCAGTGGCTCCCCTCCCCATCCACTGCCCCGCTCCTCTCTAGTTTGGGGTATAAACTTGCTCCTGCTCGCACCACGACCCCATGGCAGTTCTACCGTCGCGCCATCCACCCGGGTGGCAGGAATTGTGCTGAATACACCAGTCATCTGCCAGCTGGGGAAACTGAATAACGAGGGGTGTTGTGCTGATTCACCCTCCTCTCCCCCAGTAATTCCCTCTTTCCTGGGCACAGCAGCTGGCATTTTGCCCTGCAAGGCTCTACGCTGAAATATCCTAGGGGATGTGAGGCTGCTTCACCTGTAGCAAACTCCGCCGGCTGCTCCATGATCCCACCCCCTGATGCCACTTCAGCTCCCTGTTCCTCTGTTGATTGCCTTGCTTGGTGGGCGTCAGGCCCCCTTCTAGGTGGCGGGTGGGGGAGCCGCTGTTCTTCACCTGGTAAGAACTCACCTGTCATTCGGTCTGCCCCAGGTGGCTGAAGAACGGCCAGCCAATCGGAGAGCTGGATGGGGTGGTGATGCCGGAGGACGGAAGGATGCTTTGGATTCCCCGTGTGAGGCCCCGTGACGGAGGGCTCTATGCCTGCGAAGCCGGCAGCGAGGCGGGCGGAGCCAGAGCAGAGGTGCGGGTGTCAGTGCAAGGTGAGCAGGACGGTCTTCAATAGCGACTGTCCCGACTCGCCTGTCGGAGAAGCACGTCCCAGGCTTGGTGCTGGGAAAGAGACGGGAGCATCTTGCTGGGAAGCGAGGTCTCAGCCAGCCTCCTCGGAGTGCTGCAGCTCCAGGGTCACCAGTTCAGCAATGACTTTGGCTCCTGCCCTAGCTCCTGAAGGAGGTGGCACTGGTCGGCTCTAGACAAATCGTGCCTGTGGGCAGGTCACTGAGTGCACCAGCGTCTCCTGCTGGAGGACTGGGGTGGCGTTATCACCTGCCCCCCAGGAGGCCACGAATCAGCACTGCTTCAGTCACCGCCCCCAGGAGGTGGAGGGTGGCAGGGACAATCACCAGGGTAAAGGCGGGGGATCTGGTGGGTCCCATCGGGTCCATCCTCACATATGAAGGAGACTGCAGGCAAAGGTTCAAATGGCTGAAGGAGGGCTATGACAGACCCACTAACACAGGGGTGGGCAAACTATGGCCCGTGGGCCGCCTCCGGCTCGTTGGACCTTTTAATCCGGCTCTCGAGCTCCCGCCGGGGAGCAGGGTTGGGAGCTTTCCCCGCTCCGGTGCTCCGAGCGGGGTCGGGGGCTTGCCTTGCTCTGCTCCACGTGTGTAGCAGTTCCACGCGGCTCCCAGAAGCAGGTGCAGCAAGGGGGCGCACGCTGCCTCCGCCCCAAGCGCCAGCTCTGCAGCTCCCATTGGCCGGGAACAACTGCCAATGGGAGCTGTGGAGGTGGTGCCTGCAGATGGGGCAGCGCGCAGAGCAGTGTGGCCCCGCCTCCGGAGTGGGGATGGGCCACAGTTTCCAGGAGCCGCTTCAGGTAAGCACTGCCAGATCCTGCACCCCTGAGCGCCCCCCCCCATGCCCCAACCCCCTGCCCCAGCCCTGATTGCCCTCCAAACCCTTTGATCCCAGCCCGGAGCACCCTCTTGCACCCCAAACCCCTCAACCCCAGCCCCACCCTGGAGTCTGCACCCCCAGCAGGAGCCTCACCACCACCACCCATGCGCCCCAATCCCCTGCCCCAGCAGAGAGCCCCTTCCTGCCCTCCAAACCCCTCCATCCCAGCCCGGAGCACCCTCCTGCACCCCAAACCCCTCATCCGCAGCCCCACCCCCACCCCAGAGTCTGCACCCCCAGCCGGAGCCCTCATCCTCCCCTGTGCACCCCAATCCCCTGACCCAGCTGGCCCTCCATACAATTTCCATGCCGAGATGTGGCCCTCAGGCCAAAAAGTTTGCCCACCCTTGCACTAACACCACATCTCTGCACACACACCTCCCCCTGGGTGTGATTGGTATGTGCCCACGCGGCGCCACATCCACCTCTCCCCCTTCTCTTGCCAGAACGCCCGTCGGTCCATGTTGTGGGCGGAGAGGAGCTCAGCGTTGCCTTTCGTCACTCGGTGGCTGTTCAGTGCCTGGCCACCGGCATCCCCGTGCCCAGCCTCAGCTGGTGGAAGGATGGAATTGTTCTGCAGGGAACAGGCAGCCTTCTGCGGGTAGGGTGGGTGCAGCCGCGGCCCAGGCCGGGGGTGGACGGATGTGAGCGAGAGTCCAAAATAGGCATGTTGTGGTGTGTGTGTGAGCATAAGGGCTGTTGCTGTGATGGTGAGCTGGGCGAAGCTGGTGCGCTGCTGTTCACTCTTGTTGGGGTGTGGGTGTGCTCATTACACTAGTGCGACATTTTAACAAGCCCTGAGGGTATTTCCTGGGTTAAGCGAACAGGAGCTGTTTCTAATGGGGGCTGTACCAATTGCTTTGCATACTCTGTAGTGTCCTGTCACCTCTGGGGATCTGGCACCAAACTGGGCTTAGGACAGCTGTGCTCTCAGCTTAGTGCGTGTTGGGCAGATGCCAGGTCTGTCTCTGAGAGCTGGGCTAGCAGGGGGGTGAAGTCAGGCTGGAGGTGCAATAGCAGAGCTGTGGGGGAGCTCAGGGCTGGCACAGCAGGGAGCGGTGGGTTCGATTGGAGGTGCCATGGCCATGCTGGCAGGGCTGGGGGGGAAGGAAAGACGGCTGAACAGCTGTGGCACGGAATTGCTGCCCTGAGCTGTTCTGTTTCCAGGGTGTGACCGCGCTCGCAGACAGTGTGTTTGTGTGGCATGAATCCCTCCTGTCCTCCCCGTAGATCGAGAAGGTGGACGTGGTGGACGAAGGCGTTTACTCGTGTGTGGCCACGAACCCTGCAGGGAAAGGGAGGCGAGACGTGAGACTGAAGGTGCTGGGTGAGGAGCCAAAGACGGGACGGGCTGCGCCTAGCGCTCCAGCCACTGGCGCCGTCCTGGTGGTTGGCATGCTGAGCTACAACTGCTTAAAGAGCCACCCAAACCAAACCGGATCAGTCTCTTCCCCTCCCCCATCCTCTCTCTTTCTTCAATGAAATCGACTCAGCCATCGCAATGTTTGCTGTTTATATAGCACCTTCCCTCCTGCAACCTCTGTGTGTTACCAATAATCATTGACCCTGCTAGGGCCCTGGTGCGGGGGATGGGGTTTCCTCCCATTTCACAAAAGTCACAGTGATCTGTCCAATCAGTGGCAGAGCTGGGTGTAGAACCCAGGAGTCCTGGGACTACCAGCCCCTGGCTCTAACCACTAGATGGCATTCCCTCCTAGAGCTGGTTATGGAACCCAAGAGGCCTGACTCCCAGCCCCTTGCTCTGTCCAGGCACAGCGGTGTGCCTAAAATCTCACCCTCCCAACCTCCCACCTCCCCGTGCTGTGTCTGGCGACGCCTGCGTGGGGCTGCGCAGAGCTGCCGTCCTGACGTGATGTTTCTTTGCAGTGCCTCCGAACATTGAACCCGGAGAGGTGAACCAGACCGTCCCTGAGAACTTCCCAGCAGCCTTTGAGTGCCTGGCCTCTGGAATGCCCACTCCGAGTAAGGCAACTCCGCTTAGGGTGACCAGATGTCCCGATTTTATAGGGACAGTCCCGATTTTTGGGTCTTTTTCTTATATAGGCTCCTATTACCCCCCACCTCCTGTCCCGATCTTTCACATTTGCTGTCTGGTCACCCTAACTCCGCTCCTTCTGGCTCGTCTTCTTTCCAGCGTTCGTTCATTTGCCTGGCCTGCTTTCCTCCCCCATCTCAGCCCTCTCTGCTCGGCTCTAAACTGGTCGCATGGGACTCCTTCTCCCTGTTGTGGTTCTACTTCAGAGCCCACCGCAGTCACCACCCGCTAAAGGGGCTCCATTTTATTGTTTGTAGTAGGGTACTGCCCATACCCCAGCGCACCTGGGGTCCCTGCTGTGAAAATGGGCAAGACAGACAAAGGACTGTTGTGGGGAACTGAGGCACAGAGAGACCAAGGCTGGATTTTCAAAGGAGTCAAAGGGAGTTACAGTGAATTACAGTGGATTTGAGTGTTTCGCTCTCTCGGGCACGCCTTTGACTATCACAGCCTAGGTGATTTCCCCGAGGCCACCCAGAGGGGTCTGTGCCAGAGCTGGGGACTGCCTCGTCCCAGCGCAGTGCCTGACCCGTGCGACCATCCTCCCTTCGGGGGTTGCCTGCCCTCAAGGCTGATGGCACTGCAGCCAGACTGCCAAGCCCCCCAGAATCAAATGCAAACCCCTCTCTTCAGACAGATCTGAGAAAAGACCAGGAGTCAGAGAATCCTGTAGAGGAGCAGCCCAGATTGGCTTGCACAGCCCCTGGTTATCACAGACACCTTCCTACTAGAGAGGCAGCATCTCCTCCAGCACGTGCCCACGTGCAACTTTTTGTTGCTGTTGTATTAGTAAAACAAATACAAAGAATATAATGGGGCATATAAAGCCAATATAACGGAGGTGGCAAAGGGTTTAAACCCCAGACCAGGCAGGCCCATGGGGTGGTGAAGGTGGCAGGGCCACTAACTCAGCCCATGTCCTCCTGCTTCCCGTCTCAGACGTGTCCTGGTACAAGGGGCCCCGGCTTCTCTCGGCCAGTCCAGACCTTGTCCTGTCGGGCGATGGGAGGCGCCTGCAGATCGAGCGGGCTCAGGTCTCGGACGCGGGGAGCTATCGCTGCGTGGCATCCAGTGTGGCGGGCAGCAGCGAACTCCATTACAGCCTACAGGTGACTGGTGAGTGAGCCGGTGGGCAGGGAAGGCACCAGCGGCCTGTGTGGCTCTGGTCTTGGGGTCTCCCTGGTCCATGCTCGCCGTCCCTCCCTGGCACTCAGTGGCACGTTCCTTTACCCATGTAACAAAATCTCAGTGAACAGAACTGGGGTCAGAGCAGAAGCAGGAGGGTTTGTCTAGAGTGTTGGGCAATTCAGAGATCGGCGGTTCTAGGCCATGTGATTAACCGCCCCCCCCCCCCCGTGTCCATCCCAGCAATGACGTCCCAGAATGCCTTGCACTACCCAGTGACTTCAGGTAACCCCACGTAACACTCCAGTAACATCTAATGCATACTAATGTAAGGCACGGCAGTCTCGCCACATGACCCTGGAGCAGGGCCTGTCACCTCACCGGGTCCCACAGAACCCCCAGCTCATTCAAAGCCTTTGAGCTCCTGCTGGAGACTTTGGCCTGGGATCCTCCGCGGCTCTCGCTCCGCTAGGAGGCTTTCACTCTGGAGGAAGCACAATCCAGCCTTTCCTGACTTGCCCTTGCTCCAGCCCGGATGCTGAACACCTCCCCCTTCAGGGCCGGAGCCTCCCCTTTCTCCCCTTCCTGCAGTGTTGTCTCCCCCAGCCCAGTACCAGTCATGGGATCTTGTTCCCCCCACTGGGAAGTCCCGGTGGAAAGGGTCATACCAACAAACCACATTGTTCTGGGTGGTTCTGCCCACCCCACCTTTCCTTTGCCCTTGCTCATGTCCTGGTGTTTCTGTGATGCCCAGCGTGTGCCTTTGGCCTCCCCAGTGCCTCCCCAAATCACCTCCGGCCCCAGCCTTGTCACTGCGTTGCTGAGCGAGCGGGTGGAGCTGACGTGTGAGGCTGCAGGGATCCCTGCCCCCACGCTGGTGTGGCTGAAAGACGGCAATCCTGTTTCCAGCACGGTGCCTGGGGGACCACAGGTCAGTGTGGACGGCTAGCTTAGAACCACCATCCTGGCACCAGGGCTGTGCTCAGAGGCCCCTGCCACCCAGCACATCAGTCTGTTGGAATTTCCTGCTCTAGCAGGGCTGGGCAAAGGGCCTCGGGGCTGCCTCCCCTGCTGCTCCCATCCCTCCCCGGTGCTGAAACTTGGGAGCTGATGGTGGGGGAAGTGGAGTTCTCTCGCCAGGGCCTGGGTGCCAGCTGGTGAGGACAGGCCTAGTGCAAACTCCCAGCTTGCGCAGCTCTGCGGTTCCCCATCCCGGTGTGTGGGGAGGCAGGGGGCTGAGCAGCAGGCTGGAAGCCCCCCTCTGCTCACTGATCCCTTTTTGGTTTGTTTCTGGGGACGGTGCAGATCCTGTCTGGGGGACGCATCCTCTCCCTGGCCAGCGCACACCTCTCGGACGCGGGGACGTACTCCTGTGTGGCCATCAGTGCCGTGGGAGAGGATCGGTGGGATGCTGTGCTGCGGGTGCAAGGTAAGTACAGGCGTCTCCGATCCCCCCCAGGCTGAGGAATCTGCCTCAGACCCCAATTCCCCCCCTCCCCACACCTCACCTCCTAGGGACTCCCGTGTTTGCTAGAGCAGCTGCTGCTCTGCAGCTTACGCGGATGAGGGGAGCCAATCTGGCTGTTTGCTAAAGCCCTGAAAATATAAGTTCTCGTCAAACCCCATGTCTGGTGACTGCAGGGCCACCCGCCTCTCAGGGGCTGTCACAGGCTGGTCCTCAGCCCTGCACAGGGGCTTTTCCCAGGGCTTAATCTGTGCCAGGGCTGAGCCCTGGCGCCGCTGGGCCTGGCAGTTCCTAGCCCCGGCGCCTCTGGGCCGGGCCGTTCCTAGCCCCGGCACCTCTGGGCTTGGCAGTTCCTAGCCCCGGCACCTCTTTCATTACTAATTAAGCACTGGCCTTTCCGCGCTACAGATCAGGGTATAGGAAGGAGGCGGGAGTGGCGGTTCGGAATCTACCGGTGTGTTCGTTCAGTAGCCCTGCTCCTGCGTGTTGGCCTCAGGAAGCAGCCATTTCCCTTTGAGCTTACCCCAGAGTTGTTTCCTTTCAGTGCCCCCAAATGTCCTTGGTGAGGAGCTAAATATCTCAGTCATATTCAATCGGTCTGTGACCCTGGAATGCCAGCACCACACAGCCCCCTCTCCCGTACTCCGCTGGCTGAAGGACGGGCGCCCTCTCCCACAGGACCCCCGAGCCCGACTCTCTGCGGACGGGGCCATTCTCCAGGTGACTATTCTGGCTGATGCTGAGTCAGGAGGGGATGTAGAGAACTTGGCTCTGCAGTAAATGTGTCTGTCCCCTGTACACCTGGTTATGGCTTGTTGGCTCTCCCCTGCCTGGCCTTGGCAGGGAATCCCACTTCCCGTGAGATGTGTGGCTCGGAGTCATGGAGAAATGGGCCTACCCCCGTCTCGCCCAGGCTGTGTTCCTCAGGCGTGAGAGTCTTTGTGCTGACTCAGCACTTTCCTTGTCCCTTGATTCCGCTGGGCCCAGCTTGAATGCCTGCAGAACTGCACCAGAACAGAGGGGCTTGTTGCCAGGAGCAACCTGGACAATGGACCTGGGCTGCGAGCGGACTTTGGCTCTGCTGCCGGGCTGGGCGTGCGTTTCTGGTGCTGCCACTGGGCGAGTGGCGCTCTGCTTGCCCTTCTCTCGATCCCACCCCGGCTCTGCTTGCTTTGACAGATTGAGCACGCTCAGGCGCGAGATGCAGGGAGATACACGTGTGAGGTGTCGAGCCGCTTGGGCCAGGCGGAGACGCACTACAACCTCAATGTCTGGGGTAAGCCAAGTGTTGGCCAAACATGGGAGGGGGACAAAGATCCCCTGGAGGGGTGTGAATATTCCCTGGCCCCATGTCCTAATGTCACTCTCTGTGAGAGTTCCTCCATCTTAACCACACGGCATAATACAGCCACCTCTTACAGGGGCCAGGAAAATAGCGGCAACTGGGTTGGATTTTTAGGGCCTGCAGGCAGCTCTTGTTATCATAAGTAGGAGCCGTGGGTGCTCAGCTCCCCTGAAATTCAGGCCCCACGCCTGTAAATTTGTCTCTCAGAACTTGTTGAGAAGGAGAAATACCTTTGTCCCTCCCCACTCCAGCTGTCCCAGCCTGGATGCTATTAGGGAGGGGGAGTGTATGCATCATGGATCCACTTTATTAGATTATGTCCATCCCATGAAGGCAGTTCAGTCCGTAACACACACACCCCGTTCCCAAAGGTGGGGAATGATCCCTATTTTCCACCTAATGGCCGGTGAAACCTTGTGTAAAACCATTCCAGTGTCCTGTCAGTCTGGGTGCCCTCGCTCCGCAAGGAGACTGCATCCCTTTGGGATCTGCCCCGGCAATGATAAAATCCTTCTCTTACACATGGGCACATCCTCTCCCAAAATACAGCCCTCCACAGTCCTCATGTGCAGTTCCTCAAACGCATTTGCATGCATAACCTTACACTAAACTTTCTGAAGCTGGATTATCTCACTGACACATGGTTGAGTTGCTTTTTTTTAAATTTTCGATGTCTGTGGTCCGTTATTACTACCTAAAATAGATATTTCACATGCACCAAACTACGCTGAAAGCATCTTATTAAAATTGCAAAGTCAAGCACTCAAAAGTTAGGAAATGCCAGAATTAAGGCTGGCTGTGCAACATTTTTCCATAGCTTTGTGGACAGCTAAGCCATTTTGGCTAAAATTACCAGTAATAATAATAATTAATAATAATCAGCTGGGGGCAAACACCTGGCATGGAAAATTTCAGCCCAAATGGTTGAAGTTTGGCAAAGTTTTAAGCAACTGAAAACAGGGTCTTATAATGGGAAGTGTCAAGCTACCTTAGTGCTAGGCAATGCTGCCTGCCCTGTCTATAATAGTGTGGCTGGCCAGTCTGAATGTTCTTTAACCCCATGGGTGGCACAGTACGCACTCTATACTGTTGTGCTATAGGTAAGTTGTATGATTGAGAATACTGCTGGTTTTTAATAGCTGGAAAGTTGAAATTATTCTTTCCACATGGATCAAAATTGCAAGTCTGTGTGACTGACAGTGGCACTTGCGATTAAATGTTTGTGATGCTGGGCAGGTTGGTTCCCCATCGGAGCAATAGGCAGGGGTCACGTGTTTCTCGTTGTTCTCCTTTGGCCAAACCCACCTCCTGTAAGCCAGAGAGTAGCAAACAGAGCTAAGTCCTCTGGGACGCTAGCTAGCATCACATACCACTGCTTCTGTCGCATGTCTGATGTCCCCTGCACTCAGTTATACCCTTCTTTTGTCTTGTGCAGTTCCCCCCTCGTTCTCCTCGGAAGAGCCTGCTGCCCTGTCTGTGATGGAGGGACAGTCCATCAGCCTGTCCTGCGAGTGCAGCGGGATCCCCTTCCCCACCCTCACCTGGGAGAAAGACGGTAGGGTTGTGCTAATATCTTCGCTCCTCCCCAAGCAGAGGTCACCTAGCAGGGCTACCAGCTCCGCAGTGTTAGGCCAGCCAGCTAGACAGCATGGTTCTGAGCCAGTGGGCTAGAAGGGCCCAGGCTGGATTTCAAAGCCGAGGATCCACGTTGATTTAAAGCTACTTAGACTTGTGTTGGCTTGCTCCTGCGGCTCCTTCGTGTCTAGGAGGAAAAGCTGCCCCTTTTGGAAAGGCTGCATCTGGCTCAGAAGCAATCACGGGTTTGTCTCCATGGGGAGAAGCAGGCACTTCAGTGTAACCATCATTGGACCCTCTGTAGGACAGTGTGCCTGGGAGCTAGTGCTGCCAGGAGTCTCAGGGGTGACATGTTTTCTTCCCCCACCCCATCATTCAGGTACGCCCCTTGCCATGGAGCTCGGGCGCCCCGAACGTATCTCCGCAGGAGGGAGGCTGCTGTACATTGGGAAGGTGCAGATGGCAGATGAGGGATCTTACACCTGTGAGTGCAGCAACGTGGCTGGCAGCAGCAGAAGGGAGCACCGGCTGGAGGTGGACGGTGAGTCGGAGAGGTGCTGCGGGAGGAGTGAGGTTTTATACTACAGGGAGTCGAATCTCTGAGTGGAGAATAACAATAAGAGCTCCTGTGTAAGTCAGTCGTTGTTAGTGGTTTTGGGGAGCGTGAGTGGCTGAATGGAGCATAGAGCTTCTCTCATTTCTACTGCCAAGATGTGGCCCTCAGAGACTCCATGTCCCAGCATGCCGTGCTCCATCTTGATTCAAGTGGCCAGGTCAGACTTGGTATGCTGGACCTATGGTCTCTGCAATCTACACCTCCCTGCTATGATCTGCAAAACTAGGCGCTGCCCTTGGGTTCCTGGCAAGCAGCCAGTGTGGACTCAGCTGGGCAATCTTTGGGAGCCACGGGTCCGAAGTAACTCTGTGGTTTTGAGTATTTAAAGACAGCTGGTGGTCAGTGAACCCTACCCCAGAGTCTGGATTGCCTTAGTACTCGGCACGGCTTATAACTGTCCTTTGCTGGTCCAGACCAATCGCTTGCTGCAGTTAATGTCCTCTTGCAGAAGACCCAGAAGGAGTTGAATCCCAACAGGTCGGTGCAGTGTCTCTGCCTTGTGCTCTTCTCACCTGCAGTTCTGCCAGTGATCAAAGGCAGCGGCGAAGCCCCAAAGAAGATTTCCGTGGCCAAGGCTGGTGAGATTACACTAGAATGTGAAGTCGGGGGATCACCGCAGCCAACAGTCACATGGATGAAAGATGGGCAGCCTGTGGTGAATGGGGAAGCGCTTCTTCTTCAGGACCAGGGGTGGAAGCTGCATATTCAGAGGGCGCAGGTCACCCATGCGGGCCGCTACACGTGCCTAGCAGCGAATGCAGTTGGACAGGTGCAGAGGACATTTGATCTTGCTGTGCATGGTAAGGATGCGGGCAGCAGCTCTGCTGTTGTTTCTGGGACCTTGGGAGTGAGGTGTCTGAAAGCGGGGGTCAGGAGAAAGGTGATGCACTGGGAAGTTCCACCATGCACGTGATAGAGCATTAGGTGTGAGGATGAGATAATATTAGCCAGGGTGAAAAGTTCCGTGTAAGCTCTAGGCATTGTTACTGCAATGGCCACCCCAGCAGCTAATGGCAGGGGGGTTAAATGATGGGGTGAGTGACAAGAAGCCAAAGTCATCTGCTTTCCCTGGACTGTGTGGACCAAGCTTTCAACCAGTCGAGTTCCTCCGGGGAGTTGGGTCACCTGCCTGCCTGTGTGTGCACTTGTCACCCCTGTAAACTCACATTTGGATGTGCAGATAGATTGGCAGCTACATTCACAGTGAGCTGCTCTGTGGCACAGATCTGGGTCCTGAAGGCACCATGGAGGCAGGCATATTTTCTGGGCTACCTCCTTGTGCCCCTGTTTTGAACATGGGTACATAGTTGGAAGGCAGGGATAAGCTGGATTTCCTAGGGCCCCCATTTGCTTATTTTCCTGCTTCCGTGGAGACTGCTTTGTAAATGAAAAATCATCCCTTTATCTCTCTAGTTCCCCCTGAGCTCATTAGGGGAGTAGGGTCAGTGACCAATGTCACTGTCTCTTTGCATGGCGCCCTAACTCTGATCTGTGAGGCCTCGGGCACCCCGCCCCCAGCAGTCAGCTGGTCCTGGGAGAACTCGCCCATCATCCCCAGCGAGCGCACACGCCTGTTGTCAGGTGAGTGATCATTGCTGGGAGGTTTATTCTGGCTGGCTGGCAACCTTGGAACTCAGGGTTTGGCTATGGGGAAATTGACCAGAAGAGCTATGGTGCAATGGCTGCTCTGGGATAGCTCATGGAATAACATAGGGAGCTACCCCAGAATAGCTATTGGTGAATAGCTTATTCCACCATAGTGATTTTGGTCAATTTCCCTACATAGACAAGCCCTTAGACAATCACACTCCAGAGCTGGGAGCCTGTAGGTCGCTGCCAGGCTGGGGGTTCTTGGCTCACTCAGCCAGTGTCTCTGGGAGTCACGTGGGGTTGGGCAGGATCCCACTGAAAATGTCTTTAAGAAATAAAAGCAAATATGTGGTTTGTGAATGGAAGTGACAGGGGCCTCTGTGGATGCTCTTAATGCTTCCAAGCATCCTCTGACATCTCTGCCAGAGAGTTAGCAGCTTTTCCCTGGAAAGCACCAGAGATACCAGGGGTGGAGGGAGAGGGTGGGGAGGGAGGGAGGTCTAATTACCACTCAGCGTTCAAACTGGTGCACCGGGTTTTAGCTGCCTGGCTCATTCAGCAGTGACAGGATTTTCTGTTAATTTCACCCCTGGGAGCGAGATTGTCTGACTTGTCCAATGACCAGTTGTCTTCATGAAGGCTACGTCCCCACGAGGAGCGAAGGGTGCGTGCTTTCTGAGAAGACAGCTACCCTAGTGGAGACCTGGCAAATGCTAGCTTTGGCTCAGTGTGGCCGGTCAGAATAACCCCTAGCCCCCTCCCCCACACACTCAGCGTTACCTCAGGCAGCTCCACTAACTACTGCCTTGTCTCTGCTAGGGCTTTCTGCTGGGGTCGCTCTCTCGTTGTAAACGCTCCGTGTTCCCTAGCGAAGACAAACCCTAAGGAGCAGCATGTCGGCGCGCTGCCCTGGGAGCAGCGTGAGGAGGGAATTGTGACTTGGAGAGAGACGGTCTCTTCCCTATTCCCTTCTTGCTCCCAGAGGGTGGTAATCTGTTACTGGCTGTCACTGGCCTGCCCTGCCATCCCAACCCAGTAGTCCGTGCCTAGTGGCTGTGGAGACTGAAGTTATACGGAGAGAGACCCTGGGTTGTATTTGTAGGGTAGACCTGCCCTCTGTGTGGTCTGAGGAGCTACTTGTGAGGAAAGGATCAGAGGGATAGCCGTGTTAGTCTGGATCTGTAAAAAGCGACAAAGAGTCCTGTGGCACCTTATAGACTAACAGATGTATTGGAGCATAAGCTTTCGTGGGTGAATATTCTCCACCTTATGCTCCAATACGTCTGTTAGTCTATAAGGTGCCACAGGACTCTGTCGCTTTTGTGAGGAAAGCGCACACGAGAGGATGCCATGATTGGAGGGAGTCCCTGCTGGGGTTAGTGGACACTCCTAGTTGGCTGTACTCTGAGAGTGGCGGAGAGAGCACTATATAGACCCCTCATGTGTCCTTGTAGACCTGAGGAGCGTGCCCTGATGAGTGAATGAGAGAGCTGTGACAGGCCAGCTCAGGCGATGTCGGAGACTTGCTAGGACAGGGCAGAAGCCCTGGACCAGGGTGTCGTCACTGGCAATGCCGTTTCTTTGTTCTTTGCCACCGTGGCTTTTCCCTTTATTTCCAGGTGGATGGATTCTGAGGCTAACGCGCATGCGAGCCCAAGACGGAGGCCTCTATTCCTGCATAGCTAGCAATGTAGCTGGGGAAGCTAGGAAGGATTTCAGTGTGGAGGTCCTAGGTAAGGATGAAGCACCGGGCCAGAAGCACTGTAGATACCAGAGTTATTGCTTGGGGACCTGTCACCATTTCCTCTGTCCTCTTGGTTTCTAATGCTCTGCCTGCTGCAAGGTTTCTAATGGGGATTCTCTGACGTAGAGGAGGTAAGTGCTACACTCACACAAGCCCTTGGGATATGGCCTTTCATGTACGACAATCCCCCAATCCTTTGCTCTAGGTGGCTAGAAAGTGGTTTCTTGTCTCTCTTGGTGCGGTCGGACTCCTGGCGAGAGAATCATCCTGTCTTCCCCTCTCTCTCTTTGGCTTTCTAGTTCCTCCCAGCATCGAGAACGCGGGCGAGGAAGACAGAGTTCAAGTGCCTGAGGGTCGGTCGGTCAGCTGGTCCTGCGTAGCCGCAGGTGAGTGTCGCAGGTCCCGGCTGGGAAAAGCAAGAGGCGGTTTTAACTGTAGTGCTGTGGGTCGGTAATCGAGATGTAAAGACGGGATAACAGGGTTTGTGTGGCCTAGAGGATAGGACTGGGACACAGGAGACCTGGCTTCTATTCCTACCTCTGCCACTGACTTGCTGCGTGACCTTGGGCAAGTTGCTTCCCCTCCCTGTGACCCTGCCGCCTTTTGTCTGATTACACTGTAAGCTCTTTGGGGGTGGGGGACTGTCTCTTATGATGTGTTTGCACTGCACTTAGTGCAATGAGACCTCAATCTGGATCGGGGGCCATGGGCTCTACCATAATACAGAGGATTAAAAAAAATACCCACCTGGCCTCTGCGTGAGGTGGGTCTGTCCCATTTACATTAATTACTCCTAACGGAAAAGTGTGTGGCTTTCAACTGACATCACTAAAGGGACTTTGTAGGATGGTTCGGCCAGGGCTCGTCCCTCTCCAGGGTGGCGGGGAACCAGATCGCCTCGCTGCTCCTGCCAGGTGTGTCGGGGAACTAGCCTGGCTGCGGGGCAAACAGTCACTAGCTCAGGCCCTCAGGCAGGGGCTGAGCAAACAGTTCAATATTAGCAGGCCCAGGCCCTGGGTCAGGCGGGGCAGCAAACAGTCAGTGGCTCAGGCCCTCAGGCAGGGGCTGAGCAAACAGTTGAACAGCAAACTCCTGGCTCTGAGCGGCTGGGGAGAGGGGGAGACGGCCACCCGCGAGGTGGGTGGCAGGGGGGACGCAGGCCCACCCACTCCACTGCATCCCAGCTTGGGGCCCTAGTAGCGGCAGAAGACCTGCTGCTGAGTCAGTGGGGATCCTGGTCGCAACACACTGACATTGGCTCTGGGTGTGTCACAGCCAGTCTAGGGTCGGCTGCCCCCGGGCTACTTCCTACCTCCCCCTCTAGAGGTACCTGGGTCCAGACGGCGTCCTCCAAGGGGTCACACACCATGGGCTCCTTGGGGTAACTGGCGCACGGTTGGGTTGGCAGCTCCTCAGGGTAACTGGCAAGCAGCAGGCTTGGCAGCGTCTCGGGGCTCGGGCTAGCATCAGGCACTGGCTGGTCTGGCCAGTCCTCCGGTCGGCTGCCGATTGCAGTGGTCTCCCAACAGGGAGTTACACCACACGCGTCTGGCCTCTCCGGTGCTGTGTTCCAAGTGAGCTCTGGAGTCGGGCTTTTATCCTTCCTGTCCTGCGCCTTGACCTCTGAGGGACGGGCGCAGGATTCGCTGGCTCCGCCCACCTTGGTGTCCAGAGAGGTTCGTCCCTCTCCGGGGCCACGGGGAAGCAGACCGCCTCGCTACAGACTTGAAATGAGAGTTGCCTGCATTTTCAGGGCAGCCTCCTCATACCGCTCCACCTCCTCCACGCATCCCTCCCTTCCCCCGTCTCTAGAAAGCCCAAGTGAGTTCTTCATGGCCCAGTGCAGAGTGACTAGCCGAGAGTTCGGTGCCTCTGCCTGTGAGGCGCCCCCGGGCTTCGATTCGGATATGTGCTGGCGCGACATCAGAGATCAGCTGAGGAGCTGAGGTCCCTAGCCTGGACTCCTGGCGATCTGGAGCGGGATTTGGATTCTGGGGTTGGGGAGAACATATGCTGCCGACCTTGTTCTAGCTGATGCTGCAGGACGGCCTGTCTTTGCTAGCCGTCAGAGCAGAGCAGGGGGGCTAGATTTCCCTTTGGATTTCTTTCCTGGAGGATAGGTGATCAATTGCTGCTTTATCCCTGCCCCCTCTGTGCCCATTTGGGACCATTTTTATTTCTCTGGACGAGGCGCAGATACCACGGTGGTGGCTCGCCCAAGTGGAATAAATTATCATTTTGCTGCCCTGCATCTAAGCAAGGGGTAGGGTCTTTTTAAGCGACTTAGCCATCCATGTGCATTTGAGTCCTTTTTCCCATTAGGGAAAATAACTTGCCTTTATCCTGGGCTTTGTCCTGCAAAGCTGGCTGCATTGGAAATGCCTGGATAGAGCCACCATCCTGCTGCCACACTTTTTTTTTCTTCTTTCCTCTGATAACAAACGGGAAGATGCATGTTCATTAACTCTTCAGGGAGCTGATCCCTCTATTCCAGGGCAAGAGACAGAATATGGCGCTTGGGTACCATTTATCAGGATGAAACTTTGATACCGGGGTAAAGTAGAGATGGGAGATCCTGCCTCATCATAGTGAAACCTCTTGGCCATATGTAGGTCTGGAAGAGACCTCCTGGATCAGTCCAATCCCTGCTATCTGCGTCATACAATCCCATTCGTACACTTATCAAGCCCCATCTTAAAACTAGCTCAGTTGTTTGTCCCCACTACTCCTCCTGGGAGGCTGTCCCAGAATTTCACTGCTCCGATGGCTGGAAACCTCCCATCCTGAATTTACACAGGGCCAGTTTATCCCCATTGTTCTTGTGGCTCATCCAGCCCTCTCTGCCAGCTGCTGAGGCTCTCTTCTTAAACCCTAGCGTGGATGGAGAGAGAACATTTCAGAACTGTGCTCCAGGTCTGGTCTGGCTCACTCCAGCACAGCTGAGCGTACGTGAGACCAACTTCAGCAAAGGCCGAGTCGTGCTTTTTTTTTTTTTTACCTCTTTTCCCTTTCACCATACAGGCAATCCCAAGCCGGAGATCACTTGGTTAAAAGATGGCAGCCCTTTGCTTAGCAGAGACGCCTATTACATATCCCCAGACGGATCTGTCTTGCAGATAAACCAAACCACCCTTTCCAGCGCTGGCCGCTACTCCTGCGTGGCCTCCAATGCCGTGGCTGATCAAACCAAACACTATCTGCTAAGTGTTCTAGGTAAGTACAGAGCCATGGGCGTTCTCAGATTTGACCGGGGGAATGGAATTCAAAACCACTATGTTCCTTCGTATGACTTCAGGGTCTAATTCAGGGCGGTCCTGAGCTCTCACAGCTCCTACTGAGTTCAATGTGCAGTGAGGGCACCTACCTTTTAGCCAGAAGTTCCCAGCACCCTGCAGGGCCAGGGCCTTTGAGCAATTTGTTGTGCCAGGGGAATGGTCGTATCCATGTTTCCGATGAAGCCGTGTTAGCAATGAGTGTGTTTAACCGTGGCCATTGGTACGGTTTCCCTAGCCATTGTGGTCTAGGCCTTATTTCCCTTCCACTGGTGCTGGGCGGAGTAGAACCGGCCCCAGAGTTTCTTTAGATATCAGCGCTTGAGGTTCTGTTTGCACCGGGTGATTTAGTCCTTGCTCGGCCAGCTGTCAGCCGGAGGAGCTGAGCGCTGCACGCTCTGTGGTGGGCCGAGTGAAGTGGTGGAAAGCATCAGCTGTGATGGACATTGGATACATTCTCTCTCTCTCTCCATTCCAAAACGATCTCTGTTTTCCCATAGTTAGTCCCACGTTTCCTGGGGCGAGCCACGAGGGTGCCACAGACGATGTTACCGTAGTGATCAATAACCCAGTATCCCTGCCCTGTGAGGCCCTGGCCTACTCTTCCCCCACCATCACCTGGCTGAAGGACGAGATTCCTTTCCAAGCTTCCACAAACGTCCGGTTGCTCCCTGGTAATGTATCAATTTCAGTGAATGTGGTTGCTCAGAATCATCGTTGACTTCATATAACTGCTTCCTGATTGGTCACACGGACTAGGGACTGGATATGGAGCCTTTCGCATCTGTGTCTGGTCCAGGGCGATCATGTGACCAGGGTTCTCTGGCATGGATGGGGGATGAGGTCTTGGACCGTGTTCTTACTGGATGGGTGCTGACATTCCCAAACCCATCATCTCAGCTGATGCCTGCTGGAGCTGTGCCAGCGAGACACCAGTGATTTCATAGGCCTGGAGGCTGTGCTGCAGACGTGACCTTTGCAGCTCAGACTTGAGGCATGTCAGCGGGGCCCTTTGAGGAAGGTGCTTTGCTGCTGCTCATGCTGTGTGTGGACAGGCAGCCACAGTTCCTGGGGAATATCTGCTCTTTTCATACCCTGCGCTGTGTTGTGTTATAACCAGGGATTGCTAGTCGGGATGATTCACCTGCTTATTTCTTAACTGAGTGACTAAGGGCTGCCGTAGGTGCCATCACGGAGAGTCCTTTTCCCTGACTAGGTGGCCGGGGGCTTCAGATTCTGAACGCCCAGGAAGCGGATGCTGGCAGGTACACCTGCATCGTCACCAATGAGCTCGGGGAGGCTGTGAAGAGCTATGAAGTGAGGGTCCTTGGTATGTACGAAGCCCCTCTCTAAAGCGCTTTGCCAAGGCCCCATGTTTCCGTTATTACTGCCGACTACTGCTCAGACCTGTCCCACGGCTGCTTCTTTCCCTTCTGTCACATGCATGTCCCATGTGCCGGACGGATCCGCAGCTTTTATGATCTGAACATTTTGGCCCAAGAAGAGATCCTGCCCTAGATGCCCTTTGCTAAAGCTCTCTGTGTGTCCTTCTCCTGCTGCTCTTGGGGGTATGTCCTACCTGAGCTGGATCAGCGTTACCTATGCACTGAGAGAGGGCTATTTATGTCCAGTAGCAATGCCCACCCTTCCCTCCTGGTCACTCCCTTTGTCTCCTGCTCCCACGCAAGGTATCGCCCACCCCATGTGCTGCAGCAGGCTCTATCTCAGCTTATGTTAAACATCTGCTTTCCAATCCCTTCTGAAGAGCCCTCCCTCCTGGCAGCGGAGCTGTGGGTTTGTCTTGCACTGACTTGTATTTGCTTTGCCTTGTGCTCCTTGAGTCAGGGTTCTCCTTGGCATGCTTCACTGGCTGGCTGTTGCTGTGCACGCCTACAGCACAGGAATGTGCCGGTCAGGCTGTCTAGAGTAGCTCACGAACATGAGTACCAATCTCAGGGCAGACTGTTGCAAGCCAGGACACAAAGCCCAGACTGGTTGTATGTTCTATAATTAGATTTCACCAACCAAGCATCAAATGTAAACTCCTCCGGCACTAAAACAGCCTAACCATGGAGTCACAGACAGTCCCCTTGGGTACTTTGATCTATCTTGTCACCTAGGCAAGCTTCCCTTTGTGATAGATGGTCCCTTAGACTAAAAATCACAATATTCAGGTTACTCCCAGTCCCAAGGACCCGTTGCTTACCCCAGGTTGAGTGCACCCTAGAACTCTCGCCAAAGACAATGCTTGTAGTCAATCCTATAATAAACTAACTAAAGGTTTATTAACTAGGAAAAAGACACGAGCTATTTACAAGGTTAAAGCAGGTAAATATACACCCACAAATGAGTTAGTCTTGGAAGCTGCTGTAATGTGCAAGCTCTATATGTCCTTTAGGGGTAACCCAAGCAAGAGATCCCCGGCTGTTTAGCTTATGCTTAGAAGTCTTGCCCTCTCCCTGAAGTCCAAGCAACATAGGGATAACAATTTCTTCTTGACAGGGATTTTTATTCCCTTTCCCCCAGAGCTCGAGCTGATGGGATGAGTGTTTTGTCTCCTCTTCATGGGTGAGGGGGGAACAATCAACAGTCTTTTATCCCCTGCTGTTCCACAATAGGTTGTCTGGTGTCTATGGACCTTCTTTTGTTGGAGAGGAGATGACAGCTCTTCTGGTCACTAGTGTTTCACGCTGGGGAATGTTTCTCTCCTGACTGGTTGGGGGGGTTACAGTTTTAGAACAAACACTTCTATAGTCACAGAGCAAACACGTCAATATCACCTTCGAACATGGGGTACAGATGTTCTAAGTCAGATTAATACACGCAGCATCCTACAAGCATTTCATGAAGTCTGAACACATTCTCATAACTCTAATATGTATTTAAACAATACTAGCACACGGGTGAGCCAGACTGGTTTCCAGCTATGCATTTGTCAGTGCTCAGTGAGGCCTAGGTGTGAGCTGTCAGCTGGCATCCCAGCATCGCGGTGCCCATGTGGCTAGACCAAAGGGCAGGTGCAGAGGGAGATGGTTCTCTTGTCCTGATTGTATTCCTGTGTCATGGCTCCTAGTTCCTCCTCGGATTGCCAAAGATCTTGCTTTGGGGGAATTTGCCGTGAAGGAGGTGAAAACCAAGGTCAACAGCACTCTGACGCTGGAGTGTGAGTCCTGGGCTGTGCCCGAGCCGACCATACAGTGGTACAAGGATGGGCAGGTGAGGTTGCTAAAGAAAAGGCAGGAAACCGCCAGTGTCGCTAGTGTAAACTCATAACCATTTCTAAAGAGACTGGAGCCTTCCAAAGGCAGAGCCAAAACGGGGGAAACAATGGACTTCAGTGGGTCAGGATCAATGGCACTGCAGTGGGGAAGGCTGGAGAGTTCCCCCATAGTCTGTCATGACGGGCCTCTTTCATCCTGGGCAGCTGTTCTCATTTGATCAGGCTTCTGGAGTCCAAAGGAGACGGCAGACAGTGGCCACCTGGCCAGCCCCTGTTAGAGCAGGGAGCTGCACAGCTGTTGGGCGCGGTCAGTTGCCTAATGATGCCTAGAAATACAACCAAAAAAGCTCCCTTATTGGTCCCTGACAGGGCTGCCCAGAGGATTCAGGGGGCCTGGGGTCTGGCCCCCGCTGCCGAATTGCCACCGAAAACCCGGGACCCACGAGAGTTTTCCGGGGGCCCCGGAGCGAGTGAAGGACCCCGCTCCAGGGGCCCCAAAAAACTCTCGTGGGGGCCTGGGGCAAATTGCCCCACTTGCCCCCCCCCCCCCAGGGCGGCCCTGGTCCCTGAGAGGCTGTGCTCTCTCTCCAGGGCTGCCTCCAGCCATTTCTGCCATGAGAGCAGGCAGGGAAAGGTAATTCTTTACTCCGTGTTCTGTTTTCATTCAGATTCATGATCTTTACACTGATTCTCATGAAATAATGTGCTTATTTAAGGCAATGAAACCCTCTGATGATTAATAGCCAGGTATCTATTGGTGAATGAAGAGCAGTTTCCAGCTGGCTGGGAGGGGAAGGCACCATTTGTAAGGCTTGGGGTCTGGATTCTGTATTTTCCTGTGGCTGCTTTCAAGGCTTCGATCCTGGCATTTAATCGCCATGAGAAAGGTTTAACTCCTCCTCCCCCACATCCTTGTTCTGGGTGTCTCCTCGCCAGCTCTTGGAGAGTGACAGCCATCTCCAGGTTCTCAGCGAGGGGCAGCTTCTTCGGATCAGACGCGCCCGTGTCTCGGATTCGGGGCGCTACACCTGCATCGCCACCAACCCGGTGGGCGAAGACGATAAGGACTTCAGCGTGCAGATTCAAGGCGAGTCTCTCTCCCGGAGTCACTGGGCGCAGAGCTGCAAATGAGAGTCTGGGAGCGGAAGGCGTAAGGGGGCTGAGCCCCTGGAATGCAGGAGGTGGAGCGCTAGAAGAGGGGGGCAGGGAATGGTCACTGTGGAAGTGTTATTTCACCCACAATGCAGTGAGATCCCATGTTCAAGTGGAGCCCAAAGGGCCCAAGTAGCATTCGTTTGGGGCCAGATTCTGACCTCAGCTGGGAGAGGCACAAAGGGAGCGGAAATGGGGTGAGAATCCCTGGGGCTCTAGAATGGCAACAGGCAGCCCCTACCCCTTCCCAGTATGCAGCCACCTGCGTGTCCAGAGAGCGCTTTTCGGGGGACTGGGCGAGGAATACTTCCCGCGGCTAAGCTGTCAGTTTGGCTAATCGCTCCACCCCGGATCTGTTTGCCCCTGCTGGCTGCCCATGTGTCTGTTGGGTCTTTTCCCCAGCGTGCGTAGATGGCTGCTGCTTGCTCTCTTTCAGTGCCCCCCCTGTTCCAGAGGCAGGGAAATCCCAGCACAGCCTTCCAGATCCGCTACCAGGAGGAAGACCAGGACGGAAAGGTGACGGAGCACCGGGGGGTGACCGTCAACAGCCCGGCTTCCCTGTACTGTGACACGAATGCCATCCCGCCCCCGAAGCTCACCTGGTACAAGGATGGAGAGCCCCTCTCTGCTGCGGAGGGGATTTTAGTACTGCTAGGTAACAAGCTTGGCTTATCGATGCAAACTTCAGTGTGGTCAGATAACTCCGAAAGCTTCATTTAGCTACTTGACAGCTGCTGTGCATTCCATGTAGAGAGCACCTGCCAGGTTCCTGGGCAGTCCAGGCCTGGCCAGCTACAGCATGCCAGATGTGCCCAGGTGATGCACATCTGCTGTGCTAACGGACGTGCCAGGTTTGGGAGCACACCACCCTGGCTGCCAGATGTTTCAGGTGTGCTCAGCTAAAGTACACCAATGTCTGCGTTGCCAGATCTTCCAGCGTGCCCAGGTGATGTACGTCTGCTGTACTGTGGGACGTGCCAGGTGCATTGGGGGGATGCCCCTCCTGTACTGCTGGATGTGCCAAATGGCGCACACCTGCTGTGCTGCCAGATGTTCGGGAAGCCTCCTACGGCTCTGCTAATGTCCCTGAAATGTACGACAGCAGCAACAGGAACGGTGCAGGGACAAGCAATGGAAACGTGACTGTCTCCCCAGTGGGGGGATCTCTGGCCGTCTGCCTGCCCTGCTTCCTAGCTCGCTGTGTTGCTCTTTTTAAGTGGCTGCCTCCTCCTCCCTCGTTACGGCACCCTTCTGAGTGCTCCAGAGGGGCCGGATACACGAGGGTGCCCCTAGCAGGTTCTAATGCCCTTGGGCCCAGACCCATTAGCTTTGCCAGAGAGGATGTCGGGGGAGGGCACGGAGTCGTGGCGTAGGCAGCATTGAGAGCATGTCTATCGATGGAGGTTCGCTGACCCCATCCCGCGCACAAAGCAGCTCACACCTCTAGTTCTCTCGCTAGGAGAACAGTGGTTTCCTAGGAGCCATTCCTGTCCCCCCCCCCCTCCTCTAACTCTCTGTTGCCTGGCAGGGGGACGTATCCTGCAGATCCCTGCGGTCAGAGCCGAGGATGCTGGGAGGTACACGTGCCAGGCAGCCAATGAGGCAGGAGAGGACTGGCTGCACTACGAGCTGCTGGTGCTGTGTGAGTATCCAGGGGAAGACATCCTGGGGCCAAGGGGATGTAAAAGTGACAGGTCGTCGCCTCTGGGTCCTGGCAGAAAGCCGGAGCCACACAGGACCCTGAATGATCTTGAGGAGCTGCCTCCCTCCCCCAGGTCTTCATGGTCCCCCCTGCAGCTGGGCTGGGCTGAGCAGTCGAGGCGACTCCCTTCAGGAGCTGGCAAGCCCTTGCGGGTGGCGCCCATAACGTTGTATTCTTTGGTGTGTGGATGGCGAAATCTGGCCCCGTCCCCGAGCTCTTGATACTCAGGTTCTCTCTGAAGAGCATCAGTCTCGGTCATCGTCTGCAGAAGGGAGGTGACCTGACTTGAGTGCCATGGGCTGGCTCAGAGATGGCTCTCTGGGACGCCTGCCAAGGCGGGGGAGAGGCCGGGGGGGAGCACATAATAAATAATAATTTGTATTGCTAGGGGCTGGACAGACCTAGAACCGAGACATTCCCTGCAGTTGAGAGAAGCCTTGAGCTCTTGGCACACTTGCATATCCGAGACAGTGGTGCCTCCTAGCTAGAGCAGGGTATTGAGAGCCAGGACTCCTGGGTTCATTTCCCAGCTCTGAAGCTACCTCACAGTGGCACCGTGCTCTCCCTGACAACAGAGAGGGGAGGCCACTGAACTGCAGAAGCTTAGGATAACAGCAAGGAGCAAAGTGAGATAAGATCGTGGGAAGTGAGTGGGAGGGTGGGGGAATGAAGGGGCATTGAAGGATGGAGACTGTTAAGACCCTGCCCTGGTGCTCCCTCCCCTTGAGAGGAAGGCCTGGGTCAGACTTCTCCTCCCTAGCTAGGAGGGCTGAGAGATGAGCAGCCCATCACTGACCGGTTCTCTTCTGTCCCCAGCTGCCCCCGTTATCCAGGGGAACACGGAGGAGTTGGTAGAAGAGGTGACAGTGATTGCAAACAGCACAGCCCACATGAAGTGCGAAGTCACTGGGGACCCAGCGCCTGCAATTACCTGGCTCCGCAATGACATGCCCTTCACCACCAGCCCCCGGCACCAGCTCCTGGAGGACGGCAGGCTCCTGCAGGTGGGTGTTGTGTCCAACAGGCTTTGCAGTGGGTGAAAAGTGGCAGAAAACGCCCACCGTTGGAGGTGTTAGTGCAGCTTCTTTGGCTGTTGCTCTGAATCCGCTGGTGAGCGCCTGTGAGGACTCCTAGCCGTCTCAGCAGGGATCTTGCTTTCCCTTTGCAGGTGGCTTCAGTACAGGTGACAGACACTGGCAGCTACTACGTGTGTGTGGCAGAGAATCGGGAGGGCTCTACAGAGAAGCGCTTTGCTCTCACAGTTCTGGGTGAGTAATTCAAGTGGACCCTTCTCCAGACTGGTCCATTATCCGATTCCTTCTTGGTCAGCCCCTTGAGTCCTCTAATCATTTATCTACCCAGGCACCCAGTAGCTCATCGCTCTCTTGATGAGTTTATCCCGAACCTTCTCTTTCTCCATCCATCCTATTTTTCTCCCTTATCTCCTTAGCAGGTGCTTAAAGCACCACACAGGGAGGCAGGCCTGAGGATGTCACATGTCAGGCACAAGCAGTATTATGGGTTTTGAAAGGACTGAGCCTAGATCCTATCGCCTTTGAAAATCTAAGCTAGGAGGACAGCTGTAGCTATAACCAGCAGATATAGTTATCGAGGTACATTGCAGCACGTTTTCACAAATGGAGGCTCAAAGTCTGTTTGCAAAAAATGTGGGTGCCAAATCGCCCACTTACAATTGCACACACAAACCGGGTAAATGCATGTGCAAATGTCTGGGCAGGTCCTCAGGGAACCCGTTGAACATGTGGTGCTGCAACTGTGGTTTTTGCAGGCAGGCTTTGCCCCTTCTGCTTTTTGAACTCTTGTTCCATATAGTGCCTGATGGTCTATGAGCCTTGGGGGCCAGGGGTTGTTTCTTTTCATAAGGTCTGTCTACATGGGGCGTGAATGCGGCTTGTGTAGACACACGTGAGTTGCCTTTGATCTACCTAGCTCAGGTACCAGAGCAGTGAAGCTGAAGCAGTTCATTCTTCAGCACAGACTAGCCTGCAAGTCATTACCTAGGGTCCCAGGTGGGTTTGTACAGCAGGTGCTACAGCGAACACGGCCGCAGCCCCGGTGCTAAAGCTAGCTCAGGTATATCTAGGCAAGCTGCAATCCCCCCACCCCCCCCGTGATTGCAGTGTAGACCTACCCCTAGCCTGCGTGTGCACAGCCCCTAACACACTGAGCCTGACCTGGGTGGAACCTCTAGGCACTAGGGTAATAACAATGGCTTCCCTCCATTCAGAATGCAGTTCTGTGCTTGCTTTTCTCCCCGGACCCTGCATCTTCCAAGTCGCGCCGCTTTCCAAGCAGTTCCGTTAACCCGTGTCTGAGACGGAGGATAAAGTCAGCACGTAGCGTTTGTATTTCACACTGGCTCCCTCCTCCTTGGGCAGCTTTTTACTCTTATGTTCATGGCCCGGTAGCCTGCTCTTTACATTGAGTGCAGTGTCCAGACAGGGCCCCCGTCTCTCTGGTCTTCCACACTCTGCTACCTCCAGGGCTGCTGTTTAATATGTCCAAGCTCCAATCCTTTCTCCTCTCTAGCTCTTTTTGCTGTATCTGTGGTGCTGGTTAGCACGCGGCGTGGACAGCACCCGGATAAATGGGGGGAGATGTCTAATCAACACCTTTTGATTTTGGGAGGAGCAGTTCCACCAAGGATAGCGGGAGCAAACCCCGAAAGCATCACGGCTGTCGTCGATAGCAGCCTCTCCCTGACATGCCACGTCCAATCACATCCTGCTGCCAAGATCACATGGTACAAGGATGGCCAAACCCTGCCGCTCAGCGAGGAGGTTCTCCTCATCCCAGGTGCGTATGGCTGTGCAGGTGAAAACCCAGACTGGTTAATAAGCCAGTGACTCCCCTACCAGAGCCGGCTGGCTGCTTCCTGGTGGCAGGTTACATTTCTTATAGGGCCAGTAACACACTTAATAAACTGATCCCTAATACAGAAAGTGAAAGGTTGGAATTTTCAAAGGAGTCTAAGAGGTTTAGGCACCAACTCCTATTGAGATGAATCCCATAGGTTGTTTTGAGAATCCCAGCCTGGAGTTGCCAGAGTGGATGATCCCCTCTGTGACGCTCTCCGATGGATGAGGCTGGAAAAGTTCTCTCATCACTTCCTGTAATCAACATGGAAAAGTAACCCTGACCTGCTGTTATGATGGATTGGAGGCTGTATCCTGCGACCTCTCTGTGCCTGGGTCTCCCACTGAGCTCAGTAGCAGTTCTGCTCGATGGGGCCATGAGAGAGATTTGTATGACTATCCAGATGCAGTGTGGGGAGCAGGCTCGTGGGTGGATGTGGCCAGGTGCTAACTTGGAGCCATGTGGATGGAGCCAGGCAATGAGCCCCAGCCTGCTTGGCCTTTCCTTGTTCCAGGTTCTCAGATCCTACAGATCCCTCGAGTGCGGATTTCCACTGGGGGGAAGTACACGTGTGTGGCGCTGAATGCAGCCGGCAGAGATGAGAAGCTCTTTCTTCTCCGTGTTTATGGTGAGCAAAGGCCTCTGAGCCTGGTCTGCCTTGTGCGCTGTGGGCCAACATCTTCCCCCTCAGCCCTTCTGGTTCCATTAGCTCAATAGGACCGAAGCTGCAATTTATCAGCAGAGCACGCGATGCCACACATGAGCCTTCAGCTCCCGCCCCGGCTCCTGTGGAGACCCATCTGTCTGTGCTTGATGCAGGCCGGCTCTGTTCTAGCAGTAGCCTCTGTTCTGGTGCAGCTGCTGGACAGCACCTTCCCTATCCAACACCGGGTAAAATAATAACTATTGTACCAGGTGCCAGCCTGGCCAGGCATTCACAAACTACTATGATTGCACACAGCTACCGCTAGTACCTAGTTTGGAAACTTGGTGCTTTGGCAGCTGCCCCCAAGGCCAGGATCTCTAAAAGCAAGTGTGCTTTGGGAGTTATACCTATGCTTGAAAGAAGGCTGTATCCCTATGGGCCAGATTTTCACAGGGCTTGCTTAGTTGCCCTGGCAACATTTGTGCATGCCACAGCCTGCAAGGGGTTAAGTGCACGATTTGCACTTGCATGCATTTGTGCAGCTGCAGCCTGCATCTGACCTCCTTTGGAAAGTTGGCCCTGTCCATGTGTTTCAAGAATAGCCTCTGTGTGGTATGGGGGGGCATGCACTCATGGAAGTGTATGTCCTAAATATGCCTGCATGGGGAGGGTGTGGTATCTTTACATCAGCAGTGGTGAGGCTAGCTCCCTAGAGGTCTTTGGATTTCTCTGTGGGCAGGCTGTTCCCCTCTGTAGGAAATATATTGCCCCATCATCCAGCAATACTAGAGGCTCTTCTCTTTCTCTCTCTCTGGTAAAGTTCCCCCCACCATCACGCAGCCCCCTGGAGGCCAGCAGGAGGCCGTGATGGTGCGTGCCGGAGAGACTGCTGTTTTACAATGTGAGGCTGATGCTCTGCCGGAGCCTGTGGTAACCTGGTACAAGAACGGGCACCAGCTGGCACTAGGGAATGGGGCTCGGACCCTGCTGAGAGGGCAGAGGCTGGAGATTGACAACGCCCAGGTAAGGTTAGGTTGTACCTAGGGAAACCGTCCCACCTGTTCAGCCTTCCACGCCCTGTGTGCGAGAGTCCGACGACTCCCTCTTTCTCGCAGGTGTCGGATAAAGGGATCTACAGCTGCAAAGTCACCAATGTGGCAGGGGAGGCAGAACAAACCTTCACGCTCACCGTCCAAGGTAAGAGAAGAGGGTTTAAACCACGTGCCTCCATCCGTTCTCTCCAGATTCAGTCTGTCTCAGGAGACCTGGGACTGGGGTCGTGAGAGGGTGCAGGTCAGGGCTGAGGTTACTTGGCAGATCTGGAAGTGAGACCAGTAACAGCATCTATCTACACCATCCCTGTCTCCGCTGCCCTGCACACTGAATAGGGGAAGTTAATCTGCATTGAGCTTTTCAATAGAGGAGAGGTCAGAAGTAGGGCTGGCCGTTGCCTGTTTAAACCGCTTTGGACGGAAAATTGGGCCTTCGACTCAGTGAACATTTGTGTGAGAAGTGTCTGCTTTCTGTGAAGAATTTATATATCTATATATGGGTCAAAAACCAGAATGCCCCAAAACTATTTGCATTCTGAAATGCTGCTGCAGTGCCTCATGGGAGTTGTAGTTCTGGTGCCTCATGCTTCTCTTCTCTATGGGGCGGGCTCCCCAGCTAGACTTTGGGCTTCTCTATGCTGCACTGCAGTGCGGACTGTCGGGGTGTGAATGCCAGAGCGCGCCAAAATGTTTCATTCCAACTGCCCTGTGTGGATTCCACTGGCACAAACGAAAAGGTACCTTGTTTGCATTAACACAGTCCTCTCTGAAACGGGACTATGCTAATGCGAGCTAGATACCTTTTCATTTGCCCAGCAGCGTCCACACGGGGCAGTTAGAACGTAACGTTTTGGTGCACTCTGCACTTCACACCCCTGTAGTCCACATTGTGGTGCAGTGTGGACATAGCCTTCGTCTCCCATGACGCACCACCTCCACTCACCAAGAGGGGAGACCACGGGAGACGTAATTCAACCAGAGAGCCTGGCTTACGGGGGAGACGGGAAGCAGGAGGCAGTGCGGTGGCCATCCAGTTCCGATTTTGATTGTTCTCTGAAACGCAAAGTTTTTTCCAGAGGAAGAATCCCCATTTTTTGTTCTAGTTCGATGCTAGGTCAGTGCTGCAGGGCTGTGACCATGAACGTGGTTAGTGCTGGGGAGAGGACTCACTGGGGCAGATGGGCCCCTGGGCTCTGCAATCCAGAGCTCGATTTCAAACTCCACTTCTAAAACTTGAGGGCTCTCAGCTCTGGGGTTTTATCATCAGAGGCCGGGCAGCTGGGAAATGCAGGTCAGGGCTGAGTGTGAGCACAGTCCCCAGGGATGATGATGATGGTAACAGCCCCTCGCAGAGCCCAGGGGGGACTTGGGGCCGGTGTGCAGCTCCAGACACTCCTCTCTCACTGACACCCACTGAAGATGGGAGTCACTTTTTATTTTAGCGTTTTGTGCTGTGCCTGCAGGTACAGCCCCTGCAAGAGGAGTGCTGAGTAGGGAAGCAGCATGGGGCAGCACATAGGGGACCCGTGTTCTGTTCCTAGCTCTGCTGCCTTGAGCAGGCTGCTGCCTGACGGTGTGCCTCAGTTTCCCCACCCGTACAATGGAGACAATGGCACTCCCCCTGGCTTTAGGAACTCTGGGTGAAAGCGCTGAGTGGTGTTTACTGTTTGTCTGAGCTAGGGGGAGGGCTGCTCCATGGCTGTGCTTTATGAATGTGATCTCAGCAAATGCAGAGGGGTTCTGGTGTCCCTCAACCCCAGTGGCAGCGACTGAGCCTCCCCGTGCATTCTGCTTCTCTCCCAAAGCCCCCCCGACCATCGAGAACCCACGCCAGGAGACGGTCTACGGAGCTGTGGGGAGTCTCCTCATTCTGACCTGCGAGGCGGTCGGTGTTCCCCCTCCTGCCATCACCTGGCTGAAAGATGGGGCCCTGCTTGGTAAGGAGGCCACATCACCGCATCAGCTGGCTGGACGGGCTGCTGGGATAGCAGGGCTGGGCGTTAGCTGACCGTAGTGTGCACAGCTAGCCCTTCTAGCAGGGCGGGGTGGTCTCTGGGTTTAGAGTACAGGACTGTGGATGCAGACTTCTGGGTTCTGTTCCCGGGTCTGATGCCAACTTGCTTTGTGAGCTGAACCGCTCTGTGCCTTGGTTTACCTTCCTCTATGGTGGGGATTCGCCACTCACCGGGTGTGGGGATGAGACCTGGCTCATTCGTGTGTGTGAAGTGCTTTGAGATCTAAGACAGTGACGGAAGTGCATATTATAATTTGTGAAATAAACACCGGGGGGTATGCGGGGCAATCTTCGGGTGTGTTCATGGTCTTGTGTGCTTTTCATGGACTCTTCTAAAGCCTTGGGGGCCTATTTATGGAGCCAAAAACATGTGAAGTCTGGTTCCCTTGTGGTGTTTCAGTTCTGGGACAGTGGAAATCGCCGACCGACATGTTGTTTAGATCCCTGCAGAATTAAAGTCTCCAGATAATATAAATGCAAGTACCAGGCTCTCTGGCTTTATTTGGGTTTACCCCAATCCTACTGTGTTCGACTTGAACCGGAGCCTGATCTTGATTTTGTGCGGTGAAGTTGTCGTGACCCAGCGTTTCAGGCCCGTAAGCTGAAAGTTCCCAGCGCTGCGTAGGGCAGCGCTGCTGAGTCACGCCAGGATGAGCGGGAGGAGGATGGGGTCCCAAGGTCCCGCTGGGGGGAATTCCAGTGGGAAATGTGGGAAGCCTCCTTTCCAGAGGTGGGTTGAGGACGAGCAAGCCCAAGGGAACCTCCGCAGAGGAGAAGCCGAGTTCTCTGGACTTGTTTTGGAACGATGCGCTCTCTTTCCCCCTCAGAGAGCAGTGTGGAGCAGGGAGTGGTGTCCCGAGGCGGGCAGCTGCAGATCAGCCGCTTGCAGCCTTTCCACGTGGGCCGATACACCTGCCTGGCACAAAGCCTTGAAGCAGAGGCACGCAAAGACTTCATCGTCTCGGTGCAAGGTAGGCCCTGTGTGGCATTGCAGCGAGCAGGCTGCCTCCGAATGGGATGGAGACAGATTGTCGTGGGAGCATTCAGGCCTCTTGAGGATGTGGTTTGGGCTATAAAGGGGTCAGGTACTTCCTCTGTTCTCCAGTCACCGTCTCCTCTCTCCACTCAGCGGTGCCCCGGATCCTGAGCGCAGGCATCCCCAGTGAGCACAGCGTGCTGGAGGGCACCGGGGTGAAGCTGGAGTGTGAAGTGGAAGGACAGCCGGCTCCAGAAGTCACGTGGCTGAAGGACGGGAGCCCACTGGAACTGCCTGCTGCCCCTCACCTCCGGTACGCCTCTTGCTAGGGCTCTGGTGCTGCAGTGGCGTGGCTCAATATGCAGCGACAGTCAAAAGAGCGAACAGAATCTTGGGAATCATTAGGAAAGGGAGAGATAATACGACAGGAGATATCCTATTGCCTCTGTATAAACCCATGGGACGCTCACATCTTGAATACTGCGTGCAGATCTGGTTGCCCCAGCTCAAAAAAGAGATATTGGAATTGGAAAAGGTTCAGAAAAGGGCAACAAAAATGATTAGGGGTCTGGAACGGCTTCCGTATGAGGAGAGATTAATAAGACTGGAACTTTTCAGCTTGGAAAAGAGACAAGGGGGGACATGATAGAAGTCTATAAAATCATGACTGATGTGGAGAAATTAAATAAGGGAGTGTTATTTACTCCTTATAACGCAAGAACTAGGGGTCACCAAATGAAATTAATAGCCAGCAGATTTAAAACAAACAATAGGAAGTATTTCTTCACACAACGCACCAGCAACCTGTGGAACTCCTTGCCAGGGGATGTTGTGAAGGCCAAGACTATAACAGGGTTAAAAGGAGAACTAGCTAAGTTCATGGAGGATAGGTCCATCAGTGGCTATTAGCCAGGATGGGCAGGGATGCTTTGCGTTGAGTGTAATGGTTGGCTTAGTGCACATAGCTCGAGTGGCTGGCTCCAGCAAGGATAACGCCTGATACTTAAGGCTCAAGGAATTAATCCTTTAGCTCTAGTGAGAGGGGCTTGTGTTTTCAGCACAGAAGGTCACAGGTTTGATACCGAGGCAAGGCCATGGTGTCTGTATGTATGTGGCCCTAGTGGGTTCTGCTGCCTTATTGAGTCTCCTCTCCCTGTGTGTGCAGGTTGTCTCCTGATGGCAGCTCCTTGCTCCTCAAGGGGCTGCGGACGTCTGACTCAGGGGCATACACCTGCCTGGCTCAGAACAGGGCCGGAGAGGACATCAAGTTCCACATGCTGAACGTCCTGGGTGAGTGAAGCATGCCGGGTGGTGCTGGGCACAGGTGGGGTTAGCTGCTGGGTGGGGGCAAAGATTAATCCCCTCAATGACAACCCTTTCTCCTCCCCCTCAGTTCCCCCTACTATCGAGCGAGGGGCCAACAACTCTGAGGTCATCAGCAGCGCCCCCTTGGGGTTGGTTACCATGGAGTGCCAAGCACGGGGCTCCCCTCCCTTACAGATCAGCTGGCTGAGGGACGGACTGCCCCTCCCTCTCTCCCACCGGGTGAGGCTGCTTTCCGCAGGACGTACCCTCAGGTAAGAGGAGGTTTCCGGGTGCTTTCCAAAATCCTCCCCCTGTACTCATGCACTGTTGTGCCTGGCACCTGCCTGGCTGCCACTGCCCACTCCAGAGGTGGCTGCATTTCAGTGGAGTGTTGAACGTCCAGGGGCCTGATTTTCAGAGGTGCTGAGCACCCACCAGTCCCACTGGAGATACAGTAGAAGCTGCAAGTTCAGCCCGCCGCCTCTCCAGCTGGGTGCTTTGGAAACACGGCCGTACGCCATGTGGTGTACGCTCAGCTGTCCCGTGACGGTGGCACCGCAAGGAGGGGGGAGCAGAAGCCACAAGCTAGCCTTCATGTGCTCTGAATTGATTCATCATCATCTTACCCCACTCCCCACCCCTGGGAGTTAGGATCTCTCCGGTGCAGGACTTGGATACTGGCATCTACACCTGCGTTGCGTCCAGCCGGGCAGGAGTAGCAGAGCGAAGCTTCATCCTGCAGATCCAGGGTAGGAGGGGAATGTCACCTGTGTGACCGAGGGGTCCTCTGAGGAAGGCAGAGCCTGGAGTGTGGGGGGAAAGGGGCGACTGGGGCTGAGACAAGAAGAAAGCATGGAGAGAGAGGGGTTGGGGAAATGGGGGAGAGGAGGGGTGTATGGGAGAAAGGGGCTGGGAAGTGTGGGGGAGGAGAAACTGGCTAAATGCAGATTTGGGGGATGGGGTCACTGGCTAGTTGGCTGGAGGGGATCGCTGGTGAAGAAGTGAGCCGGGGCAATGCAGGGTGTGATGGGGAATCACCGTGACACTGATCATGGAGGGAGAGATTGACGGAGTGATGGCCGGAGAACTGGCCGGAGACGAGGGGCCCCGTCTGTTACTGTCCAGAGGATGGAGGAGTGGCAGGATGGACAGCAGGAGCAGACCCAAGCCAGGCTGCCAGTGGCCAGTGTGTCAGAGGCTGTGTGAGGGTGTCTCCACTAGCTGCGAATGGTACTTTGCAGAGTCACCTTCTGTTCTGCTGCCTTGGGTGGCCTGTTTCCAGTGTAGGCCCCTGACCCGGGCGTGCACATCCTGGGGTTAGCTCCTGAGCCGCGCCTCTCGGGAGACAGAAGGTGCAGCCCGGAGTGAGGGGGACAAAGGTGCGATCTGAAAACGACAGGTGAGGCCTCCTCTGGCCCCGGTAACAGACGCCTGCTGCTTCTGCCTCCCCCCAGTGCCTCCAGCCCTAGAGCCCTCGGGGAGCAGCGAGGCCGTGACCGCAGTGACTGACTCTGCCGTGACCTTCACCTGTGCAGCCAGCGGGTCGCCGCTGCCCACTCTGACCTGGCTGAAGGATGGCGAGCCCCTGATTCTGCAAAACAACCTGGTGCCCAATGGCCCGGGCACAAGGCTGTACCTGGAGTCGGTGCAGCCGGCCGATTCGGGCGTTTACTCCTGTGTGGCTGGGAACAAGGCCGGGGAAGTGAGCAAACACTTCCACCTCTCCGTCGTGGGTACGTGCCTGGGCGGCCTCTCTGCAATCTGTCGGCAGGGAGGCTGGAAGGGGGCGAGGGTGAGGGGCAAGCAGGCTGGGCTGATAAGGCTGAGCTGCGGGGCATGAGGAGGGGGATGGGCAGTGCCCAATCTGGTCTCTTGGAAGCCCGATGCCCAATTCAGCTCTCTACGTTCCTGGGCGCTAAGGGCCAGGGGCATCCCTTTGCACTAGCGAATCTCCATGCTCAGCCCCAAGGAGGACCTTCCCCCTCTGCCCGCCTGCCCTCCCAGGCCCTTGTCCGGAGGATGGGCGGTGAAATCAGCCCTGCCGTGCCTTGCAGAGCCCCCGCGCATTGAGGATTTGGCCCAGCCCATGGAGGTGGCCGCCGCCATTGGGGCTCCCTTAGAATTGCTGTGCACTGCAGCTGGAGTCCCCGCCCCCAGCGTCACCTGGGAGAAGGATGGCCGGCTGCTAGCCAGGCCCGGGATCGTGGCCAGGAACGGGAGCTCCCTGCGGATAGAGAGCGTGCAGGTGGGGACTTCTCCTCCTCCCTCCCCCCTTCCCTCCCTCCCTTCCTCCCACCCTGAGTTTTCACCTGAGCTTCCCCTCCCTTCTGGCCTTTCTCAGGCGGACGATGCCGGCTTGTACACCTGCCTGGCTGCCAGTCCTGCTGGGGAGGATGGCAAGAGCTTCTGGGTCAAGACACAAGGTACCATTGCACAGCAGGGCGCCTGTGGCTAGAACGCAGGCCGGTCGCATGGCGGCAGCAGCCAGCCTCACGTCTGCGCTGCCGTCAGAAGCGACTCCTGCCCCCTGGGAGGGGGGGGTGTAGGGCAGAGCTGGCCACATCAGCCTCTAGCAATGGTGGGTGGGTGAGCTCACCCTGCTGGCTTCCCTTTGCCCAGGGAAGGGAACGGATGGTGCCCCCGGAGGGAGTGCGCCACAGGGAATGGGTTGGGTTGAATGGCATGAAATGCAGGGTTGATATCAATCTCCACCATGCAGCAGCCTTGGTGGGTACCGGTACAGCGCCACTGGAAAGCAGCTGTGTGCAGGCAGGACCTGCGGGTGGGGACGAGGGCCTAGACATCTCCTGTAACTGGGGTGTTGGGGGATGTCCTGCACTCTCCCCTGGTGGGAGCCTTTCAGGATTGTAGCTGGGCCCACAGGTCCTGGCCCTGTCATGTGCCCACCCTTCTGGACCAGCGAGGTGGAAGGGAGAAGGGGGATGTAAGTGCCTTCCCTGTGAGCCTGGGGCTGGGTGACAGCAAGCAGGGTTAGCGCAAAGCAGAGCAGCAAGGGCTGGGGCATTTCTCGGGCATTGGCCGGTCGGTGGGAGTTACCATTTGGGGACGGCGCCCTCTCTCCGGCGCTCCCAGCTGCTCCTGGGCGCGATTCCCCTTCAGCATGTGCCTGACCCACTTGGCTTGGATCCCTTCAGCGCCTGCGAACGTTCGGGACTCCAGTGAGACGCGCTTTGTCACCGCGCTGGCCGGCGGGCAGCTCTCCCTGGAGTGCCCTGCGGACACTCACCCGCCGCCCCGCATCGAGTGGCACCGAGGGGGATCCCTGCTGCAGGTGTGTAGCTGGGGCGTCCGCCGCTGCCAAACGTACCAGGCTGGGCGTGCATGGAAAGGGGGTTGGAGGGAGGGGCTGGCGTCTCAGAGAGGTGGCGCTGACTCCCCAGACCACGTCAGGGCCCGAGAGATCCCCTCCCACTCTCTGTGGCTCAGCCAATGCACTAGGTGGCTCCCCGTCACTGCATGGCAGGGGACTGGAGCCCCTGCCTTGGGGATCCCTCCCCGGTCTGTGGGTCCCTTTGATCAGCCACCCCCGGCACGGCTCAGCTCTGGCCGCTCGGCACTGCGGATGCTGCCTCTGGAATACTGAAGCAAGGCCACCGGACTCATTACGCGTGAAGCCTGCGGTTGGATGCGCATTGAGGTCTGGGCGGCGCTGCTGACGGGGTGTTTGTCTCCGGGTGCTGGCAGGAGGATGCCCACGTGCGGTTTCTGGCCCAGGGGCGTTTCCTTCAGATCCAGGCCTTGGGAGCGCCTGACGGCGGAGAATACAGCTGCACGGCGAGCAACGCGCTGGGGAGAACCAGCCTGAACTTCCACGTGGAGATCCAGAGTGAGCAGAGCTCGGGAGCTGCTGGGGAGGTGTGAGTCCCCGGCTCAGATCCTCCGGCGCCCTCAGTTGCTGGGGCTCCCCTGCGGTCAGCAGAGCTGGGTTGACTCAGACGCTCTGGCCCTCACTTCCCTTCCCGGAGTGGGGTTGGTGGGTTATGCCATGTGATGGGATCCATTTATCAATGAGCCGTCACCCCATAAACAAAGGGGTGGGCGGGCTCTTGGGAGTCCCTCCATTCACACATCTCATTGCATTGGCTTTGTTAATTGGTAGGAACCAATCCCTGTGCAGCATGTTCTGTCCACGTGCTGTCTGCCTTCGACCTGCTCGTTACCTCATCTTTCCATTCCCGACTTACCTTGTCCATTGTTGTTATCTTGTTCTTGTCAATGGTTCCCCGGATGTTCCCGCCCCAGGCCTTGGCCAGCTCAGAGAGTCCGTCTCTCCGCTCACTGGCCCATTTCCCTATCTTCGTTAGCACTAACGTTCTCATTTCAGCCTGCTCATCTCTGCGCCTCCCTAATCCTGTCTTCCAAGAAAGGAGGCCTCCCCCGGGGTTCATTACTCATCTCAAGCCAGGCCTATGTAGGAGTGAGTGAAAGAGGGAGGGGTTTCAGACCCCCCCCCATCCCCAAAACATTGGGACCCCTCCAAACTTCTTCCTACCCTGCTACAGCAGCAGGCTCACAGGAGCAGAAGGGGGCTGTGTGCTGCCCCTGGACGGGGGGTGCTCAAGGGCAGAGCAGCTAAGCCAGGGATCTCAAACTCAAATCACCACGAGGGCCACATGAGGACTAGTACATTGGCCCGAGGGCCACATCACTGTCACCTTTTCATATAAAGATACAAAAGCCCCGCCCCTGGCCCCGCCCCCACTCCACCCCTTCCATGAGGCCCTGCCCCGCGTCTTCCCACCCCTTCCCCGCCCCCATTCCAACCCCTTCCCCAAATCCCCGCCCCAGCCCCGCCTCTTCTCTGCCTCCTCCCCTGAGCACGCAGCTCCCCACTCCTCCCCCCTCCCTCCTGGAAAGCGCTAACAGCTGTTTGGTGGCGGGAAGCGCCTGGAGTAGGCAGAGGAGCAGGGATGCGGCGCACTGGCGGGGAGAGAGGGCGGCGGGTGAGGGGAGCTTGGTGGCCGTAGGAAATAACTCTGGGGGTCCGGGGGGAGCTTGGCAGGCCGCAGCAAATAACTCCGCATGTTTGAGACTCCTGAGCTAAGCACAAACTCCCCAATTTCTCTTACTGTTATTTCCCAATGCCTCGTACCCCTCCTCCCCCCGTGATTTTTTGGTTGCAGCTGCCCCTGTGATAAAGCCGGGCCCCTTGACTGTGAGCGCCACTGTGAACGCGTCAGCTCTGCTGCCCTGCGAGTCGGAGGGGCGGCCCACGCCCCAGCGCACGTGGAGGAAGGATGGCCGGCTCCTGCTGCCTGCTGGGAACCCCAGGTAGGCGAGCCCAGGGCCCTTCTGCAGCCGTGCTCGCCCATCTGTTTGAAACTGGCTGTGGGAAAGCAGCTGCTTCCCATCTGTTTTGTCCCTGGAGCCTCAGCACAGCCCAGTGAGCTCAGGTTTATAACCGGGCTGCTACGCGGGCCAGGCCCCTCGCTAACAGTGAGGAACGGAGCCTCGCAGGCACCCACGTGAGGCAGGGGCGTTTGTTACCCCCACTGTACGGCTGGGGGAGCCGCGGCAAGGGGAGATGAGGCGACTTGCCCAAGGTCCCATGGCAGATCATGGCCAAGTTGTGAACAGAGCCCGGGCGCCCTGACACCTAGCCCTGTGCTTGGACCACTCCTCTGTGCTGGTGGCCACCTCCGGGCCTGCCTTACGATGGCTGTGGTCTGCTGGCAAAGGTTCTCCTCTCCCTCAGCGGCTGTTTTGCTATTTGTCTGCTGCTTTCTGTCAATGAGGCATTAAACCAAACCGGCCGGTGGCCTGATGGACTCACCTTCCCTCCCCTCAGGTTGGAGCTCCTGTCAGACGGCTCCCTGAGAATAAACCCGGTTCAGGTCCAGGACACGGGACATTACCTCTGCGTGGCATCTAACCCTGCTGGGTCTGACCGACGAGGCCTGGACCTCCGAGTCCTAGGTAAGGGGAGCGTGAGGAGGGAAGGGACTGACCTGGGAAGGAGGCAGGCCCCTAGGAGCCCGGCATGCAGGGTTCGCATCCAGCCACGCTGCATGGATCTCAGACAGCCTCTGCTCTGGATACCACCATCTCCTTTTTCCTATACGTGCCGGCGTCCCCTCTCCTTTGTTCCAAGGGGTCCCTCTGCCTCCTGCTGGACTGGCCCAAGCCAATGCGCTCCCCCCTCATTAATGCCGCCTCCCTCCAGCAACGCCTCTAGCTGGTTGGAATCCGCTCCTGAACCAATCGCGTCTGTCTCTGCTCCTCGCAGTCCTTCCTGCCATTGCTCCGGGGCCCTCCAACCTGACCCTGACGGCCCACAGCCCGGCCTCGCTCGCTTGCGAAGCTACTGGCCTCCCCAAACCCCACGTGACCTGGAAGAAAAACGGGCACCTCCTGAACGTGGACCTTCCGCAGAGCCCATACAGGTACCGGCGCTGTCCTGGCCATGCAGACCGCAGGCGGGGTGGGATGCTCGGGGAAATGTGCGGCTGCCTTTGGTAGAGCGAGTCAGGTCCGGTGGCCGGTTCTGCTGCCATTTGGTTCACTTGCTGTGCTGCTCCACGCTGTACACAGCTGGCCCTGGCCCTCTCTGTCCTGGGGGCCGCTGCGATCAGGTGCTGGGGGCCATTGCTGACCTTAGTGGGGCAGGATCTGGTCCTACGTTCGTGACTCCCCCTCACCCATGCACTCTGTGTCCCAGGTTACTGTCCTCTGGCTCCTTGCTGATTGCCAGCCCCAGCCTCCAGGACACGGCGCAGTTTGAGTGCATCGTAACGAACCCTGCCGGAGAGGCTCGCAGGCTCTTTGCAGTCGCTGTGCGGGGTGAGTGGCTCTCGGGCATGCAGTGGTCTCACCTTGGGACGGGCTTTCTGAGCTTTTTCCATTTCCCGGAGCGCAGATAGCTGCCTGAGCTCCAGCCAGTGCTTTTCCTGCACTGACGTGCTGGCTGGAGCCCCAGTTACACCAAACACTGAGCCGTGTTCTCTGGGCGAGCAGCCTGGCTGAGCCTGTGGAATCCACTGGCGTGGGGAGGGCCTGCATGCGCCTTGGTTCTGTAGCTCAACCTGCAGCAGCTCATGCTTTCAGCTCTGGAGGTCCCCGGTTCAGTCCCTGGTGTGTCGGCCAAGATGGCGGCTGTCACACATGCTTCCCGGAGCCTCGACTCCATGCCCAGAGGGGAGAGTCTGGCTCCTGCACTTCGCTGCACAGCCCCGCTCACCTTGACTCTCGCCGTTTGCAGTCCCTCCCACGATTGCCGACGACCATACCGACTTCACAGCCACCAGGATGTCCCCAGTGGTTCTGACCTGCTATGCCTCTGGGGTGCCGGCACCAGCTGTGTCCTGGAGCAAAGATGGAGCCCAGCTGGGAAACCGAGGCAGTGGCTATCGCGTCTTGCCGACAGGTATCAGCAGCACCATCCTGTACATGGGTGTGTCAGTGGGGGGGCGGGCAGCACGCTCACCACCCAAGAGGGGGCACTATTCACCTCCCCCCCCCCGTGTTCCCAGGTGCTTTGGAGATCAGCCGTGCTCTGCCGATTCACGCCGGGCGCTACACCTGCACGGCAAGGAACGCTGCTGGCGTGGCACACAAGCATCTCCTCCTGACAGTGCAAGGTACCCAGAGCTGCCAAGGCCACTTCAGGCTGGGGGAAGGAGGCAAGCCCCAGCCCCAGAGAGGGAGATGGGAGGGGGAGAGGCCTGTGAGAGAGCGCACCATCTGTCGGGACTGTGAACGGGCATTAGGGAGTAGCCTGGCTTCCTGGACCTCTCCAGGTTCCGGGAGGCTGGGTGCTGACCATAGAGCCCTGGAGGCTGGGAAAGCAGCCAGGTTGTACTCTGTGAAGGAGCCGGCTCAGGCACCGTTCCCCCTCTTGGTTGCAGAGGCCCCGGTGGTGAAGCCCCTGCCTAGCATGGTGCAGGTGCGGGTCAATGCTGGTGTGATCTTGCCCTGCGAGGCGTCTGGGATCCCCCGCCCGGTGGTCACGTGGCAGAAAGAAGGGATGAGTATCCCAGCAGGTGAGCTGGGGTGCAGCTAAACCAGCCGAGCCCAGAACTGCCCCGCCAGTCCATGCCTTCACCACAGCAAAGCCCCTGGGAGGGGTTGGTGATGCTACTGGAACTTAGCACCCTGAGCGCAGTGGCTTGGGCGAAAAACTATCCAAGGACCTTCCAAATCCCCCATCCCCTCCTGCCCTAGATCCCCAGTTCTCACGGAACCTCTCCTGGCTGCAGCACCGGGAGGCACAATGCTTGGTAGCTCTGTGCACCCCAGCACGGTGTCAAAGGGCACCAGGGGGCACCGTCAGTCAGTTCAGCGGGAAATCAGGACAGCTGGTGATCCTGAAATACCCCTTGGCACCTGTAAGGAGACATTAACCCGGGTGTCCTTGCTAAACGCCACCTAGAGTCATTCCACTCTGCCTCCACCTGCCGTTTCAGAGGCTCCGGTGGGTTCTTCACTTCCTGAGCTAAGCCGTTGTGTGCTACCTCGGAGGAGGCTGCACGTGATGTGTGGAGGAAGCGGTCCCTGTGTATAGTCTGTCAGTGAGTCACTAATGCGCTTGGGCCGGGGTGGTCTGGCCAGTGCCCGGCCTTCCTGCTCTTGCTCTTCATTTCTGCCACATCCCTTTTCTCTCTGATCTTTGTTTCCTGGTGGCAGGAGCCGGTTTCAAGGTGCTCCCCAATGGGCATCTGCATCTGTCCCGGGCCTCTGTGGAGGATGCTGGGGTTTACCTGTGTGTGGCTCAGAACCCCTCGGGCACAGCGCTGGGGAAAACCAGACTGATCGTGCAAGGTAGGAGCAGGAGCGGGGACCCACGCCTCAGAGCAAACCCAGAGCCGCATGTGAAACCCAGGGGGCTGGGCGTTATCCCGCAGCATGTGCTCTCCTGTTCCCCTGGGCCTGGCTGGAATGTCCTGTCTGACCTGGGGAGTCACTATAACCTCCATAGGGGGCCCGGGACCCAGTGTGTTTCACAACTTGATGTGGGATGCAGGGGTGGGCAGCAGAGCTTGGTCACCATTCTGGTCCCCTACCGGTGTTGGACAAGGAACACGCTCCAGCTTTACTGTGCTCGGAGAAGAGGACAGGGTGGCTGGATTGCGCTAAGTGTCACAACGCGCTGTTACTAGAGATGGGCTGAGCCGCAGCATTTGGGAGCTGGATCCAAATTTCCCCCAAGCACCCAGGGTGTTCAGGGCTGGGTCTGAGGTAGCACAGGGGCCTGCTGGAAACGTAGAGCCTGGATCTGGGTGCAAAGCCAGGTGGTGTTTGGAGCCGACGTTCTGGCTTGCGCCCTGTCCGCTCTTGTGATGCATTTGTCTCTGTGCACCGTGAGGGAGAGCGGGGGGAGGCGGGAGGGGTTTGGCAGCATGCAGGGGCAGAGGGTAACGGGGCACCGTGCAGAGCGGCTAGGCTGGGCTGGGGTGGGGTGATGTTCCAGCATCTTCATTCACCAGGGGCTGGGTTGGCATCTCACTGCAGGGCACGTCTGCAAACTCAGTTGTTCAGTCAAAGCTGGATCGCGCCTGGCATTCACTGGGAAGTAGCTGTGGGAGGGGAACCCCGTCCAATGAAATCGGATGAGGGATCCTTTGCCTCCCATTCTCTGTTTTTTCCCAGTGCCTCCAGTCATTGAGGCCAGCCGGCCAGAGCTGTCCATCCTGGAGGGCTCGCAAGTTCTCCTGCCCTGTGCAGCTCGGGGAGTCCCTGAGCCCAGACTCACGTGGTCCAAAGACGGGGTCCCGGTGCCAGGGAGGGAGGGGAAATTCACCTTGCTGCCGTCCGGGGAGCTGATGGTGAAGGACTCCCAGGTAAGCAACCCAAGGGGACAGTGTGTTTTCTGGTTTATCTGGTGCGCATCCCATTTACTTCTCTGGGTCTGGACTAGCTGCAGGCCCATGATAGTAAAGGAAGCATCTGGAGAAGGGATCTTGGGAAGAGGTGGCCTCTCAGTGTCACCCTGGGCTGACAGACGACACGCCCAGTGGCTCTTGTACTCTCGGGCTGGGAGGGCTGCAGGAGAGGGAGGGGAAGCCTGGTCCCACTTAATAGTGACTCCCACCGGCTGATTTCAGGACCTGCAGTCAATGGCCTCTGAGCGTTCTGCCCAGTCCCCTTTGGCACCAGGTGGATCTTCCTGGGGCTGCGCGTGTGTTTGGGGGGATGTTGATCACACAGGTCCTGCCAAGAGAAAAATTAACTTTGAAAACCAAGCACTGAATCAATCTGTGCACAAACACCACTCGAGGAGGAGCCTAGCAGAGCTCTGCCCTGCTCCCTCTCCCTGGCATGGCCCCCACACCGAGGCAGGGAGAGCGGGAACTGGCTGGACCCCGGACGTGCCCACGTACGCCCAGGGAAATCTCAGTTGGCTGAGTACTCTCGGGATCCTGAGGAGTGCAAAGGACCCAGCTCAGAGTGGCTGGAATGGAAAAGCACTCAGAATCCTTTGGGCTCAGTTCATTTGTGGGGTGCAGCGCCTCGCCCCAGGGGTGTCCCACTGACTCGTTCGAACCTTCCCCCCCTTGCAGGGTGGGGATGCCGGAACGTACACCTGCACTGCAGAAAACTCTGCTGGGAAAGCCACGCTGCAGCTCCAGCTCACCGTCCACGTCCCTCCCACCTTCACAGAGCAGCCAAGGGACCGGACGCTGAACAGGGGCGAGAGGCTGATCCTTGGCTGCGTGGCGAAGGGGAACCCGATGCCCCGCATCACCTGGACGGTCAACAACAAACCGGTCAGAGGTGAGCGGGGCCAACTCTGCCACAGGAGCGGTGGGGGCTGGCATGGAAGGATGGGGGTTGGATCGGGGGAGGCAGAGAGAGAAGGCGCGAGACCCCATGTGGTGGGAGGGGTAAGAGAGACGGTGAACTAAAGGAGAGTGACCAGGGGGCTGCACTGGGGTCTCTTTGAAAAGGCCCCAGAGATGCTGGTAGCAGGGGGCAGACCTAGCTATAGGTTATTGTGCAGGGCTGTGTGTGGGAGGGAGTGCAGTCGAGTGGTTAGAGCAGGGAGTTGGGGCTTCTGGGTTTTAGTCTGGGTTCTGACACTGGATCTGTCTGAGTCACATGACTTCTCTGAGCCTCGGTCTCCCCACTGTAACACAGGGCTAAGAAAACCCACTTCACAGGGGGGCAAGTCGCAAGACTTAATTAGCGCGTGTTCCTACCGCACTGAGCTCGCTCAGCGAGAGGCGGTGGAGAGGGACGTGCTGCTATTTTCATCGTCCCCGGTGGGGCTGCCCTAAGAAGAAGGTTTTGAATACGTGGAAAGTGTGGCCATTTTGTCCAGGTCCTGCCGTTCCTTCTGGGAAGTGAGGGGATCAGCCCTGGTCTGTGTCGCTCACTCCCCCCCAGGAGCAGAAGGGAGAGCTGGATTCCAGGGTGTGGGCTGGGGACCTTCCAGCCCCTTCCCCATTCACCTCTTGGTCCCCAAGGGCTTGGCGTGGCTGAGTGGGCAGGTACCTGCATGCTCCATGGTACCATGCACTGGGGAGCTGTCTCCACTGTCTGCCCGCCAAACCCTCCCGTGTGGCTTCCCTTTGGCAGCGGGCATCTGGGAGCAGGGCGGGCAGAGCACCCTGCAGAGAGAGGCCGTCACCAAGGAGGACACTGGCACCTACGCCTGCGTGGCCGAGAACGGTGTGGGCAGCGTCAAGGCCGTCGCGTTCGTCTATGTGAAAGGTACCTTGGCAGGTGGGGGCGGCTCGCTCGTGGAGCGCTGAGAGGAGGGGGTCTGGTCTCGGCCTGGAATAGCGCCTCTGTGGTCAGCAGACCCCCCTGCATCCACACCAGCGTCACAGAGCCCAGAGCCTGGCCTGGTGTCTGAAGGCCCTGGCCGTTCTGGGAGCGCATAGCCCAGGCCGAGCAGGATTTTTGTCTCTAACCCATTCTCCTTCCCCAGAGGCTCCGGTCCTCCGTGGCGAAGTCAGCGCCTACCAGGTGGAGCCCCTCGGGGGCAACGCCCTCCTGAACTGTGAAGCCCACAGCGACCCTGCCCCAGTTATCCACTGGAATAAAAACGGGCTCCCGGTGCTGGGCAGCCCCCACCTGCGCCAGCTCCAGAACGGCTCGCTGGCCATCTACGGGACGGTGGTGAGTCACAGCCCTATAGACAGGGGGCTGAGGACTGCAGGGGTGTGTGAGGAGGAGCTTGGGTGTCTTCCCTTTTCTCTCTCTTCATTTGTGCTGCCAGATTTTTTCCTTCCCTCCTTTGAGTCTCATGGCTGGGTTAGATTGGAGCAGGGGCTAGCGAAAACTTGGAGTGCTCTGCATAGGGGAGAAGCTGCCTGGGAACAAGCAGGGTCAGCCACAGGGGCTGGGATCTCTGGACCCGCTCACCCAGCGGAGGTGTACTCGGGAAGTAACTTCTCCCTCTGAGGAACTAGGGCACCGATTTCTTCGCTGGGCCAGCCTCTCCTTTTGTCGCTGGGGGTCATGACAGGATCTAAAGAAGTTCTTCACTCTCTACCCTAACTCAGAACAGAAGCATTCTCTGTGAGGAGGGCCCGGTTGATAAGGCCCAGGTTGATCTGGCGTCTGTCACTCAAGAGGCCCTAGCTCCGGCTCTGCCATGCTCCATCTGCAGAGGCTGGATGGGGCATTGCGTGTTGGCCACCAGTTTGTATTAAAGATGAAGGGGCTTCAGTCTGCCCGATGTTATGCTAATTAGCTGCGCCCCTTGGACTCCTGGGAAGTCATCAGTGCAGCCCTGCCTTGAGCAAGGTAGGTGATGCATCTGCTTTCCCTTCTCCCAGAGCGACGACGCGGGGCGTTACAAGTGCGTGGCGGAGAATGAGGTGGGCACGGTGGAGAAGGTGGTCACCCTCGCCCTGCGGAGTGAGTATCTGTCCGCATTGGCCACCTTGGTAGTTTAGTCTCACGGACGGTGTCGCCCTCATGCCTGCGGTGGGGGGAGGGGGAAAGGGGGGCAGTTGGTTTGCAGGGGAAATGGCCGAACTGATCAGTTCCCTGCCGTTGCCCCAGGCCTTGGGCACTGGTGCACCTTGGTCCCTTCTGTTCTCTGCCTCTGGCACATAGTGACATAGTCTGCTGAGGCCTGACATGCTTTGGGCGAATTCCAGCTGTTGGGTAAAGTGCACAAGTGCTTGGTGGTGCAGGGGCCGGGGATATACGGGAAGTCAGACGCGATGATCAGGTGTCCCTTCTGGCCTTAGACTCTCTGACTCAGGAACTCTCCTCAGGATGTGGGCAGAGGACTGAGATCAAGAAGAAAAAATGACGAGCTGTCTAGTAGCCCCACTGAGGGAGAGGATCAGCCTCATAAAATCCCCTGGGGCCTCAATCCAATGTGAATGTGTGTGAACATCTCTCTTGGAAGAGTCCAGGTTACATCTGAGAGAGACGCTAGTGTCTGACCGGAAGCCCCTCAAAATAATGACGGGTGGAGCTACTCCACCTCCTCTGAACTCTGGGGCAATTCAGAGCTGGATGTCAGAACTGCTATACCGGTCTCAGCTCCATGAGCACACACGGACTCTGCCGGGCGTCGGGTGCTGCATTGACCGGGTGGTTTCCCCCTTGTGTTCTAGGTGCCCCTGTGTTTAGTGTGAAACCTCAAGACGTGGCTGTGAGTGCTGGGGAGAGGGCGCTACTTCACTGCCAGGCTACTGGAGAGCCAGCCCCCACAGTGGAGTGGACCCGGGAAGAGAAACCCCTCCAGGAGAACCACCGAGTCCAGATCCTAGCCAACTCCACGCTGCTGATCAGTGCCATGGAGGAGGCGGACGCGGGACTGTACGAGTGTGTTGCACGCAATCTGATGGGATCCTCCGTCGTCCAGGCCTTCCTGACGATGCGAGGTACGTGCCCCAGGGGCTGGAGATCCTGCGTGAAATGGGGGAGCCTTTTAGTGCCCTCTACCTTCTCCGCACACCGCAGGGCAGGACTGGTTGCTGGGAAGGCAGCATGGCTGGAGGGGGTTGAGCAAATAGAATTTACAGCCAATATGATTCTATCTCCCCCTCCTGCCCTAATGGACAGGCACTGGGCAAGCTGGGGCAGTTGGTCCAGATGCTCTCTGCCCTGTGGAGGGGGCTATGGCCAGCACCCCTGCTCCTGCATCCACCTGCCCCCTCAGTCCGGCAGCAAGGCCTGCGCGGGGGAGGATGTGGCGGTGGAGGTATGCCCGCCCCTCAGTGCCCTGGTACAAAGCACAGCTCTGAGAGGTGCCTCTCCCCTGTGCGTGCTGGGGGCAGGCTCCGGCCTGAGGGACGCTGGCCAGTGGGAAGGGAGGGTCCCTGCAGAGCTGGGAGCTCCCCGACCTGGTTTCTTTTGGCCTGTCTAGGGGTTTTACAGCAGGATTTTCATCAGCAGGGAGCTGTAATGTGTGTGTAGCATTTGCAAATGCGTATGGAGGGCCCTGTGCCCCACTGAGTGCTCCCAAGAGAACACGGATGCTAATAGCAGGGGCCTTTGTCTATCAAGTGGGCTCGCCATTTCCCAAACTGGGGCAATGGGCAAATAGTCTCTGGTCTCCAGCCGTGGCCAGTCCTCGATGCATAAGACGGAAGGAATATTCCACCCCTCCTCCTTTGCAAACACAATAAAGCAGCTGGGGTGGGGAGGAAGTTCCTGGTTCCGCCTGCCGGCTGCTGAAGCGTTAGGACTCACAGGTGTGCTGCTGCACCAGCCCTTACCCTGGATACCCTGTCTGGTGTAACACAGGCATTATGCTTATTCCTAGAAATAGCTAATATCTCCCCCTGCACCATCCTGCAGCGCTGAGTTGCACGGGTTAACGATGTGCTGTGTCAAGATGTACTTCCCTATTTATCTGTTTTAAACCATGTTGCCTTTTAATTTCATTGGTTCTTTTCCCCCCTTGTCCTGTACTGTGGAACGGCACCGAGAGGTGGGGCAACGGACCTCTGTGCCTCTCTTTGTTTTCTATCCCACCACCTCTCCCCGTACTCTTCTCCTTTGCAAGCACATAGCCCTGGGGTGGAGCTGAGGGAATCTTGAAGCTGCATTTAAGCCCCTGTGCCATGAAGCCGCAATGAAGGCTTGCATCCCCGGCTCCTCCAGCCCACAGCAGGCTGGTCATTCCTATTTGAGTTTTACTGAATCTATCCGGAGTGATTTGATTCTTTTGTCTCGGGAGACCTGCTAAATGCCCAGGCCCGGTGACTTCTGCTTTTTCTTGGTGAACAGATTGAAGAGCCAGATGAGACAGTCATGCAATTAGGCAGAGGAAGTATGTTGCAGTGCCCGGTGCATCCATCTGATTAGCAGTAATAGGGGTGCCGGGGCACTGCCCAGACGCTTTACAGGAAGAGCAAATGAAACACACTGCAGAGAGAAACCCAGGCCAGAGATGGTTGTGTGCGGCACGCAGAGCAGACTGAATGGGACTGCGTGTGACTGTGCATGTGTATTAGTCTGTGGGCAGGCGTGCAAGGATGTGTGCGTGCATTTGTGGGAGCAAGGCTGTGGCATGTATACAGATCATCCAGATTGGTCCTATGGAATGTGAACCCCAGCTGCCCTAGGAGATGACTCCCCTTGCTCCGACAGTGACAAACGAACGTTGGCCTGATCTGTGCCCGGCCGCTGGTGCAGCAGTGTATTGCAGCAAGGGGCAGAGGGCTCCTGCAGGCCAGGCTCAGGCTGCCCATGGTAGCTGGGCACCGGAAATGAAGCGGCGCAGGACGGGAGATGGGGATTAATGCCTCGCTGGCCAAGTGGGCCCTCTGCCCACCAGCTTGGGTCTCGCTGTGCAAAGAGATTTAGTGTGGGTCTCCCCCCTTATTCCGCCTTGTCTCCCTTCCCTCAGGAGAGCCCCTCAGAGTCCGGGGCAGTCTGATCGGCATCATTAACGACCGAGAATTTGGCATTGCCTCTCTGAACGCCAGCGTGATGGAGGATCCCCGCTCCGGCACGGCCACCATACGGAGCAGGATCGGGAATATCCCACCAGCTGTCGGTGCGTGATGCCCCGGGGATACGTCTTGTGTCAGTTACACCTACTACATGGCCAAGTAAATGGCAAGAAGCCGGATGTAAATCTGAGTGAAATACCCACTGCACAATACGCTTGCCTGTACCGTGAGTGGCATGGAGCAACTTAGCTGGTATTTTTTTACCAGCTCTAGTGGGATGTAGTGGATAAATGCTGCTGTTCCCACTCATACACGTATGTAGCCAGTTGTCTGTTCCCTGGCTAGGTAATCCATCCCAGGTTTTACGGAGACCCTCTAGTAGCACAAACTGTGTCCAGTCTGGGAGCTGGGGGCGGGGGGTGACTTGATGACAGTCTGTAAGTACCTACATGGGGAACAAATATTTAATAGTGGGCTTCTCAGTCTAGCAGAGGAAAGTATCACACGAGCCAATGGCTGAAAGTTGAAGCTAGACAAATTCAGGCTGGAAATAAGGTGTAAATTGTTAACAGTGAGAGTAATTAATCATTGGAATAATTTCCCAAGGCTCGTGGTGGATTCTCCATCGCTGCCCATTTTTAAATCAAGATGGGATGTTTTTCTAAAAGATCTGCTCTAGGAGTTATTTTGGGGCATTCGCTGGTCTAGGTCAGACTAGATGATCACAATGGTCCCTTCTGGCCTTGGGATCTAAGCTTGTGACTCCCCTGGTGGGTTCCTCGGGTGCTGTTGGGGAGGGAGCTGTTCCTAACAAGGGTTCCTGGAAGGGATCTGGGGGCTGATTTATGGGGGAGCCTAGCCCAGCACAGAGAGGCCTCATGCCGAGCGCCCCCTTTGGAGCACAGGGCTAGCAGGCAGGAACTCCTGAGTGCTCACCCAGCTACAGACGGGAGTCCCCCGTCTGAGCAGAACAGGGTTAGTACCTCCCTGGGATGAATGGCTCCAGACTGTTTGGAGCTGGGAATGCCATGCTGGAGCAGGATCATGATTCTAATTCTGCTGCCCCAATAAGGACCTTTGACCACATTTAATTGCTAAGGCCAGTGTGACCAATGCACTGGGTCGGGAGCTGGCTGGGATTCCAGGGCGCCTCTCCCCAGAGCGCACAGCTACTCCTCAGGAGAGCCCTGACTGAGATGGGACTGACCCTCGTGCCCTTCCCTGTACCTCCCAGGGCCGCTGATGAGAGTCCTGGTCACCATCATTGCTCCGATCTACTGGTCCTTTGCGCGTCAGAGTGGCAGTGCCAGGAACGGCTTCTCGCTGACCAGCGGCGTCTTCAGGCAGGAGTCGCAGGTGGAGTTTGCCACAGGTGAGGAGGCAGGTGTGTGTGTCCTGCTGAGAGCCAAGGGAGGGCGGCAGAGATCATGGGGCGGGAGTCCGTGGGGGAGCCTTGTTGGTAAGGAGGTTCCCTTAGGGCTGAGTGGGGGCATGGCATCAGTGGGGACAGACGGCCTGGGACAATGATCAGGGTGACGTCCGTGGCATATCTCAGTCAGCCAGGTATCACCCATAGCTCATAAGGAAGGTAGATTGGGGAAGGAAACCCTGCACTGCTCATTTCTCACCCGAGGGGGTCAGATAATAATAATAAATACCAGCCTCTTACACAGGGCTTGACATCAGTAGATCTCAAAGGAGGGCAGTATCATTATCCCCATTTTACAGCTGGGGAAACTGAGGCACAGAGGGGCAGTGGCTTGCCAAGGTCACCCAGCAGGCCAGTGGCAAAACTGGGCATTGAATCCAGGGCTCCTAAGTCCTATCCTCTAGGCAGCTTTGCAGGGAGTGCCTGGAGACAGCTTGGTGACCACTGCATGCTGAGGCTGTGCAAACCGTTCACAGCAAAACCCAAGACCCCAAGGAGTGCCGCCCGATTTCTGGTTTTGTTCTGTGCCAGCCGTCTCCACCGTGGTGCCTGAGGAGTCTAGGATGGCTCATGAGCCTTTGGAGCAGGGCTATGTCCCAGCCACCTCTGAGTGACCCACCTCTGCTTTAGGGGACCGACTTCGGCACAAAACTCAGTGAAATTTGTGGCTTCAACCCCACACTAGTGAAAACTGACCCCTTGGCCTGAGTTCCACGTGGGGGCTCCGGGTTCACTGGAGCCTGAACCTCCGAGGGAAACGGGCGTTCGGTGGCCAGGGATCTGGAGGGAATGGAATGAAGAGCTGTTTGCAGGGCTCCCAGCCAGGTGGGGCAGCTCAGTTCAGCGTCAGGCCTACCGAGCCCTTCCGAAGAGCCAGCGCTGTGACGTGGTGTGTTGCTGGGGTGGCCTGCGGTGCTCTGCAGGGAGCCTTGTGTCTGCAGAGCATGTGGTTGGGGTCAGAGACAAGCCTGAGCTGTAACTACAGATGCAAATACTCCCAGGTTTAAAAGTTGGCCGCAAGATCTTGAAATTTGCTACTGGGCCCATCCACAGCCCAGCTCTGGGCCCTTTGCAGCCTGGCTCGGCCCCAGGTCTGTCTGAAATCATGGTGGGCTGGATCGTTAACTGGTGCGGACTCGCTGACCCCTGCTTGTCGCTGCAGGGGAGCTCCTCCGGATCACGCACGTTGCCCGAGGCCTGGATGCAGGCGGGGCGCTTCTCTTCGACGTCGTGGTCAACGGGTTTGTGCCAGAGAGCATCGCTGAGGCTGCTGTGCTTTTCCAGGTCAGTAGGGAGCTCCGGGACACTGCCCTCGCCCCAGCCAGCACCTTGGCAGCCCCTGCTCCTGTTCGCAATGACAGCCGATGGCACAACAGCAGGTCCCTCGTCCAGGGGAGTCTGGTGGGCCCCGGTCCCTGACTGTCCCATCTCCCTCTTTCCCTCCCAGGATTTCAGCGAGCGCTACGTGCAGACGGGGGCCGGGCAGCTGCACGTGGAGTCTGTGCAGAGCTACTTGCAAGACGGGCTCCCGGTTCAGATCCGCTGCAACCACAGCATAGAGTACGACGCTGCTCTGGGCCAGCAGCCTTCCCTGGTGCAGCACGTCCAGGCGAGGGCCGTCAAATCCTCCTTCAACCCGGCCTCTGAGGAGCTCCTCTTCCAGCTCAGCTCCTCCCTCCGCGCAGGTAACAGGAGAGCAGCCAGCAGTCCGTCCTCTCACTGTGAGCATTGCCCACTGAGAGCCCTGGAGTCAGAGTCCACGGGCTGGACGGCAGCAGGACAAGCTTCTCCCAGGCTGCCCTGCTCCCTGGGCCGAGAGAGAGAGGCCGTTCCCCGTTGGCATGCCTAGGAGCTGGGTGATGCTGTGCCGAGGGCTCCTGTCCCCCGTGCTCCCCACGAGCCCTGCCTCACTGAGGTGCTGACGGGGCTCTCTTGCCTTCTTGTCTTTGCCGCAGAGGCGAACGGAGAGCAGTGCCCGCAGGGGTTTGCACTGGGCCCGCAGCAGCTGTACTGCATAGGTAAGCGCCATTCCTGAGGGGTGGGCCATGTGCTCCCCTCAGGCCGGGGCCCGTTCTCCATCCCCACTCAACGCCAGGGCGTTCTCAGTGCCTGGTGACCCGGGGGTGCCGCAGCTCTGTAATCCCCAGTGCTGCTAGACGTCTGTATGCTGCCTTTGACTGAGCTAGCAAGCTAACAGCAGCAGTGTCGGTGCCTGGCCACCCCAGTTCAATCCTGCCCGAGGGCCGTACTGGGGGGGGCTGGCCCATCCCACGGCCCGCGCCTGGGCTGCTATTTTTAGCACACTAGCTGGCGTGTGTACGTGTACCCAGCACCGCCTGCAGTTGCACCTCCAGCTCCAGCGCGGCCATCCCCTCCCCCGGCTGCCGGAGGCAGAGCGTGCACCGCTGGGGGAGGTGGGCTGGTTCCAGGCTCTGGCCCCCCGTGGCCGGCAGAGGCAGTTACTAGATGTGCACATGCTCCCTGGGAGCCGCCCCAGCCAGGGTGAGGAGAGGTGCTGCACGGGGGCAGGAGGTGAGGTTGGAGCACATGCTGCAGCTCTCCAGAGGCAGTTACCCAGGGCATGGTTTCTGCTTCCCTTCTGCTCTGAGATGACCTCTGGGTCAGTAACCTCTGCTGAGGTGCCTCCTCCTCGGCCGCCTTGGCTTCGCCTGCCTCGGTGCTGAGGGTGGGGGCAGCCGAGGCATACGTGGCACGTGCTACCCCAGGCTCTTGCTGGGAAGGGACAGTGACTCCTTTTCCCTCCATCCCAGATCAGAACGAGTGTGCGGCTGCGAAGAGCCCTTGTTCCCATGCCTGCCACAACTCCGTGGGCAGCTTCTCCTGCACCTGTCCCGCTGGATACGCCCTGGCGCCGGATGGCAGGGAGTGCAGAGGTAAGGAAGGGACTACTCTGCAGCTTCCCTCCACCCACATTGGCCTGACCTCCCAGGGAAGCTGCAGGTCCAGGTCAGGACAGCCTCTGGGTGTGAGCACAAGCAATTCGCCCTGCGCCCTCGCAGCATGGGAGCAAGCGATCCCAGCCACAAGGATCTCCGGAGCCTCCAGAAGCCCTTAAGTGAGGGAGGGGATGCCCCCTCGGCCTTCTCCCCAAGGCGAGGAAGGCCCCTTTCCCTAGAGGTGGTGGGTGCCCATGGGAACATCAGGAGGCTGGGGACAGGAGCACATGCAAGTCTGGCCCTGGGAGCTCCCTTGGGGAACATAGCAGGGGGCTGCCCCATAGACCACTCGATCCTTCTTCTCTGGATGTCTCGGGGGGGAAAGACCCCCCCGGCATATTCAGCCCCCCCGTGGGAATGGCTGTGCGCCCTGCTGGGCCAGAGGTCGAAGGGCGCGCCGGCTGGGGGTCAGGCGATGCTGTTAAGCAGCCACGGGCAGTTTCACCGATGCTGCCCAACGGGAAGGAGACCGGCAGGAGGCCTCCCTGCAGAGAGGAGGGCGGAGGGTTTCTCTTGGAGGTGGCCTGGGCCCAGCAGCCCCTCTGCTGCCAGGCTCCGTGGGCGAGGGGGGTGAGGCAGCTGCACTGGTGCTGGGCTCTCTCCGCAGACGTGGACGAGTGTGCGCAGGGCACCCATGCCTGCCGCCCGGAGCAGCAGTGTGCGAACCTGGCGGGGGCCTATCGGTGTCTGATGCGCTGCGGGGCTGGCTTCCGGCTGGCTGTGGATGGAGTGGGGTGTGAAGGTAACGGCCCCTGGGCTCTCCTGACCAGCCCATGGGGAGGGAGGTTCCTCGGTGGACTCCACACGTCGCCTGGCTCGCGCTCCTTCCCTAAGGCTCTCCAGTGGGGCATTTCAGCCTGTGCCAGGGGCCCGATGGACGGCCCAGGGATGAGTCCTCTGCCTTGTGGGACAGGGGCATCAGCAGGGCCAGCTCTCCCCATCCTGCCCCGCCTGGGGGCCCCCTTAGCGGAGAGGGGAGTTAGTCTCAGTGAGCCCAGCCAGGGAGCCCTCGATCGGCCCCATGCTCGGTACAGGCCAAAGAGGAGCAGGAGGCTGGAAACCAGACAGGTCCCAGGCAGTGACCAGGGGTCAGTGATCTGGCGTCTCAGCCCATAATGTGCGAGGAGGGCCATGGCTTTAGCTGCTGCGTGGGGACTTGCCCGCCGGGAGACCTGTCCTCTCGTTCTCCCCACAGATCTGGACGAGTGCGCGGAGGGATCCCACGCCTGTCGCTACAACCAGATCTGTGAGAACACGGTCGGCGGGCACCGTTGCACGTGTCCCCGCGGTTACAGGACCCAGGACACCAGTCGACCCTGCTTGGGTAACACGGAGCTGCCGGCCTTTGCCATGCAATGAGAAAAGCAGGGGAGGCAGCATTTCTGCTGGTTCGAGCCGGAGAGTGCGGGGGGTGGGCCCCAGGACTCCTGGGTTCAATTCCTGACTCGGATATGGACTCGCTCTGTGACGCTGGGCAAGTCCGGAGACGGGTCTCGACCCCCCAGGTTGCTGCTGGAGTAACGCAGCTAGTTCTCCTCTGCCCAGTCCCTCTCACTCCGGCACCTGTAGAGGGAGCCGCCTGCTCTCTCCCCCTGCTCAGCGAGAGCGCCCCCTGGTGAGAGCAGGGGGGAAGGAGAGTCGCTCGGGAGGCTGCCAGTGAAGCTTCAGGAGGCGGGTGCTTGGGTGGTGGGTGTGAATGCTTTGCGCTGGGCCTTGTCCCCTGCCCTTCGCCTGAGGACCGTTCATGAACCCTTACAAGCCCTCTGCGGTGCTGGGAATCGAGAAGTGTTCTCTTCACTTTGTCGGTGGGGATACTAAGCTGTAGCTTGTTCGGGGTCACGCAGCACGTTAGCGGCAGAGCCAGGAATAGAAACCCAGGCGTCCTGACTCTCCCCCCCGCTCTAACCAGGAGACAGTACGGCTTCCCAGAGCCAGGGAACAGAGCCCAGGAATCCCGGGTTCCTATTTCCTGCTCTAGCCACTAGCCAGCACAGCTTCTGCTGGGCTCTCAGACTCACGCTGGCTTTTCTCTCTCTTTATCAGACATAAACGAATGCCAGCGGGTACCTCCGCCATGTGCTTTCCAGTGCCACAACCTCCAGGGCAGTTACAAATGCCTGTGCCCGCCTGGGGAGACCTTACGTGGGGATGGCAAGTCGTGCACTGGGCCGGAGAAGGCCGGAGGGAACGTGACGCGTGTCAGCAACAGAGGGACCCGTCTGCAGTGGCTCAGACCAAGTGGCCGATCGCCCGGGGGAGGCTATTACACCTGGCTCTCCTTCGGCCAGTCTGGTAACGCCCTGAGCCCCAGCAGCCAGGCCCAGTGCCCGTCGGGATTCACCAGGCGCAATGGACTTTGCACTGGTAAGGCCACGTGCTGCTGACCCTTGGCGCTCCAGAGAGGGGGAGCCTTGGAGCGATGCAGCCGGAACAGGCCCAACTCCGTCTTATAACCCACTCTCCTCGCTCCTCCTTCCCCTCTTCCTCCCCGCCGTGCCAGCCATTCTGCGGCTCTACCTGCTCCCCCATGGAATTGGTCTCTCCGGGGCCGAGGCCTTTGGTCCCTCGTGGGGCTGGAGTGGGGCTTCCCTGGGCCAGATCCCCCCCCAGGAGGGTGGGTGAAGGGGACCGTTTGCCGGGGCCTTACGCCTTTGCGGGGTTGTTTCAGTGGCACGGTGCACCATGGTGGCTGTGCACTGAAGGCTCGGGGGCAGTGTCATGCTGCACGTGGGGCTGGAGGTTGCCCCTCGCGGGGGGGAAGGGGGGCACAGCAGTGCACTGAAGTGTGCCAGACTTGGAATCTCTCCTCTCTCTTCCCCCCTCTTTACACAGACCTTGACGAATGTCAGGTGCGGAACCTGTGCCAACACGAGTGCAGGAACACAGAGGGCAGCTACCAGTGCTTGTGCCCGGCCGGCTACCGGCTGCTGCCCAATGGGAAAACCTGCCGGGGTCAGTGCGTGCGTGTGTCACTGTTCCGAAGCGTGTGTGTGTCCGCCCATCGCTGCCACTTCGATACTGTAAACCCCAATCTCCTCCCTTTCTAAACCCTGGATTTCACCCCCGCCTCTTGCTGCTCCAGCAAAATCCCCACCAACTGCCAGGCTCCCGCAGTGCCTGCATTGGGCTGCCCTTTTCATCTCCCAAGCAAAGGGGCATCATTGTAGGGATGTCAATGGAGCTATGCCAGGGCTGGATCTGGCCCATTAAATTCCCATGCCTCACAATGGCGCTCTCAGCTTAGTATCACTGCCACCAACTCATGGAGCAGGAAACAGAGGTGATGTGACTTACCCAAGGGACACAGTGCATGGCAGTGGCAGAGCCAGGCTTAGAACTTCGTGGTTCCTATGCCTGGCCTCAAGCCACTAGCCCACAGGGCCATGGTCCTCCTGCCCCCTCTGCCAAGCCATTGCTTAGGAATTGCTGTGGTGCCCCCGTGGGGCTATGTTGCTTCCTGGACCCAAGTGCAGTATGGTCATGCCCGGTCTGCTTTGGGGGCATGTTAGTGACTGGGCGGGTGCCTGCTGTCAGCAGACTCTGGAGCTCACCCAGCGGGTAAAATGGAGGCGCTTCATTGCAATGGGCTCATGGAGAAAGCCCTTCGCTCTCCAGGGTGCTGCTCGCCTGAAGGCACGGAGGGGTGTGATACAATGAGCAGCAGAGCCCGGCCCCACTGTCTCTCCTCACTCCCCCGCTCCTTTCTCCTCTGCAGACATAGATGAATGTGCAGAGGGGAGGATTCAGTGCAGCCCGAACCAGCTGTGCTTTAACACGCGGGGAGGCTCCCAGTGCCTGGACACGCCCTGCCCCGCCGGCTACAGGAGAGGCTCCAGCCCAGGGTAAGGTTTGGGGGAGGATAGAAGTTCTTTTTGGGGGGGGCGTACCCAAGCAGGGCAGCTGTTCCTCTCCTCCTGGCGTAAGCAGCCCGCCAGTGCTCTTCTCCACTCTGCTGCCAGGTTGTGGGGGGTGGTCAGGTCCTGGGCACAGACTGGCACATGCCCATTTCAGGGCATTAATGATACTTAGCACTTTGAAGAGGTAAAGTGCTGAGACTTGCCAAGTCTGACCCCCCCACACACAGTTTTCCGAGTGGGGGAACTGAGGCACAGATTGGCTCCGTGGCTTGTCCAAGGCTGTCCAGCGAGCCAGGCTTAGAACCCAGGAGTCCTGGCTGCCAGCCCTACGCTCAGACCGTGCGACCTCTCCTCTGCGGAGCTGTGATCTCACCCACGTTCTCTGCCCGTTCTCGTGCAGAGTGTGCTTCCGCCGCAGCTCAGGAGGCCCCTTCACCCTGCAGTACGAGCTGCTCACGCTGCCCTTTGGCATCCCGGCTGGCCACGACGTTGTCCAGCTCACCGCCTCTTCTCAGGGGAGCCTCCTGCAGAACCGCACCGTCTTCACTCTGCTGGAACAGGACCCGGGCAGCCCCTTCGCCCTCCGGGACGAGAGAGGCCAGGGCATCCTCTCCACGCTGCGCCCACTCCACGCTGCCGGCGTCTATCGGCTGAAGGTGCAGGCCCTGGCCCATGGCGAGCAGCGGGCATGGAGCGTCTTCCTCATCCTCATTTCCGTCTCACCCTACCCCTACTAATGGCAGCCAGGGGGCGCTGGGAATGGGCAGAGAAAGGGGGAAGGTGCTGATCCCACGCCCCAAACCCCACCAGACATTGTCTCCTTCCCCTTCTGTTCCTGATTCCATCTCCCGTAGGGGGCATCAGCTCAGTCTGAGATGAGCTTCTCCCTTTGTCCCCTGTGTGTCTCCCTGGGATCCCCAAGCCCTGTTGCCTGCCATCAGCTCAGTGCCCTGCCAGAGGTTCCCCCTGATCCTGTAAAACTCCCCTCCCTTGGCTCTCAGCTAGGGTTGCCAACCCTCCTGGATTGTCCCGGAGTCTCCAGGAATTCAAGATTAATCTTTAATTTCAAGACTGTGTCATGTGATGAAACCTCCAGCAATACGTCCAACCAAAATTGGCAACCCTACTCCCAGCCGTATGGCTCAATCCCTTTGTGAGCTAAATTGCCTTGACCCCGTGGGATGGTGCCAAGGCAGTTTGGAGGCCCGCAAATGCTGACCTCTCATTGTCTGGACTTTGCACCCATCGCTTCACTTACTAGCTCCGCAGAGGAGCATGTGCTTGAGGCACTGGTTCATGCAGTGTCCTGCAGTGCTCCGCTGTGGTGGAGGGGTGAGGGGCGTAAACATCAGATGCTATTGGCACTAGTCTCTTGCAACATGGGGCTGGCCTTGGGCCTGCTATCACATGCGGCTTTTAAGCAAACAGTGCTGCCTGCGTGGTCTTGAGGTCAATCAGAGCTGAGATACCGAGAACCTGGGAGGGGAAACCACCAAGCGGCTGTTAGTCTCCTTGGCTTTTGGCTCTCGGGTGGAATCACGAAGCCTGTGACTCGCCTGAGATAGACACTGGAGACACCGGGCCATTACTCTTCTTTTCCATTTGTATCGGGGTAGCACCTAGAGACCCCATCTGAGATCACAGCCCCATTGCTCAAGGGTGGGAGAGGAAATGGAGGCCCAGAGAGGTCACCAGCAGGTCAGTGCCCAGGTCTCCTGAGTCCCCATCCAGTGCCCTGTCCATGCATTGAATGCTCAGGTTCGTACTCCCCGGAGAGCTGAGATGCACATTTCAGCCTTGCCAACGGTGCAGAGGTTTGCTAGCGTTGCACAGGTCCCGGAGCCATCTCGAGGCCAAGCACACACTGTGCAGTGTTGGGTGAGGCAGATGTTTAAAAAGCCTCCGAGCTGATGTAGCAGGGCTGGGAAGGGAGTTCCAGGGCTGAAGGGTTGGTTGGTAACCACATATTAAAAGGTTAGTTCCCTCGTGTTCAGTCTTTGTTATAATCAAACTGGTTTCTCGGCACACTTATTTATTTCTGGTTTTGTACCAAATAAAGATGATTTCGTGAGTAAAACAGTCGTGTTGTTTGAGGGCATCGTCCTCCTGCACTGCATGACGGCTCTGCGGATTTCGGACTGGAGCTTGGGGCCTGATTCTGCTCTCAGTCCCTGCAGCCAGCTGCTGCTGAACTCAGTGGGGCAGGATCTGACCCATTGTCTCATTCGTATCCTCCATTCCAGGCGTCCCCATCGGCTTTGGAGATTAGACACCACCTAGCTCCTCTACAGTGCTTTTCATCTGTAGATCTCAGAGCGCTTTACAATGGAGGCCAATGTCATCTGTCTCCAGTTTATAGATGGGGAAACTGAGGCACGGGGAGGTGAGTGACTTGCAGGACTTAATTTGTAATGAAAGAGGTGCCGGGGCTCAAGCATTTTTTTTTTACATTCATAACTGATGCAGCAAGTCCAGAGGCGCCGGGGCTAGGAACTGCCCAGCCCAGAGGCGCCGGGGCTAGGAACAAATTAAGCCCTGGTGACTTGCTCAAAGTTATTCACCTGCAGCAGTGACAGGGCACCAGTCATCACGTACCTCACAGCTTGATTCTGTACTACTGGAACCAATGAGAGCTGTGTCAGTGACCATGGTAGATGCAGGATCAGGCCCTAGGTGCAGTTATGACCTGGGGGCGGGGGGGGGGGGCAGGAATAAGCTGCAGGAACAGATGGGCTCTGGAGATACAAAGCTCCTTTCTCCGTTCAGTGATCTTTATCTCTGTTTCTGGGGAGGGCCCCCTCGTCAGGTCAGAGGGCACAGGGCTGTCTGCTCACAGTGCTGGGGGCACTGACTTTAGCTGTAGCACTGTGCTCAGCGCCAGTGAGTGGGTGCTGGGTCCCGTGTGGAGGTGACCTGCAATGGTCATTTGAAATAACTGGGTTTGTGTGATGGAGCAGGGAGGTGGAAAAAGAATCCTCCCCACTTCTTGTGTGTTACCGTAGCAATATCAGCAGAAGGAGCTCCTGCTCTGGAGACCTCTTAGGATCATCAAGGGGTCAAGTTGGGACCATCTGAACAAGGGAGCTCCCCATAAAGAGGAGAAGGTGTTTGGACATCTCACGCCCACCCAGAGAGTGTCCTTGTGGGACTGATCCCCACTCATTTGAGTCAATGGAAAGAGGCCCGTTGGCTGCGGCAGTATCGGCTCAGGCTCCGTAAGAGACGGGATGCTTAAAGCCTGGAAATGGCACACAGGACGATAGCTGGGCCGAGCCCTGGGGTGAAGGGGCTGCAGGGAAAGACCAATGTCTCTGCTACAGCTGGTACTGTGCAGAGCTCTCCTACAAACGCAAAGGCCCTTTGCCTGCTTGGTGCCTGGTGCTTTGCGTTGACCTAGCTGGTGCTCGGGCTGCTCAGGCCAGGCCTCGTTTTAGAGCGTGACCTGAGCGCCGATAACCTGACCCTGACCCCAGAGGGTGGCATTGTTTTCAGACCTGACCCAGACCTGCGTCAGCAGCACCACGCCCACTGCCTCATCCTTGGGGCTTTGGCTGGGGAGAGCTACCCGTTCCCTGTGCCTGCGAACAGGCTCTGCCCGCCTCCTGCCTGGGGGATCAGCGCGGTAGCGGCTGCGTGCCCAGCTCCTGCCAGCGGCACTGTGTGCGCTGCAGAGGGAGCGGCGCCGCGACTGGCCGGCTCTCTCCCTCTGCAGCTGCAGGAGCTGGGCACTGGGCCGACCCTCCGGGCAGGCGGTGATCAGAGATGACCCAAGCCCAAGTCAGGTGGTTTTCAGCCCCCACCCAAAGCTGATGCTTGGAATCAGTTCCCAGCAGGTTCGGGGGCTTGCTACGCTCTACTCGGTTGTGCTTCTGTCCCTGCACAGGGCCTGGCCTGGGCTAGGCAGCACTGCCCTTTGCGATGGGCTGATCCTCACACGGCGCTGGCTCCCAGTTCCCCCATGCCCCTGCTAAGCGGGGAGGAGGCCATGTCCTTTGAAGTCAAGTGACCCAGTCATGAGAGAACTGTTTGGATTTCAAAACGCCCCCTCGTGATGTGGCCCCGCCCTGTGCTGCTGTCCGGCTTGGTGGGAGCTGGGAAGTTTGGAGCTTACATGGGACAGGCTTGATCCTGCCTCAGCTGGAGCCATGTGAATGAAACCAGTCGCTTTGCTTCTGCAAACGCCTCCCTCTTTCCCAGTCACCTGACCCACCTACTCCCCCGCAAAACCACCACCAAGACCCCCGTGTAATGCATAACATCGTGCCTGATAACATCGTCTGACCCTGTAATCTCCCAGCCCTCAAGGATACAGCAGGGCAGGATTCAATGTGACTGCAATCATTTGTAGCAGGGGGAGGGTGTCTCTCGTTCACCACTCCCTCTTCTAGACCTTGCTGGTGGTGTGTTGCTGGGACAAGAGAGGCAGCCATGTTCCAGAGGTGGCTGCATTCAGCTGTGGGGAAAGCCCCTCTGTCTCGGAGGAACCCAAGCTTTGCAATGTGCTGGGAACGTGGGTGCCACCTACCTCATTTTGCCTAAAACAGAACAGGGTGAAATTGCTCTCCTCTCCAATACAGAGGGATAATCTACAGAGCCTGCCGGTCCCAGCATCCACTGTACCATCTTGGGTCTAAGGGGTCGGCCAAATGGATCAAACGGATGTTCCTGGGGTGACTGAAGGCTAAATATTTAACCTGGGGATTTCCTGCTTTAGTTTCAAAAGGGAACTAGGCATTTCCCTCAACCTCCCCATGGCAGCGTGAGTCCTGGACCTGGTGTTGCCTAAAGAATTGTGCACTGGACTGGGACTCAGGAGAGTTGGGTTCTCCCACCTCTGCCACTGGCTTGCTACATGACCGTGGGCAAGTCACTGTACCTCAATTTCGCCATCTGTTAAATGGGGATAATGATACTGCCCTGCTTTGCAATGTGCTTTGAGATCTACTGGTGATAAGAGCTAGGTGGTGGTATTAGTATTGGTACAGAAGAGGCCTCGTTTCCTGATGTGTCTGGTGCACAAGGTTGTGGTTAAGTGGAAAACCAAGAACATGTGAAATTAACTACACTCATCAGTCAGGCATCAAGACGCCATCTCCCTAAAGACATCCCAATTGTGTTAGCTCGTTGTCTTGGAAGACAGCTGAAGACGTAGTCTGCAAGGCCCTTTGCTGGCAGAGAGCGGCAGGAAGCCAGGCTGGTCCCTGGGGACGTTCCTGTCAATATTTCATGCAGCAAAGGGACATTTCTTTCGCTCCATGGACATTTGATTTAGTTCCTTGTTTGCTTTGAAAGATACTGCAGAGCAGTCAGTGCTGGTGAAAGGCGCCTGATCGACGTCCCTGGAGGCTGGAGCTGTCTGGGGAAGAGGGACAGCATGGCCAGGGGCACAGCAAACTTCCCGTGCGTGGCCTCACGTTCTCATCTGGCCACTGACCTGGAAGGCGTCACCCATAAGGTGTGAGACTAGAGCTCAAGTTCAGAGGCCCATGCAGTCCTTTGGCCTCTCTGCTCAGCTAGGGGCAGGGGAGAAACCCACAACCAAAGTACCATGGCTAGTGTGGACACACTGAACATAAGAAGAACATAAGAATGGCCATAGTGGGTCAGACCAAAGGTCCATCCAGCCCAGTGTCTTGTCCAGGGCCGCCCAGAGGATTCAGGGGGCCTGGGGCAAAGCAATTTCAGGGGCCCCTTCCATAAAAGAAAGTTGCAATACTATAGAATACTATATTCTCGTGGGGGCCCCTGCGGGGCCCGGGGCAAATTGCCCCACTTGCCCCCCCTCTGGGCAGCCCTGGTCTTGTCTACCGACAGTGGCCAATGCCTGGCGCCCCAGAGGGAGTGAACCTAACAGGTAATGATCAAGTGATCTCTCTCCTGCCATCCATCTCCACCCTCTGACAAACAGAGTCTAGGGACACCATTCCTTACCCATCCTGGCTAATAGCCATTAATGGACTTAACCTCCATGAATTTATCTAGTTCTCTTTTAAACCCTGTTGTAGTCCCTAGCCTTCACAACCTCCTCAGGCAAGGAGTTCCACAGGTGGACTGTGCGCTGTGTGAAGAAGAACTTCCTTTCATTTGTTTTAAACCTGCTGCCCAATAATTTCATTTGGTGGCCCCTAGTTCTTATATTATGGGAACAAGTAAGTAACTTTTCCTTATTCACTTTCTCCACACCACTCATGATTTTATAGACCTCTATCATATCCCCCCTTAGTCTCCTCTTGCTGTGCTGGCACGAGTGCTACCCCGTCACTGAAACTACCCAGGCCTCAGGGTTTGCACACTTGAGCTAGTCAGGGTTTACCTCAGCTGGAAGGTATTTTCTTGCTGTCATCAGCAATGTCCTGTGTCATTGCAGAATAGCCCTGTGCTGCTGCCTTCTCATGGACAAGTCCCTAGCCCGCAGGCCCTTACAGCAGCATGCCCAGCAATTGTGCCATGCTGGCTGACAATGACGAACGATAACTGCAGTTCACCAGGGCTAATGGGAGCGGGCGCAGGGCTGCCACGCTCCTTGCAGCAGAGAACAAGAAGGGCTGGGTTGTCAGTTGCATTTATCTTCATGAGGATTCTGTAATGAGGAAAGCAGTCGCTAGTGACACTGTACACAGGGGAATAAACGACCCAGCGGGCTGTCAGCTGTTTAATAACTTGTGAGTTATGTTCTCAATCAAAGGATGCCTCTGAGGCGCAGACAGGTGCACATTCAGCTGGGAGGAAGGGGAAGAATCTGTGGGCTTGGATAGCTAAGGAAGAGTGGGTTTGTGGTTGATAATAAAACCTAGCACTTTTCTTCCATAGATCTCAGTGTCTTAAGGACGGTATTCCCATTTTACAGATATTTAAATCATACGTATATAGCACATGTGATGCATAGCTATCAAAGTGCTTTACAGAGATAGTCTCATTTTACCGGTGGGGAAACTGAGGCATGGAGAGATTGTGACTTGCCCAAAGCAGAGGAGTGGGACTGAGAAAATCTGGGCTTTATTCCCAAATCTGCCACCGATTCACTGTGCGACTGTGGGCAACTCACCGAAGGCTAAAATTTTCAAAA